TTGATTTGATTTGATTTGATACAGATGACACGCAAAAACACTGAACATATAAAAAGGGCTGTAATAGACCTCTGGGGTCATGCCATCAGTTTGTAGTTACCAACTTGTCCATACAGTGAAAGCCAGGTCTAAGTATTTTTCCCATCACCTGTTTATCACACTCTGTGGCAAACACAAATATTGCAAAACCAATATGTTTTGTTTTTTCCTCTGAATACCATATATCATTGAATTACTAAGACTAAATGTGTATATTGTTATATGCAAGCTGGCAACCTCACCAAAACAGCCCACATAAACCAGCAGGCTTTGTTAAAAGTGGTGGTTAAAGAGGAATTCTTGTGATTTTTTCCAAACTTTAGTATAATTAAATAGTTAAGATATAAACAACATCATTTAGAGTGGTTTGATGTGAAATGCCCCATTCTAGAGAAACCCATAGAGTCAGAATTGTCCACAGTGATGGTGATGCTAACCAGACATCCATAGTGTTGTGCCTCTAAAAGCTCCCTCACAGAAAGTCATTACACAAAATGGTTATGAATGCCTTCCCTGATACCTGGGACATTGTTTTATGACAGTTTCAAGATTAAATGGTCTGAAATGTAATTTTAAAAACAATCATAGCAGAGTGGTAGATGCAGGGTGATGTAAGGCAAAACAGTACATTAGATTTAGACCACTATTTTACCATCTTTAGAAGACACGTACAGGTTCACAGGTCATTTTTAGATAATAATTAAAATGTGTTGTAGACATTGCAACCCCTGATTCGTACCTCCACCACTGTACCGAGTCGGTATGTTTCTCTATGATGCGTCACTTCATATTAAACCACTCCGAATGACACTGTTTGCATCTCAGCGATAGAATTATGCAGAAATTTTGAAAAATCTCCTTTAAGGTGTATTGTATAATAGCCAGGCGGGTCTTATATAATAGCGTTGAAGTAAATAAACTTACTTTCATGCAACATCATTTCAGTGTGCAAGAGTGTTAGCTTGCTTGTAGCATGTATGTAGCATTATTTGTATTTTGACTATGTGATGATCTCATAACTCAGAGGATTTAATGACATTCAGGGGAAGTCACCAAAAAGAAATGTCTGTTGTTTGAAAGACAAAATGTATTAGCTTTGAAACATTTTTGTTACCACAGCACATGACAGCAGCAATTAGCTTTTTCTTGTAAAGAAAAACTGCTTAGGCCCAGAGTCCCTTACATGGGCATGACGCCAGCACTGCTCACTGTGCAGCACACATAGAGCACTATACCAAGGACAGAGCTGAACCCTTAGGCCCACTGCGTGTGCATGTGCAGAAACTCCTGGCTTGTGTATGGAGGGTTTTGAGTCTCACACTCATGATGAGCAGAGCAGGGGGTCGACAGATCCATAGCCTTTACAACAAGAGGATAGATGAAGCTCTCTGAAGCTGTGACAGAGTTTGTGATGGTGTGAGATGATGAAAGCCCCCCTAGTCTCCTCTTCTTGTTGATTTTTTGAGATAATCTCTCTATCTCTCAGTCAGAGTATTCTCTGTGACATTTCAATATGGAGTCTGTTGAGATAACGTGAAGGTAAATAACTGCATAAGAGACGAATATATTGGTTTAGTCATGCCTTTATTCAAAGCACCATAAATGTCTCATATGAATATAAGACTGTTTCCCATCGTGTTGTGCAGAGTACTACACGGACACTACTGCCTGCCACCCAGGACGGCTTACTGCTAACACAAAAGTCTAATTTTTTTAGCGATTAAGTATTCAGTTCAGTACATTTTTTACCAGTGTACCACACTTAACATACAAAAATTACGATAAATATTGAACCAATTTAACTAGATGTTGATAACGGTAACTGCTATCCCTTTGAAACACGCAGAGTAAGACACTTGGATGTGCAGTAATGCTATTCCTATCACCCACACAACTTAGCAGCACGCCATGACACATGGCCTCTGGGTACTGCGACTGAAACAACTAAAGACCCTCCTCCTCCTTTTGGGTCTGGTCAAACATACCTGAGCACAATTTAATACAAGTTTACTGGGATCTTTTTTTTGTACAGCAGGTTGTGTGTTCTCTTTTATAAACATACCCAGAAACAGATAAAACTCAGTGCAACTACTCACTGCTCTGTGGAGCATCAGGAAAGACCTACATGGGTGGTAAGATACTACATGAATGAGATGTTAGAAATTAGATCATTTTCAAATGAAATACAGAGTATCACCTGATACATTTTAAATAGGTGGCTTTCAATGGTTTGTGGTTAAATGGTTGATCACACATTTATCTGTGGGAAAATACTTTCATTAAAGAACATAATCAATATTTATGGTCCCTTTTTCTCTTTGAAACATCATGGGAAGATCTTCTCTGGGCAAAACTGCCACACTGAAAGTAGAGATAATTTCCACCTCAGCAACTACAAGTGAAATGATATGCATTCTGGTTTGTAATGTTGGAAACAAATGATGAAAAATGGGTTCCATCACACAGGCATAGAAAAATATTACTCTGTTTTTTTCCATGTTAAAGTACATATAGTTGTATCCACAGATATAAATTAACTAACTAAAAGCACTGAAATTGAACTTTAATAAAACAGAAGCAAGACTATCAACCACATTTTAAGCTTTGTTAAACTATGTTTATTCGTATATATGTTTTCCTCTCTACACTGACAAACACTACACTGAAACTAATTTCATTTCAAATGAGTGTATTTTCTCTCTGCGAGGGTAAACTTTGCTGTTTCCCTTCAGTGACTTTGTTCTTCAGCACGCCACGATGTTCCCCAGAACTGCAGATTGCTTTTTCGTGCTGCAAATATAATGATCACCCAACGTTCACCACGATAATATGAAACCAGAGATCTTGCAGCACAGAATATTGCACACGAAATACTTGAAACACAAATTGTTGTTTTGCTGCCTGTGAAATCTGTACATTATCTACATGTGCACTCTGCCTCTTCTGCACACAAGGCACAGCAGCCGTGTCCTTCACATTCAGGTTCTCCATGCCCTCCCTCCCATTTTGGTACAGTAAACATGAATGGGTTTCATGGAATTTCTTTGGGATTCTGAGTTGAGAATTGCACTTCATTTTTTTTTCATTTAAAAACCATACATACAACGTCCGTTCTCCACCCCTGCAATGTTCAGTTGTTTCAATCAGTGGATTTTTGTTTCCGTTTTCAGCTGTCACGATTGTACTCTTAACAAATAAGCAGAAATGGTCAGAAACAGGCCTCATCAAAGTGACTAGTCATGGGCTAAAACCATTTTGAAGGAAAAAGAAGTAAACTGCCATTGGGCCTCGTTCACCAATACCTTCTTAAGTTTTTTCTTAAATTTGTTCTTGAGAAAGAGCCTAAGAAAAAGTCTACACCAGATTCATTATATGTTCTTAAACCACAGAATTGTTTGCACCTTTGTTCTCTTGAGTGTGTGTATAGGTTCTATTCATACCTAAGAACAAATCCCAGGTAAGAAAACCTTGGTGAATGTCAGAATCTTCGTCAAAACTGCCTAAGTGGGTTTTAAGAAGAAATTTCATCTTAAGAACTGTTGGTGAATGAGGTCCATTGCTAGTAACAGGTACATCATATTGAGCCTTATTCACTAATATCTTCTAATATAAGTTTTTCTTAAATTTGTTCTTAAGAAAGGTCCTAAGAAAAAGTAAGAAAAGGTGTATACCAGATTCAGGACGTGTTCTTAAACTGCAGAACTGTTTGCACCTTCATGCTCTTGAGTGTGTGTAGATTCTGTTCTTACCTAAGAACAAATCCCAAATAAGAAAACACTGGTGAATGTCAGAATCTTCATGAAAACTGCATAAGTGGGTTTTAAGAAAAAGTTTCTTCTTAAGAACAGTTGGTGAATGAGGCTTATTGTTTTTAGGAACAAAACCTGAATGCTGCCGTTCCACACCTAGAAAAGATACTTATATTTTAATTCCACTTATATTCTATATATTCTTAAATTCCTCTGTGACTTGCTAGTGCTGCTTTTGTAGAGACACATCAGAGAATATTGCATCAATCTGCCTGCAGCATTCACCTCGCTAACATTTTGTTGGAACTACAGTACTTTGCAAAAGTCAGAGACCACCCTATATTTATTTCCAGTCAAAACGGCCGTTAAGTACAAGATATTCATAACAGAAAATAACACAAAAACCTCAACTAAATATAATATTATTTTTTTCTGTATTTCTTCTGTCCACTCTTTGCCTTTATTACAGCTTCCATTCATTTTAAGGAGACTTGCTTTCAGTTTTCAAATCTTTAGGGATATTTTCTACACTTCCTGAGTCCAGTCTTAGAAGTTGGTTGTATTCTCACACTCCAAATAATCACAAACACATTCAGTAATGTTTGGACTCTGGGCGGTCAGTCCACTGTTCTGAGAACTCCAGCAGCTTCTTTGTTTGATTTGTAATTTTTTGTCTTTTCTCAGCTTCTTGACAGCTACACATCCTTTCAGACTCATAGTGTTGAGTTGTCTTTTCACAGTGGAAGGATAGACAGAAACACCTGTGAATTTTTCAGATCTGAAACAAGAGTGGAGCTTGACAAACTGTTTATCTGATGGGGACAATTTTGGTGTCTACTAGGTCTTGCACAGACACATTTTGTCTGTGTATTTTAATCACTTTTTGAACTTCAGTTTTGGAAACTCTTTTTTTACACTTATTTTCCTTTGACTTTCCCCTAACTTATATAAGCGGATTCTCTTATATCAAATCTCCTCAGAAAGATCTCCTGAAAAATTAATAACTTGTACTTAATGGCCGTTTTGACTGGAAATTAAATAAATGAAGGATGGTGTCTGACTTTTGGACAGTACAGTGCATCCCAGCTGTCACTTTTCATGCCTGGAAAGTAAAAAATGAAAATGAATTTTGCTTAAACATGAATATTTTAAATGACAAGAACTGGTCATCAAAAATAAGAAACCAAAAATAAATAAAAATGGTGTGGATTTAAAGGAATATGTTAATGTGGCAAGCAATGAATGGAAGCTAGTAGCCATATGAATTAGCATATCATTTGAATAATGCCAATTGTCGGCTGTTCAGTGTCATTGATTTTAAGCATTAGCATTATAAATTGCATTGTCCGATTTAAGATTATTGTTTATGCATTTTTGATTTGTCAATGTCTTGTGATCTGATTTTGAGGTGAATTTCTCTCTCTGTATTTAGGTTATATATCTCTCACACTCTCCCATAAGCTTCAGTCTCCATTGACCTCCATAACTTTCTCTGCCAGGATCTCCTGAAAGGTGGAGAGCTGCTTCATCTGCTCCGTCTGCATGGAGTGCCTCCTCAACAGCTTCTTTTTCATCTTGAAGTCCAGTCCACGCTTTGGTGATGAGGGGGCTACAGGTAGCAGTATCTTGGTGCCGGAGTGCACAGGTGAGGTGGGCTTTCCATTGGCCCGGATGTCTGGTATGGGCCGCTGGGGGTTGACATTGAGTGGGGGGAGGAATCCAGGCCGTGTATGCGAGATGTGGTCCAAGAGAAGCGTGCCTGAGCCTCTGCGCTCTAGCAGGCCCGGGGGCCTCCTCCTCATAGTGATGGGAGACACAGAATTGGGGATACTCTCCAGTGATTCTCGGGAGGAGCTGGTGAGCAATGACAATGGTGAAGCGTTGTACTTGCGGCGCTCCACGGACACACGGCCAGAGTCTGGAGATCCAGGGATGGACTCAGGGCACAGGTGTGTGTCTGACTCGTAGTGCTCCATGCGGGTGAGTTTAGGGTGAGGCAAAGTACGGGTGCCCCCTGGAGGGTGGCTGGCGTTCTCTTGTGACTCGGGTGCTGTGTTCCTGCGGTACAGTGACTGATGCTGCTGGACTTTATCTGCCCAGGAGGAGCCACATAGAGCCGCACAGTCTTCAGAACAGGAGCGATCGATCAGCTTTGGGGAACAGGGGTCATGTGTCTCAATGCTGTGTCTGCGTGAGAGCAGGGGTCTGCCTGGACCAGAGATTGACAGGCCATTCATCTCGGATGTAACCTTCTCCTCCTCTGCTAGGTCGCCCTCCACTCGCTCTCCTCTCTCAGCCAGTACGCTCGGAGCCACCAAGCCCCAGGGCTCTGAGTTCAGCCTTTTGAGAAGTTTACGTGGTGGTGGTCTCCTCTCACCTGGTGGTCTGTTGGAAGGTAGTGGTAGGGCAGAGGTGAGAGCAAAACTGAAGATGCCGTCCTCCTCCTCTCCAGCGGGGGAGCTTGAAGTGCGGATCTCGACTTCTGATGGGGACATGCAGGCAGGCGAGAGTTTATCCACCACGCCTGGAGAAGGTGGAGAGTTCAGGTACTGCTTTGTCTTCTTGGTGCCCGAAGGGGAGGTGTCTGTGGTAATGATGATCACCTCCTTGCCTTTGGCTTTGCAGGCATCTAGAAGAATCTGTAGTGTTTCTCTGTCACCTCTGTTGATGGCATGCATCAGAGCTGAGGACCCAGAGTAGTCTTTAAGACTTGGGTCTGCTCCGTTCTCCAGCAACAATGACACCACATCTTTGCCTGCACGCTCTGCACATGCATGCATCAAGGCAGTCCTCCCTGATTTATCAGGGATATTCGGGTCAGCACCTTTTTCTAGTAGATACCGCACCATCTTCTGACGAGTGTGTGGGTCATCATACCCAGCCAGGCAAGCTGCTACAATGGGTGTCTCCCCTCGCTCGTTGCCTTCGTTGATGTACGCTCCCCCCTCCAGCAGCAGACGCGCAAGCCGAAGCTTGCCCTGGAACACAGCCTTCAGCAGGGCATTCCCTTCCGTACGCAGGGCTCCTCCGTCACCCATGGTGCCGACTACTCCCTCGCCTTCCTCTTCTTCAGTGCCTGCACATGTTTAGCTCCGTCCTGGACAACCTGTATCCAAAAGAAACAAAGAAACAATGCTTTACAAAAGGCAGTTTGATGTTTGGATTTGTCCCTGTGCTTGGAGAGCTTCCTTCTTTCTGAGTTGCTTGTGGCATGGCACTAAAGGAGAGAATAATACGATTTTGAGTCCTCAGATAAAAAGGCCTTATAAACTCATTTTTGAAATAACAGCCTTGCAGTCTGCAGAGTGTGATAAAGAAAGTATGGTCTACCATTTTTACCACTGCCATTCATCCAGCTCAGTGAAGCTCTGGCACCATGCAATTCTCAGGGTATAAAATACTATTTGAAGTAGGATCAGAGGCTCCATCCTCTTTACACACACTTCTCTTGAAATGACACATTGGATGGAATTTCTTGTACCATGAAAAGACTTCTGGCATAGACCTTAACCTTGCAGAATAGATGCTGGATTGATAAAGACCCCATTCCACTCTGAGGTTTGCAACAGTGGCACTCGAGGCATTTCAAGAATTGTGAATTATTGAATAGCTTAATACATGCCGTCCATAAAATGCTGTAATTCCATTGATCAAATGAGAAAGGGTGATCATTCATGGTCAAACATCAGCAAGAAATTTCTCTTCTTAACAGGGCGATGGCAGATGTTGAGGCTGAAAGTAAAACTTGTTCAACATTGTGTACAGGACCTTTAATACATTTTATTCATTTTTTGCTCTCTTAAATATTTGTGGAATGTCAAGTTCTGGAAATTGATGCCACCATTTAGATGTTTTAGTCTCTTTTCCACAAGGGCTCAGAGACTTACAGTATCTAATATCTCTTGCTCTGTACATGTAACACAATTGTAATGGGAATATGTTACTATGACATAGCACTTGTGCTTTGGGGTTTGGAGAAACTTCTTGTGTAAGGTAGAAACATTGGTTGGTATCTGAAGGGGTTATAATCATAAAAATGAGTTTGCATGACTTAGAGGGACACACTGAATAATCTTAGTATAGTTTAATCCGTTTCCAAATTCAGAAACAATATATATATATATATATATATAGAACAAAAACTGTAACACAACATTCAGATTTTAGTGCAAAATCATGCATACCAAACTATGTAGTTAAACAAAGAAAAGAGCAGTCATTTCCCACCTGCAGGGCCTTCTGGGAGGCAGAATTTCAGTGATGCGGTTATATACTCTGCCTTCATTATCAATATTCCCTCTACTATGGCCACATTAATACACAGCATTAGCTGACAATGAACCAACAGTTGTCTGTGGCCGTAGGGTGAGTCAAAGCACTGATTATGATGATCAAAGCAATAAAGGCAGCATTCACAAATCGTGCACAGCACTGAGAGTCTCCCATCAATCTTTGTTTGTGGAACAGAAAGCAGAGAGAGATGCTCATTGCACACACACACAAGCTTGATGTGGTAATTAGGAAGGCATTACTACAACAGCACTGCGGGGTGGAAGGGAGGGAGTGAAATTAAGAGGGGGACAGAGAGAGACAAACAGACAGAAAGATACAGAGGCATGGGGTGTTCCACTAGTGTGGATTTATTCATAGTGTGGTTTTATTCAGACTGATTTAAAATTCAATGCGAGCAAAGTAAGTGCCCGATAGATTTACACAGGGACCATGTGGAGAAAGCACAACCTCTTGTCACAAAGAAATCAATTAAGAGGACAGTGGAATGGGACGGATAAAAAGAGGGTGAGAGAGAGGCACCATGTCATTGCTTGCTAGTGGCACAGAGAGATCCACCTGTGCAATGCAATACAATTAATCTGAAACTCCATCCTCTCAGTGAGTTTACAATCACGCCTATGTACACCTGTCACTTCATTACTCAAAAGTGTTTCTTAAAAGGTATGTGCTGGAGTGGTGTCTGCAGGTTTTGCAGGGTGTAGAAATACATCAACACAGAAAAGAATTCTGGAAGCTGTCATATGGGCTGAGGCAGTGGCCCAGTTCTTTACTGTCTCACATCTATAGACGTTTCCACCTTTGATTTATGATTCTGAGATTCTTCTGCAGAGAAGTAGGGCCATTCCTTTATGTTTCTCTACTATTAAATGGTTAAATTAAATTATTCTCCCTGTCCCACCTCTTTTTCATCATCTTAGTGTCTTAAGCCTAAATGACTTAATTGAACTTTGGCCATCAGTTTTCCTCCTTTGTTTCTTACCAAGTTTCTTCTCTTTTTCCTCCAAAGTCTGGAAATCACTATCTTTACATTCATTTGTAGCAATTTGTAGCATTTGTAAAGCACTTTGAATGACAGCAGTGCATGAAAGGTGCTATATAAATAAACTTGCCTTGCCTTGCAATTTGACATAGAAAGAGGGAAAAAAAGGTTATTTGGACTCTTCTAAGAACTTTTACCATTTAAATAATAATAGTATATTTCCATTTATGTTTCTGCCAGCAGATTAGGTTCATTCAAACTACAAATATTCACAATGTTCCACATCAACTAAAGGTATTCAAGCCAATTACACCTTCACAAAATTGTTCTTCAAGGGATTTTTAATAAAGGCAATGGTTATAAATATAACCATGACCACTCAAAGAACCACTTTTATACATAAATGGTTCTTTTACACGATGGAAACCTGTTGTATATGGTTCTAAAATAAACTTTCAAAAATGGTTTTCTGCAGCACCAAAGAGGGTTAAGAGGGGTCAAAACTTTAATACTGTTTATAATCCTCTTTGCCAAGAGTGCTAAATGAGTAACCATTTTTTGCCAAGAGGTTAAATGAGTAACCATTGAAGAAGGTAGAAAACAGATCAGAAAGAAATTTTTGGTAGGGGAAGCAAACTAAGGATATTGAAGGTAGCAGGTTGGCACAGAAAAACATTATTGATTGATTCATTGTCTCACTCCCTGTCCTCCTTCTGCACCTCTTCATCTCCTCGTTTTCTGTTCCACTCCTGGCAGATGGAGATAGAGTGGGTGAAGGAGTCTACTATCCAATGCGGACCGGCAGAGAGGCTACATTTGACGTTCGTACTACAAGATTTCTCCTCACTGTTCTGTTTAATTTCCACTCTGAGTGGACTGCAGATCCCCTCTGTATTGATTCTGTCGGACGTGATGAACCTTGTTTACCCAGCATTTCCCATCCTGGTTCAAAGCCTCTGAGGTAACAGGCGTTCCTTTGCTTCCTTCTTTGCTCTGCTGCCAGGGCCTGTACATGGCAACCATTGTTAGGGACTGAGAAGAAGAGCTTTGGCAGAAGACGGAGCGAGTGTAAGCGTGTGTTTGTGTACCTGCACTGACATTTCTTCTGTCTCACACCCACACACCCACAGAGTGGATCCAGACTCGGCAGATCCGATCTCTGGCTGAGACCCTAGACCTGGGCTTTGCTAACTTGAGCTTCCTCGTTACTCATTCCCTGTGATTCCACACCATGCTCAACCCCAGCAAGCTGGAGGAGCACTTTTATGCATACTGATATGCTGCAGAGAGAGAGAGAAAGAGAGAAACAGAGACAAAGAGAGGTGGAGGAACAACTGTGTGCCTCTTAGATGCAAACACTGAGCTAAGAAAACCTTCCTTATGAGAATCTGAGGTTAGAGAAAGTCTTTCTCTGGTTGCAGACTCTCTGTGGATGAGTCATCTCCAGAAAGAGCTCGGATCAGGATTGTGAAAGGCTTTGGTGAGAACATTTACTAGATGTCCACACTGAAGCAATTCAATTTCATCTAGCAATCTCAGTTACCTCTATTTAGACTTGCTCTTGTCTTTTATTTTCTGTGAGGGTGAGTGCTTTCTCTCTCTCTCTCTCTCTCTCTCTCTCTCTCTCTTTCAGTGAGCTTGTTTAAATGATGACAGAAATCTTGCTAGGCTCTCAGCTGTAATGACTCTGTCCAGTGGACCTGCTGATCCTCTGCTCTACTAAAACACAGTCTAGTAAACACACTGTATCACAGGGTTATATTGGATAAGGATGGAAGTGTGTATGTTACTGCTCTGATGTTTGTCCTGGTGAGCTCGTTCGAGTATAATTAATTAGCCCAATTGGACCAGTCAGGAGAGAAGACACTCTGCTCCCTCTCTCTTTCTCTCTCTTTCCCTCTCTCTCTCTCTCTGTCTCTCGCAGCCAGTGCTTCAGGCTCACTCTGTCCCTGTTTCACCTGGGTGTGCGTGTGTGTGTTTCAGTAGGTGGTAGTGAGCTGTTTGACATCAATCAAAATCAGACAGACCTAGGCACTTCCACTGGTTGGAGTGAAGAGCTCCTGCAGAGAGGTTTCTTATTGCTTTTAACAGAGATGGGGACTCAAGTTAGCCACACGTGTTGACTGACTTGTGACTCATCTCAGACTCAAAACTAATGAAATTTCAGCATGAGCACCTGATTAAATTAAGACTGCCATTCCTAATACGGTAATTGATTAACACCTTTCATTTCCAATCTTATTTGTGTATTCTTACAGACAAGCGCAGTCATTACTATGATGGCGTCCTTCTGCAACTTGCAGCAGTGTCCAGTTTAATACGGATTCAATTAATGAGCCTTTTATTATGGAAAAACTTTCAAACTGATGGGCAGAACAAAGCGCTACAGAAAGTAAATACTGTGTTTAAAGGCAACAACCTGAAATGGACAGCAAGTATGCTAGTTAGAGCAAGAGCTAATATAGATGAAGTTTAACTCATCTAGGTGATGTTTTAGTAAATTACAGACCACATTCCTTTTCTAAATGTACTAAAACTTGCTTGGGACTCGAGTTAGACTCACACCTCAGAGACTTGGGGCTCAAATCAGACTTGGACCCCGGAGACTTGACTCAAACTCACACCCTAGAGATTCAAGACTTGCCTCGGACCACAGTGACTTGAGGCTCGACTCATTCAAACCCCAGAGACTCATGACTCAATTTACACTCAGACCTAAAGACTTGAGACTTAAGTCGGAATTGAACCCCAGTGACTCATGACTCAACTCAGACCCCAGCATCTTTAAGTGGACTTGCATAAAGCAACTTCCTCTCAAAACGTACTAAAACTTACTTGAGACTCAACTCAGACTCGTACACCAGAGATTCGAGACTAATCAGACTTGGACCAGAGGGAATTGAACCCCAGTGACTCAAGACTTTACTTGGACTAACATGAATCAACTTGTGAACATCTCTGACATTTAATTGACATGCTCATTAAATGGCATTGAGCGATGCAAATAACAAGCGGAACATACTGGCTGGAAGAGTCCTATGCAATTCTCTGTGGTCTACAGATGATTAAAACAGTAATAAATCTTAAGTCTTCACCCTTACTCTGAAACTCAGTCCTCCCTCTCCTTTGACACTGTACAGTCTTGCTTTTGCTTTTCTTTCCCTTCTCTCACTTCCCCCTCACAACACCTTATGAAAGAGGGTGTATGTGACTCTTGGACTGATGGCGGTTCTCTGTGCTGCAGTTGAGGGTTGGGGGTTGGTGGGGGAGTTGGAATGCGTAGGTGGACGCATTGTTAGAAATTAACAAAGAGCTCAGAGGCTGTCTCCTGCCTGCTGTTTGGCTCATTAGATCTCACTGCTCCATGCATATGTATTGCTCTTCAAAGGCGCTACACTGTAGCCTGTGAGAACAGTGTCCACCGTTAGAGCTCCTCCATGAATTCCCACTGCAGAAGTCTCTTCTGTTGTGCCGCGGTGTCCAGTGCGTAAAAGGCTAATGCGACTGGTTTAGATGAAACCAAGCCGGCCCTGTGCCTTCTGCCCCTATGACCCAGTCATATCTGTCGGGTCCTTTCATCTGGCATAATGCTGGTTTATAAGGGAGCAAAGATGCCGGTGGGGACAGAGTGTACCTCTCTCCAGCATTGAGAGACACACAGGTATGTAAAGGGCTATGGCTTTGTTGATACACCAATCACACTGCACTTCTTCTTCAGCAAGAAAAAAGAAAAATATTTACAGTACTAAGTATTAATTTACAGTCAAAGTGGCCATCAAGGAAAAGGAGACAGTGGCAAAAATCAACGGAAAATAGGTGAAAAACAAGAGTTTCCAAAACTGGACTTCAAAATAAATTGAGAAATATAAATCGAGTCTCCCTGAAAGTGGACACACTAAATACAGAAGATTTCCTTTTAGTTGTTAAGGCTTCTGTGTATTTTAAAAAAAAAATCTGTGTAAATATAAGTTTTCTGCTTTTTTCCTGATGCCAAAAAATGAATAACTTGTAACTAATTGTCATTTGGACTGGATATAAAATAAATGAAGGACTTTTTCACAGTACTATACATCACATTTCAGGTTTAACCCCTTAAAATCACAGCTTCGTTACATACTAAGGCTTACTATTCAGTAACTACAGGGACTTCAGTGCAAACTGGTTGAGCTATTCTTAGGTTACAGAAGTGTGTAATAAAACTTTGGGCCTGTCGGCAGGCCCCGGCCATTACAGAGGTTAAAGGGTACTCGATAAATGAAGCTCCTTTTTACCTCCAGAGTGGTTCATTAGGTTTTGCAGGATGTAAAACCAGCACAGCAAAGAGTTCTGGAAGCTGTTAAATTAGCTGCGACAGTGGCACTGTGGAGCACTCTTAGATGTTTCTTTACAAAACCTGTGTGTTCAATTATTCTATGTGGACATTTTCCCTGTCATCCTTCTTCTCCTTTTCATCTTCCCTGTTTCTTAAAAGCTTTTCAAAGGACTTTATTGGATTTTGGCCATCAACAAAGAATATCTGCCATCCTATGACTTCAAGCCAAACTTTCCTCCTTTAGATCATCTCAAGTCTTTTCTTGTTCTCCTCCTCAATTTCTTGAAATCACTGTCTGTAAATGATTTTACAGCAATTTGACATAAAATAGTAAAAATAGATGCTGATGCTGTACAAGTTAGACATTACAATCTATAAACAGTAGAATATTTCTATTATTTCTCTGCTGGCAGATTGGGTTCATTCTGATTATGTTTTTGTATAGTAGTGTCAATGCATTTTCTATCAGCTAAACGTTACTGGTATTAAATGTTAAATCAGTAGCTATAAGGTAGAAAATACACCGTAAATCAATTTTCAATTTTAGGTATAATAGGGAACCAAATCAGGAAGATATATGTTAAAAGGAACAGGTCATTTGACTCTTTTAAAATAACCTTGTTGATGTAAAAGAGTTATTGACTGTCTCACTTAAATACTTTGAAATAATTGCATATATGAATATTGTTGTCCTAATAAAATTATGTATCTCCAAAACTTTTCAGTGGTAACTTTACAGGAGAAGGAAAACACGTTCTTAACTTTTTATGTAGGTTAATGTAACAAGATTTTTTTCAAGGTCATTTTGGAACATTTCTATTGGTCCATTTATCATGAAATGTTAAATGTCCAAAAGTACAGATGCTGGGCACAGATGATGTAGAAAAATAAGTCTGAAAAACATATACTGATACATATTTTTCATATGACAGCTACAACATGCTTGTGCCAGTAAAGCTACTTAGTTGAAAATAATTGATGTGATGTAACCTTGTATGTTTATTTCACATACTGATAACACTGTTTGGGATGTGTGTCTCATTAAATAGGTACTCGTGTGTATTATGAAACATACACTGTTAATTATTGCCAGGATTTCACAAAATTTAAGAGTAATTTTTTGTGGTGAAGCACTGTATCTTATTGTGAAATCAACTCAGATATTTTCTGTAATAACACAGAAAATTACTGTGAGGTTGATGTTAAGCTGCATCACACAGCATTACAGAGCATGACAGAAATGGAGTGTTTTTAATAGTTTTTAATAAATGCTTTTTAAGTGTTTTCATTGTGATGATTCAAGTTTTGGTGTTTTAAAGACTTTTAAAGTTTTAAGATAGATTTTTGTTATTGCTTAAATGTCTGAACACTGAGGTGTTGACAAAATGTTATTGTTTATTGATATTGGTCATGTGCATGCAAATTGTAAGCAAGTTACGATGTCTGTTAAATGTGCATTTGCATATTTATAAATACATATTTCAGATATTCTGTGCATATCCAGTGCAGAACATGGTTAATAAATATGGTCATTAATATTTTTTTTAATTAACACATTTTAAGTCTGGTAAATTAAAGGCAATTTTTTAAAAATGCCAATTTACAGCAAATCACTGGCTAAATACAGGAGATTACACATTATTACTGTAAGGGGAATAACAGCAACATCACAGTAATCTTGAGGTGCTGGTGACTGTGGAGTCACAGTGTACAGTTGCTATTCAAACTTCACACCCCAGAACCTTACAGTGGCACAAGTAGATGCATATGTCGTCTCAGACAATCATATGCATCTACCCAAACCAGGCTGACCATCAGTTAAAATGTTCACAATCAAGAATCTAAGATGTGAACCTTGCCAGGAGAAACATGGCTATAGATACCAACAGCTCAACTGTTTAAACACTCACACATTTTTTTCTGGTTATATCACAGAAGTAAACAGAAATGGTCATAAATGATTCAATAAAAGCTGCTTTTTGGGAACGTATTTCTGAAAATACACAATGGAAATACCTGCATTCTAATTTGTTGCCTATTTTATTTTCAGCAGTTGTTGAGTACCTTGTCGTGTTTTTCTGATTTGCTGTGTCAGTAAAACGATAGACATCTGTAGGTCTATCTGTCTGGTGTGTGTGTGTTTGTGTGTGTGTGTGTGTGTGTGTGTGTGTGTGTGTGTGTGTGTGTGTTTTACAGCATTTCGAAGGGATGGAATGGGTAGCAGTAGCCGTTGTTTTCTATCAGGCCTCTGGCTCACATGAGCATCACTGTCCATGGTGCTGAATAAGGGAACCTGTGCAAAACGGTTCATAATAAATCAACCACTTAAACAGCCGTAACTCCACAAACGAACGAGTAAGCAGGATAAATCATTTGCTCGGGTGCTATTTATAGTCATAGGGTGTCAAATTTAGTGTCAATTTCCTACGTCAGTCCGCCTCTGTGACGTAGGCTTTCTCTTCATTAATGAAGAAACAACAGAACGATTCTCGTCATAATCCGATGACGTTACAAACGCCTGTTAGAGGACCTAATTCATAGAAGCAGGTAGACAGCAGCTTATAACGTGACATCAAGGGAGACGCTTTTGTTGCCATAAGAGACGCACAGATATGAACTTGCTTGCTGCATTTGTGTTGTTTTTGAGTGAAATAAAACGTCTTCTGTGCTTGCACTGCTGATTTTTTATGATTTTGTGTTTTTCGACAGAAATCTTATGTAACCTCAGCAAACATTCCATCACTTGAAACATCAGATCCAGCCTCCTAATCTCAGTGCAGGGCTGCAGTTGCCAGCATGAGCAGAAAGATTGGTTTGAATTTCCTTCTTTTTCCAGGCGCAGTCTAAATAAACCCTTTCTCGCCATAGCAGTAAATATACGCAGTCTAAATATAGGACACCTGCGGACCAGTCCAGCATTCCTGTGCTTGAGGAGCAGAAAAGAAGGGTCTGAAATACATTCACATGTCCTTTAAACTTCTAACATTAGCTCACCCCTAGACCTGATATGGGGGGCGGGGGATTATACAACTGAATTAAATTAAAGAAACGCCTGAAGATCTCACAAGGATATTGCTGCAACCGGAGCACCTGGTGGCTCATATCTAATCTAAAAGTGGATTCAAGTCACAGAATCAAGAAACCACAATCAAAATCACAAAACCAGCTCATAATCCAACCCACTGTGGTCATCTTATATAAGTGCAAAATCAAACTAGGTTTCTTAAAACGTCCCCTCCACGCCACATCCACGGCAAGGCACGCGGAGAGAAATCATTTAGCCTCCACAAGGCAAGGTACAGCCACTTTCTACACTCAGCACATCTCAGTCTTACCGTGGCTGCGCTGCGTTTCCCCTTATATTAATTCCAATGGCGCGCTGCTTTCTGCCCCCGAGATCCAGTGCATGCGTGTGCTGCTGTGCGCAGAGCCTGCTGCCTGCCTCTGCTCCGCGTTAAATCGGTCCCCCTTCCCTTTCCCCCGCATCGCATCTCTCCACGAGTTTTCTCAGGCGCTGCGGGGGCGGCCGGTGGGCAGACAGTGGGAGTGTGCTGGGACGGACGGAGGCGAAGGACTGGCGTCCAGACTGCTGCTGCTGCTGCTCACTGACACAACCTGTGCGGAGGGGGCCAAGCACTCATCTCATTTCACATTTACAGTGTCTTAAGGCTTCCGCGGACTCCACATGCAGCATGCTTCAACGGTGCAGATGCGCCTCTGCGTTTTATCTGCAGGTCTTTCTCAGTTTAGCTTGTGCAATTAAAAATGCAATGCAGTTTGACATAAAAAAAACTCCAGGCAATGTCTGAAAATTTAGCACCTTTTTGATCTGCTATTATTCTCAGCCAAACCTGATATGCTCAAAAGTATCCAGTTAGTGAATTCAGTTGCTTTAAGGTGGCACAGGCGCTCAGCTGCGCACACACAGCTTGTATAATCTCCATGGAAAAGGATTGCCAATAGAATGGGTCACTCTGGAGCAGCCACACATGAGCCTAATGTGACCATGCCCGATGCCAATCATGGGCTAGATGGGTATAAAGTGGTGTTTGTGATCCAGAATGAATCGTCCAACATCAGTACCTGATCTCACTAATGCTCTTGAGTCTGAGTGCAATCAAACAGCAACGTGTAAAGCTGTTCACAGGAGACTAGAGGCTCTTACTGCAGCAAAGAGGGAAAGACTCCCTATTAATACCCTTGATTTCAGAAGAAGCAGGTGTCTACAAACTTTTGGACATATAGTGTACACTGCCTGTCATTGTATTATCATCGCAGCTATGCAGAAATACAAGGTGATGTGATGCTCATCACATGGAATTGTGTAACGCTGTAGCCTAAACAGGCTTAAACTTAACTATGTGAGCTGGTTGTTGCCATTGTTTCTACAATTAGAAATTGTGCTTAAATTACAGATTAAATACACCTTTTCTGGTTTTAGATTGTCTCACTTGACCTCCATATGCAAGCAATGGGACCCCCCACCCTGGCTCTGGCACTTTCCTCTGACGTGCAGGGGTTGGGAGGTTGGGTTGTGGAGAAAATCTACCATTCCAAGACTTAGATTTGCAGCACTATTTGCACCACAGCTGTCACTTAAACATCTTGCTGAAGAGCACATCTTGGCTCAGCATAAATCTTAAATATTGCTTTTCATAATTTGCGAGCTAAATAAATATTGAGGCACTCTTCACAGAAAGTAGGGGTGCGATACAATTCCCAGACTGCATAAATACTAACTCAGTGACTGTAGCTATTATGGAACACAGTTTCTATGGTAACACATTCTGTGGATTCCGACAGAAGCGTTCCCACGGTGACATGCACATGCCGCTGAGAGAGGGAGAGAGAGAGAGAGAGAGAGAGAGAGAGAGAGAGAGTGAAGTGACAGACCAGATTTACCAGCTGAAAAGATGCTAAATCAGTGCTTTTTAAAAAGGATTATGGGAGTCATATATCTATTTTTGACACACCAATTATAATGAAGACATGTATTTAATATACAAATAATGGCTCGGGGCAATGCAGGACACACTGAGGTCTAACACAAAGCCCTACAATCAGGCATTCTTAACAGAGGGTCTGTAAGTCACCCTCGCTACCTGCTTCTTCACAAAAAATAACATCAGTAACCAACTCCCTGGAGGTTCATTAATGTGCAATAAATACGCTCATCAATATGCAACGAATATGAGTCTATAGACGGTTTAACTTTGTTGCATGAGTTAATCAATACAATATCAGCTAATAATACAACAGGAACTGAAACTCAATGTGTAAAAGAATCATATGTTTAACTCCAAATATACAGTAATGTGCAAAAGTCAGAGACCACCCTTTTATCAATTTCTCTAGCCAAAATGGCCAGTAAGTACATGTTATTGCTTTTCAGTATCAGGACAAAAGTAGAAAACATATTTTCAACAGCTTCAACAACAATAACTAAATATATTTTTTTCAATATTCAGTGTGTCCACCCTTTTCCTTTATTACAGCTTCCATTTGCTTCAGTAGACTTGCTTTCTGTTTAGAAGTTGGTTACATTTTCTGCTTCTCACAATCCAAGTAATCCCAAACACATTCAATGATGTTGCGGTCTGGACTCTGGGGTGGTCAGTCAGTTGTTCTAAGAACACCAGCAGCTTCTTTGTTTGATTCTTTGTCTGCCGTTTGTTGTTGGTAAGGGCTTCTTGACAGCTACACATCCTTTCAGACTCATAGTGTTGAGTTGTTCTTCTCACAGTGGAAGGATGAACAGAAACACCTGTGGATTTTTCAGATCTGAAGCAGAGTGGAGCTTGATTTTCTCTTCTCTCTCTGCCATGTTTTGCATGGTTGTTAGGAGTCCCATTTTTTCTGTATATTCTAATTTTTTTAAAAAGCTTATGCTTTTTAAACTCATTTCCTTTGACTGCCCTCTTCTGTATACAAGCAGATTATTTTATAAAATATGTCCTGAAAAATGAATAACTTGTACTCAGAGGGTGTTTTGTAAATTTGTGCAATCATGCATGGTGCAAGTCAAAATAGTCCATAGATTACAGTGACACATCAAATTGTCTTTTAAGTTTAAGTATTTTAAATTTAGCTGAAAGAGTATTTTGTAGTATCTATAACATTCTTTATATGTGTAGGTAATTAATTCCAAGTGTGAGCTGCTCTGAAAAAGGTGACTGTCTATGGGACAAGTTTCACATTCACCTCCCTGCTCTCTGCTGGATCCTCTGGGACTGTTTCACAGCATCAAGACACATGACTTGAATCTGAAATCAGGATATGGAAAGGAGTCTTAACATTGCTCTGTGATGGATTATTTATAAAAATCAAAACATTCTATAGTCAGTGCTTTTCTATGGAGATTATACAAGCTGTGTGTCTGCAATGGAACACCTGTATCAGCAATGAGTGCATCTTAAAGTAGCTGAATTTACTAATTAGAAGAGGTGTCTGGATACTTTTGGACATATAGTGTATCATAAGCTTGTTCTAAATGTAAGCATTGTAAGTGAAAGCTTGTTCTAACTTGTCTAAAGGTAAAGAATCCAAAAGTGTTGTTGCAGCACTAAATAACTTTTTTTAGCTGTAAAAGCATTCATGAATTACAAGTAAACACAAGTAACCTATCAATCAGTTGCATTTCTCTTACACCAGAACACAAGTGTTACAGTCTAACAGTGCAACAGTCCCATCACCTGTTATACAGTGGCCCCAAAACATATTTGGACACGTATTTGGGCAACTACACAATGTATTACATTTATTGTGTTATGAAACAAATAGCCAAAGTGGCATTATTTTAACCCTTTGAATGGCCAGGGCCCACCAGCAGGCCCAAAGTTTTATTACACACTTCTATAACCTAAGAATAGCTCAGAAGTTTGCATTAAAGTCAGTAGTTATTGAATAATAAGTCTTAGTGTGAAATAAGCCTGGGATTTTACGGGGTTAAACGGACTATGCAACATAATCTTATTTTTGGCAAATTATCCTTTTAAGTGGCGACTGGTGTGTTTCATTTTCAGACTTGTACAGTTTTGTCCAAAATGCCTTTGTACACTTCTGAGTTCATGATTCCATCAATGAACACAAGATCGCAGACACCACTGTAACACAAACGGCCCCCAGACTTTGACATATCCACCTCTGTGTTTTACAGTATTCTTAGAGCTTATTCTTACAGCAGTTTGGAATTCTTCTCCCGGTTTTCTCCATAAAAAGAGGCTATTATCAGTCGTGCTAAAAGTGTCTCTTTGAAACAAAAATCCTTTTGTTACATGTTTTTCTCTAGTAACCTAAAGCATTTCTTTAAAGTTTACCAGTGGTTGAATGGTTAAAGTGGTCTAAATACGTTTTGATGCCTCTGTATTCACTTCTCACTTCTAGTTGAAACGTCAAGCCCAGAGTTGAATATGTAATGAAATAAAATAAATGAGGAGCAATTTAATCATAAACACTTTGACACCTGACCTGCAGCACAAACAGTGATAGTGTTTCCAGGATAACTATTTTGCTGGGGCATCCTCAATGCTTACTACATTGTCAGGATATGTTTAATTACCCTGATATAACAACTGTATAACTGTACAACAACAACATCAATAGCAAAAATAATAAGCATTTTTATGTATTATTTCTTGTTACAATTCTTGACGCATTGCTGGAGGAGCGACTCAGGAACTCTAATTTATCAAAGGTGTTTTCTAGAGGGAAGCCATTCTTGAACGCAACGAGACGGAGACGGATTTGTTTACATTCTGTTTGGCGGGGAATTTCGTTTCATAACTTCAGCCGAAACCTCGCTGAATATTGTAATTATAGGCGTGCGATAAATAGAGGCTGAAGTGCGTGAATTAAAGACGACTGTTGTTTCCCACCCGACTAAACAGGGTCGCGGCAGTACAGTAACGTTAGCATGACGCTTAGCTCGGTTAGCCTTCTTTAGTTCGTTTGATTGTTTTTCGCCTCATTGTTGAAATGATCTGCTGTGTGGGACCAGAAATGAGTGGCTTAATGAAAGATATGTGACTGTTTTGCTAACCTAGCTAGCGCTGATGCTCTGATTGCAGTTTGTACATATTAACTATGCCGCTGGTTGACGTAGCTCACAGTCGGAGCAGTGAAAGTTAGAGCTGACCGTTTTCCTGGAAGTCACAACTTTGCAACAAACAAGTTCTGTGTTTTTACTACTGGCGTTCAGCGGGCAAGGTCAGTTGACTAAAGCCCTGTTCGGACGGGATTTGTTTAACTTGAGGAGGTGGGGTAATTTAATGTAAATTGAACTGCTGTTTTTCAGTGATTTTAGTCCCATCTGAATGCGCGCTCCCGCTTCAGTAAAGATCCCGATGTTCTGACGTCACCGTACTTCACCGTAGCGCGTATTTTAAGTAGCGCGCTACATAAAACTGTGGGTAGGATATTCTGATGGCCTAAATTACCCTGTCAGAAAATGCTACCATCACTGAAATGTATAGGTAGGACAGTTTGATAGCCTAAATCTTCTTATCAGAAAACGTTATCAGCATTTAAAAAATAATTAGGATATTTTTTGATCGCCTAAATCACCTTATCAGGGAGTAAGTAATAATATTAAGCTGAGTCTGTACTGAATTAACATTAAAAACATAATGAAACGTTTGAAACATTAAGTTACTACGCTATAGTAATGATATGCGCATGCTCAGTAGGACCACTCAACGGGTAGGACAAACTGTTAGAATACCTGTCGCATTTTACCTTGCAGTAAACAGGCATTTGGTTAGAAATAATAAACTCAGGGTAAATTACTCTTGTGTGGATCGACATGTCGGTAAAAACGCTATCATATTTGTGTTAAAAAGGAGTTTCTTAAGTATTGAGGCTTGAAGAAGCGTTTGTTTGTGTTCTCTGTGACTAAAATCAAGCAAGTATTTATCAGCTCAGATGGTATTTATCAACTCACATGTCGTTACAGTGGTGGTGACAGGAACCAGGTGTAACAATGTCTACAACACAAATAGGGACTGTCTCCCATGTACATCTCAGAACATATAAAATTATAGAAAAACTTTTGATATTATGCGACTGTTTGCTGTGAATATAAACTGCATTACTCCACCTCCCCATGGAAAGCTAAGCCTGTCAGAACAGGGCTAAAGTTACTCTGTGATTCTTCCAGTTGGTTAAATGACCTGGATTTCCACCCACAGTGCACTTTAAAGGGGAATTCCACCGAAATTCCAAAAGTTATGATGCAAAATACTGCATTGTAGAGGAACATATAGACTCAGATTTTTTTAGGGGTGGTGACAGGAACCTGGGGTTGTGATGTCTACAACACAAATATAGCCATTTTATATGCCCCCCAAAACTAGTTGACCTACAGATGTCTTTTATATGTAATTTTGATGTGAAAATGGTAAATCTGAAAAAATGGTTTCTTTTGGCAGCGGTTTTGCATGCACATCTGCTGCGTGTAAAACAATGTAGCCAACATATTCGTAACTATGTCCTGTACCTTTCTCCGATGCATTAAATAATTCTGACATCTCTTTCTTATCAGTGTCGCTAGAATCGAGCATTTCCCATCAAACCTATATATAGAAATCGTGAAAAATAGATTGAATTCCCCTTTAAACTTTTAGCTAAAGTATCTTTAGCTAAACATTATTAAAATATGTTATAGCCTCAGTTTACACCTTTGTATGATCTCTTTGGTCCATTTCCAGAAGACTCACATTGTTGCTATTAACTTCACATGCCTGGACGATGGCTGGACGAGGGCGTGGAAGAGGACGAGGTCAGCTGAGTTTCTGCATGGAGGCTGTAGGAATAGGAAAAGGAGAGAATCTCCCACCTTCAACTGTCCAGCCTACACAACTGTTTCCTGTGAGTTACATTTAATGTACAGTTCACTAACAGTCTTGCTAACCACGGACTCTGAAAAAATGTCTTTATTATAGCACTACATTACATTGTACTACATTGGGTGACAATATGACGATATATATTAATGTTTTTAATTAACGTTTCTCTGAGTAAATAGGGGGTATTTATAGTACTTGGAGAACACTTACTTAAAAAAAACAGAGCATAATTATGTCCTGTTCAGTTGGATTTATTTCAGTGCAGTGTGTCAAAAATCATTGAATTGACTTAAATTGGGCAAAGTGTAACAGTGTGGAAACCCAGAACTGAAAGTGAGGAATGCCACAACTGGTATAAACTGAAGCATGATCCAATTTTAGATCTGAGCCCTCTTTTTTCAGATGTAAAGTGTTTTGAGATATGACAGCATTGTAACAGCAGTGTGATCACCATGAGTCGTTTTTAAGCAAAGCATGTTGTCACACTCATGAACGAATGAAATATGGGTTTTCGCAGTTAATGACTTAATATTTTAAACTGGTGTTTTGATAAAGCTGTTGAGGAACCTGTTCCTTACAATGAATTTTACTATTCTGTTGTTGGGGAAAGTGATACTCTTGTTTTAGAAAGTTATTTCTTAAAATAGTGTTCCTATTTTTTTCTGAATTGCTATTTTTAACGAGCTTAGGAGACTGGACAGATTAATATAATTTTAAGTAAAGCTGTTTTCATGTTTAGTACTATCCTGTGTGGTTGAGTTTTGCCTGAAGTACATGATCCATAGATATCACCAAGCACTGGGTATCTTCCATGATGTCTCTGCCAGGCCTGTAATGTGGCCATTTATAGTTCTTGATGGTTTCAAGAGTTTCAGGCTGGTTTTGCCTTCAATCTTGTCATCAGACATTTACATCTACTTCTTAGTAAAGTATAACCTGACATTAAAGTTCTATAGGCTTACCTTTGTTTGATTTTTGTGCTAAACCATGTTAGCTAAAGCTGGTATGTCCTTCTTTTTGTGGGCACCACAAAAATATATGTGTTTTTTTTATTTGTTGGAACAGTTGAAAAGGTTTTTATCATCACCCACAACTACCATTTAACAGGTTTTTTGCTACTGTTGAGCTCCGTACACCTCCTTTTTTGGCATTTTAAATTTTTTTATGCAGTTTGAAAATTCCTTGTTGGTTAATGATGTTAGTTAATTACTTTGAAAGTTAAGAAGGTTTTTTCGTCTTCTGTAAATTACTTTTTTGGAGATTCAAGACAGCAACAATATATTCAGTATATACGTATATTTAGTGTTCACTAGTGATTAAAAAAATGTCTTTGTAACTGCCATGTTTATGCAAACTGAAGATATATTATTATCTACTGCAGACATTAATTGTGTGTTCAGCAATCTGCGAAACATCTGTATGTGGTAATATACTATAACTATAACAAATGTGTTTGGATATTTGTGACATGAGGTAATGACTGTTATGGTTAATTGACTGTTCTCTTTGTCTTGTTGTTTCAAATTCAAAGCCCTTGGAGCATAAGCCAGTGCCCTTGCAGACAGGAGAGGAGGCAGAGTACATGCTAGCTCTGAAGCAGGAGTTCAGAGCAGCCATGAAGACTCTGCCTTTCTATGTACGGCCTGCTGCGCCAAAGAAAGGTCACAGGCTCTTTTTACTCAGCATTATATCACTTATCATTAGTGATTAAGCTTTGGAGTAAACTATGACACACAAACAGGAGTCTCACTTACAAGCTCGGGGGCATATTTAGGTGCATTGTCTATCAGACAAACATAATATATATTGTTTGTCCAAAGTAGTATTTTTTTATAATATAATTACTGAATTTATAATATATTTGAACAGAGGATTTATGTTCATCTTATGTTTATAATCAGCTCTGAATTCTTAACTCTTAAAAGTTATTGTTTTCATTTTGCTATACAGTTCAAATGCAATTATGTAATTTCTTATTTAATTACATAAGTTACACAATCAATTACATTTTTAAATTCAATTTGCATTCTGTATTGACAGGACAAGGTCTGCATTTTTGTCTTCTGCATTTTTGTCTTCCATTTGTTTCTGTTTAAAAAAAAATGACAAAAATGTGGCAAAAAAGCGTAAAAGGATATTTTTTTGTTCTGCAGAACAGGACTTTTATGGTCAACAATGACTTTTCATCAAATTCAATTTAAAATAAAAAAGTTTCTTGTTTTGAAACTTTTTACTCAAAAACACGACTGGTTATCGATTGAAAGTTTAGAATCTGGACTTTCAACTTAAATTCACTGCTTGTTGGTGACATGTTGCTTGTTGAGAAACAAATAATGTTTATTTTAATAAGTAATAAAAAAATTGTTGCAATGATTTTTTTCAATAAGCAGTCCTGTATGCATAAATTCGAAGTGTATTATTTCACAAATGTATATTCTGTGTATACTTCTGTTTATATTAGATTGCTAATCATTTATTTGTATATTTATTTTTGCTAGATGTGGAGCGTTACTCTGACAAATATCAGAATACTGACCCGTCCGACAGTACGACTGAATGGAGCCCAGGTAAGTGTTTTACCTGTTTATGTATTTATTTGCTTATTTGTTTTGAATAGATTTCAGAATGCTAATAAGATAGGACTGGACTGACTGTTGGACTGGAACTCAATCAGGAGTTTTATTAAGAGATGTGAGCGAGGTCTGTTCCATTAGATCATCACTCCTGTGGAGCTTCCGAGACTGAATCAACAGCATTAATTGAATGACAAATTACCATGAAGTCAGGATTGGTTCTTGGCACACTAATTAAACCCACGATGTGGCAGCATGGAGAGCCTGAAATGATAGTGTCAGGCAAATTAGAAGTGACAGGCTGAGACAGCAGCGGAAGAACCGGGTTCCACAGTGGCTCGTGGTGGTCAATCAGACAGCTGGAGCTGGGGAGAGGCTTTAGCTGCAGAGCTCTCTACAGCAGACGTCCATTCAGATTTGTGTGATTCAAGTGACAAGATGTAGTGCAGTAATAGATATTTTGAGCTGGATGAACATCAGTCTGCAGTAGAGTGGGGAAAAATAAAAGATTCTTGGAAAGATTCTGCACAAAACATCAAAACTGGAATTTAATACATGCTTAAGCAGTTTTTTCTGATGAAAAATAAACACTACAGGTAATATTGTACATAATGTGCTTGTAGACGAATGTGCCATGTGTGGGCTACATTCACATTCAGCTAAGCTGACACTACTTGTAAAGATAGACAAATGTGGGGGAAAAATTAAACCGTAGGCTACAGAAAACAAAAATTAACATGCATAGAATTGTTTTATGATTGCATCTTTAATCGAAGATGAATTGAATTGTGAGGTGCCTAGATATTTCCACACCCAGTTTAAAACATTTGCTATAAGAAATGTTTTCTGTACAGTACTGTACTGTGCTGTATTGTATGTCAGAAACAGGATTAGAATGTTTTTCATCAACCACAACTTAATTTTTCACCTCAAGTATGAGGGATATTGGCAAATTTATTGAGTACGTAATCAAATGTCCTTACTGTAAATGGCCTAACTCAGCAGAAGCCTGTTTATGTAGGCCCACTATTCCCCAAACAGTCCAAAGTGAAAGTGATGTTTTTTTCCCAGATCAGTTTGGTCACTGGAGGAAAACATTGTTTTCTCACACCACTAGACTACAATCGTGTGCAGAAGTTTGAGCACCCCTAGTCAAATGACATGTTTTGTTGATTTTGTTGATAAGTTAGCTAACAAATCTTCTACAGGTAAAAAGGTTTCATGGCATTTGTCTGCAAATTTTAGTGCACGGTTTCTTTATGTTTACAGAGTTTAACACATTGGAAAAATAAAATATAAAATGTACCATAACTTTTTTTACAGGCCACATTTTATGTTTTTTTCCAGTATGTTAAATTCTGCACATAAAAAGTAATTGTGCATTAAAATGTGCAGAGGTGTGTTCTCTGTAGACGATGTGCTAATTTATTTACACTTAGAAAATCAACAAAACATGTAATTTGATCAGGGGTTGGTCACCCCTGGTCATATTATATGTTTTGTTGATTTTCTAACTTTTGCATGTAAATGTAAAAATAAAAAAACAATCAGTAACTTTTTTTTATTAGATTTGTTTGTAGCTTTCCATACCCCATTAATTGCAATAACATAACTCAGATATTTATTGAGAGTTGTTTAAGTAATTATTGCTGTCCTTCTATTCTAGACTGGAGGCGTTTTCCGAAAGAGCTGCGTGTGCGGGCGAAGAGGCCTATGAGTGAGAGTGAGTGAGCCGCAGATCAGTCCAGATAAGCTTTTCCGCACGGCCAATATGTGCTGATTAGCAGCCCCGCTGCCTCCTCTTCCCAGAGGGAGCGAGGCCTTAATCTACAGCCACTCCACACAGAGAAACCACAGCGAAACACCACATTGACTCTGTGGGAGAGCCATGCCTCTGCTTCAGCCTCACAGGCCGGGGAGGATAAAATATGCGTGCAGAGCTTTTAGAGAGAAATAATGTCAGGCTTTAAATGCACTTCTTTGAAAAGCAAAGTGCCGCTCCTTGTTAGTGGCATCAACTACAAGTTGCCTTTCACTGCAGCTGTGTGTGCTCTTGCAGCACTCAGGCCTTTCTGTAGCCACACGTCTTAAAAGAGGGTAAATGGCATAAATTAGAGCGCATGGAAGAGGCGGCCTGCCTTCTAGTCCTTAAGTGGTGAAAGTAGGCTCTGACTCATTGCTGTCTCAGGGGAAATTCAGGAAGACAGCACTCTGCGCTATTACACGCACCTCCAAAATGAAAGGCTGTGGATAGATGGATGAAAGATGCAGCGGGAAGGAGAGTGATGAGCGGCATAAAGCTGCAGCATTGAAGAAAGCAACATATTTATTTTAAAGCTATGCGACTTTTGAAAAAGAAACAGTATCAGTTGTATTTTCCTAGATTATTGTGGTTGAGTGTGCTTAGTTAATCCAATGAAGCACAATTAGTTCCTTTCTGTACTCTACTTTTAATTAAGCCTTGTCAGTCTTACTATGAGGAAATGCCTGATTTTCAGAGAACCCAGTTGTTGCCAAACACAGCAAGCAGCCACGGGTGGATAAAGAGGAGATCATCCGCAAGTTGGAGGTAGAATTTTATTCTCCTTGTGTGCACTGTGTACAATAGTATATTATATACAGTACTGTGCAAAGGTAAACCAGGTAGACCCTTTATTTAATCTAGAGTTGACAGTCCATTGGGAACACCAGCAGCTTCTTTGTTTTGCAAATTTTCTTCTTATTTGTCTATTTTCCTTTCTCGGTAACGTCTTCTTGACAGCTGCATGTCAGACTCATAGTGTTGAGTTGTTCTTCTCACAGTGGAAGGATGGACAGAAAAACCTGTGGATTTTTTCAGATCTGAAGCAAGAGTGGAGCTTGAATTTCTCCTCTCTCTCAAAGATAAAAGCTTTAAGTACTGTTTATCTGATGGTGACAGTTTTGGTGGTCTACTAGATCTTGCAGGTTGTTAGAAGTCCCATTTTGTCTCTTTCTTTTCATTATTTTAGAACTCCAGTTGTGTTCACTTGTTTCCTCTCAGTTCTTTATGCATGTCGATTATCCTATAGTTAATTCCCTCAGAAATACCTCCATGACAGTGGAAATTAAATACATGAAGAGTGGTACCTGACTTTTGCACTGTACTGTATTGCAATAAAACTAACTATTTAGACTTGTTACAGATCTGTCCTTGCTTCAGATCATTCAGTAATTCTCTAAGACAGATGTATGTTTTCATCCATCAGACATTGGAGAAAAAAGAGGAGGAGGTGAGTTCTGATGAAGAGGAGGGTGAGAAGAAAAAAACAGAGGAAGAAGAGGCAGAGGGTGAGGAGGAGTATGATGAGGAAGAGTTTGAGGAGGTAAGATTTCTTTTAGCTCTAATTTGTAGGTGGGGCTTACACTTGACGTGTTCTTACTCTGACTTCTTCCTTGTATGTGTGGTGTGTTTGTGTTCAAATAACAGGAGACAGACTATATAATGTCATATTTTGACAACGGTGAAGATTTTGGTGCAGACAGCGACGACAATATGGATGAGGCTATTTACTGATACTGAACTGGAGAACTGCGGGCAGCTACCAGAAGTTAAGCTGAGGATGTTCGAGTCCTCCCCACATTAAGCACATTTGAATGGTTGACTGTTTTATTTGGCAGCTGTGTGTGTAATCCAGGCCCCTCTTTACTAAGAGGTGAACAGAGTAGATTTATAAGACTGCTTTTGTAATAGAAGTACAACTTTAAGCCGGAGAGGTACGAATCCTAATACACCTTAAAATTTAATCAGCTCTTTTCACTTCATTGATTTTACTCAACTGGCCAATGAAAAACACATTATAAATGTAATGGGTTAGGTTTAATTGAAAATATAATGGAAACTCCTTGCCTTGATTGAATCAAGCATATTGTCGCTGTCAGAACAAAACCTTGTATTTTCATTTTTACCCTTTCTATTTATTTACATGATTTGAAAACGCCAGCTGCCAAATACGTTGCGTTTTTGTGACAAATGGACAAGGAAATTAAAAATTACTTGGAACAAAATTGTGTTACATAAACTTACATTAAAAGTTAAGTCTCCTGGAAAGTTACCATTTTCGAGAGACAAGGTTAAGTTTCTACAGCGATGACATAAAGTATGTTACTAACAAATTACTGAATTATGGCAACAAGTTTGAACAATGTCCAAGTACAATTGTCATTTTCAGATTAATTTTGCATTACATTTTGTAAAATAAGAAGAAAAAAATGAGAGACATACACCTGTTGTCAGTTTTGTATTACTATTTGTAGACTTTTAACACCCAGTTGGGTTTTTTTTTTTTTGAAGTTTATCTGTTTCTTATAAATAGCAACATATTTCTCAATAGTCATATTATTTTGTTGTATTCATTTATTGTGTTACAAACAATGAATGTGCACATTTTATACATTTGAATGTTTTAATGTTTTTTGTTTGTTTTTACATTTTAGTGAGGTAGTGTTTTGATTTGGTGGTCTGCATTGATTACGTGTTCCATTTGCATCACCAGCACTCCAGTTACTTCAAAGTATTATAGAGGTTGTATTATTGTTATATGTAGTGGTTTTAGTGAAAGACACTTTTGTCTCAGTAACAGTAAGCACAATAAATTAACTAGTCTTAAACAAGTGACTGTGAGTATGATCATTTTTATGTGATGTAAAAACGGCTGCAAACAATGGCAGATTCTTTAAAGGGGAATTTCACTGATTTTTAAAAAATATCTGCTTAATTAAAAGGTTAAGATGTAAATAAAATCATTCCGTGGTATAATGTGAAATGCTCTGTTTCAGAGAAATTTATCAGGTCAGAACTGTTCACATTGGTGGTGATAGGAACCAGATGTCTGAAGAGTTTAATACCCCTTGAAGCTACATCAAAGAAAGTTATTACATGAAATGGCTACAAATATGCTGCCAGAATTCCCCTTTGAGATGCTAGTTTTAGTTAGTTTTCTGAGCACTGTTAAACGTAAGTCTTTCTGTAAGAGCAGTTCTTTTGAATGGCAGGTAGGTGGTGTCTGACGATAGTTAAAAGTACTAATGGCAGAAAGACCATCTCGGCTATGTCTGGTAAGATGATCCACAGTATTTCAGAAGATATATAGTTGCCCATAGCTTTGCCATGACAGTTGCACTTACTACCTCCACTAGACTTTTATTGACAAATGTCCATCTTGAGACCACAGTATATTGTTGGAAAATATCGCTCAAATGGGCAAATGCTCTTTTATTTTGAAAAGGCACCCCAATGGCAGCAAGCAATGACCAGAACAGCATTAACCACAGCACGAAAACAAAGGGAGGGAGTAATTCAGGAGGATATGACATTCAAGGAGGGTAGACACTTCTAACCACTGGTTAACTGAAAAAGCCCTAATCTTGGATACAACTTAAATCAAGCAACACAACTACACTGATAACATCGTCAACAACAAAAACAATAGTCTCCTTCTAAAATGTGTACATGTCGCCCCCAAGAGCCGCTTTGCGTCACACCCCCTAAGCTCCTCACGGCAACATGGCCCGTTGCAGACACCACACAGCACCCCCATTCAAGGGTCGTTTGTCAGCCCAAACAGCCCAAGCAAAGTTTCTGGGCCACATGGAGTCCTGGGCCGTCCAGTGTCCCAGCCACACAACCGGCAACAGGCACCCCCAGTCCTCTCTCAGGGCCATGTTCTTGGTGCAGCAGCTCCTCTGTGTACCCCGCTTTAGGTGCTCTGACCCTGGCAGGCAGCCAAGCACCAGCTCCGTGAGCATCTCCAACACTGCGCTGGAGCGGAGAGTCTGAGACCTGTGTTCTATGCCTGGGCATGGTAGAACTCCTTGCAGCTCACAGCATCAAGTCTGGTGCTACAGGAGTGACGGCAGCAGCAGCAGCACTCCTCTCAGCTGCTTTCTGCTTTTTCCTTTGCCCACTGTGTCGTCGATGCCAGCAAGGGTGCTGCTCATGTGCGCTGCCCATGGCCCTCGGGGATCCATCCAACGGCACGACCAGGAGCCGATTCCTCTCTCTCAGATCCTCTGGCAGCTGTGTGTTCAGGAAGTGTTTCAATGCCAACTCCTCCTGTGCAGGTTTCTAGAACATGGGTATGCCTGCCGAACCATCATGCTCAGCTCCGCCACCAGCATGCTTCTCCACTCTCCTTTCAGCTTCTGACTCCCAGGGAGCAGCCACACTGCTGGTGTCTGCCTAAAGCGTTGCTGGAGGGATGCGGTCAACACCACTTGGTCATGTTGTTCCAGCGTCAGATTCACAAGCTCCTGTAGTGCTTTCCACTCAAGTGCCAGACACAGCTGCATCGTGCTGTCCAGCAGTGATGTCAGGTGACCACTTTCAGTTGTGCGGAGTACAGCTCCTAGGTGTCCTCATTGTTGAAGCACGTTAAGCATCTCCCTTTCGCCGGGCTCCAGCTTGGCTCCACTGCCAAGTCTTGCCACGCTGTTTCCTTTGCCGTCTTCCCCAGCCAGCCACCTCACTATCAGCTGATTGAAGCCATCAGTGAGGGAGCAGGCATAGCACTCGATACCGCCTGTCCTCTTCAGCGTCCACCTTTGAGTTTGTTGGTGCACACCTCAATTTCTTCCAGCTCAGTGGCTATATCCCATTTCTGACACCAATGTAGTATTTGCATAGAAGAAGATGTAGAAAACATTGCACATACAGACAAATGCTCTTCTGTTTTGAACAGGTATTTTAATGGCCGCAAGAAATGCCCAGCTCAGCGTTAACCAAGTTATGAAATGCAGGGAGGGGGTAATGCAGGAGGACATTCAAGGAGGGTAGGCACTTCTAACCGCTAGTTAACCGCAAAGGCCACTCTCTTCGGACACAGTTTACACTAAGCAACACAACTACTCTGATAACAACATCAGCAACAGCAACAAGAGCAGTTCCTTTCCAAACTGAGAGCATGGTGTTCCCTAAGAGCCGCTTTGCATGGCCTTACCCACTAAGCTCCTCACAGCAGTGTGTCCCATGGCAGATGCCACAATATCTTCTATGTTCTGTAACCAAAAATGCTGCCAGACATAAATTTGCTTACCTTTAAATTTCTAGAAACTGTTGTTTTTTATTTTTTTGCAAATGAGTAATTGCCAATACTTATTTCATGGTGACTGTTCTTTGACTCAACTAAGGTGAGTCTGAGGTAGTCCTTAAAATGTACCTGGAATTGCTTGATTAAGCTTGGCATTCAGTGGCAGTAAGTTGTGTGTCAACATATTTCATAAGCCTAACCTTGACTGACTTTGACCATCTTTAAACAGTCATTATTCATGTTATCTGTCTGAAAACAGGATAGCTTCTGACCTTTTTCTCTCTTGATTTGCAACTGAAACCATCTATGGCAAACTACTGTTGTCAGTTCACCACTGTTGACATCTCTAGATATTAAAGAGAAATTACATTGAATTTCCGAAGTTTCTGTATAATGTAATTGTTGAGTTGTTAAAAAAAATTCAGAGTGGTTTGTTGTGCAATACAGAGAAACTTACCAACTGAGACTTTCTTTATAGTGCTGGAGATAGGAACCGGGAGTCAAGATGTCCACAACACAAAAATAGCCATTTTATTTCCTATCCAAAACCACAGGCAAGTTTTCTGAGTTTTTATATGTAACGTCATTTGTGGTAAGATATTGATAAATCTGAAAAAAATTCTGTTTTGTTTTTCTTGTACCTCTGTGCCATAAGTTTGCCAAAATTTGCATAACCATTTCATGTAATACGTTTTTGTGGTGTTTCTGTCTGTTTTTGTGGTGTAACTTTTAGAGGTATCACATGCTTTGACCATCTGATTCCTTTCACCACCACTCTGAACAATTGTGACTCATTAAGTTTCTGTAAAATGGAACATCTCACATCAAACCACTGGATGACTTTGTTTACATTTTAACCATTTAATAATGAATTTGAAGAGTCAGTGGAATTCCTCTTTAATAGGGCAGGATATAAGCTGTACAAAAGACTTATAGTTTATACATTATACTTCACACTTTATGATATACACAATATATGGCTCATATAGGGACAGTCTTTGAAAAGAGAACGTTTAACATTACCATTAACCCCTCAAATCCTGAGGGTCTGTATGTGGTCCACACTCATTACTACATAACTTATTGTTATGTATTATTATGAACATATTGGTTCCACAGACGTTACTGAATAATTTATAATAGTTACTGAACCATAAGCCTAAGATTTAGGTTTTAGGGATGTCTGGAGTCTGTAGGCCCACAGCTGAGTATACAATATGACGACATATAAAGAGAATTTAGTTATGGCCTGTGGTCATACTGTGAGATGTCTCACATCCGTAACAAAAGCTTGCAAATTATTTGTGTGTGTGTGTGTGTGTGTGTGTGACACCAAACAAGGCCATTAAGTTTGAGCCCTGCTTGTTTTAATGTGCTTGCCGCTCAACTGCATCTTGTCATTACACCTTTGAAAAAGTTAAGTCTGCAATGTTATTCCTCAAGGGCCAATATCATACAAAATTAAATTTTCATTGCTTTTTTCTGATAAAATTATTTGGTGTATGTAAACATTGTCAAAGTTTCACAGTATACTGTTTGCTCCTCAGTCCATGCAGTCCGTATATGGAAACTAAGTAGCAAATTCACTGTTTCTGTGATGTCCAAGAACCATCTCATTTACAAATAACTGCCTGCAGTAGTTAAGCCCCACCTATTCACACTGAAGTTATAAGGAGCGTTACCATCTGGGGTGCTTTTTGAATGAGGCACAAATGCAGGATTGCTAGGCAGAACAGAGCTCATTTATGTGCCTCAGTCCTACAGGGACAGTAACAAAAACGGCCTGTTTAATTATAAGGAATAAAAATGCTCATGTAAAATGAATTATGACTGTTTTTGCTACATAAACCTACACAAATATTATAAGTGGACCCCAGGGGGAAAAATAAAATGCACAAAATGTTGTATATGGGCCCTTTAAATGTGACACACATGGCCCCAACAAGGCTCTCCTATGGGACAACCTGAAAGCTCAATCCTAAATGAAACTTTTTTAGAGGTATTAGTTGTTCCAGGAATAGGCTAAGAGTTTTTATTCAGGGAAGTGGTGAAACTTATCCAGTGGAGGACGGCAGCCGTGGAACAGGAGCCGGGGGAGGGCCAGAGGGTGTGGCAGCTGGAGGAAAAGAGGAAGACAGCTGAATCAGTGCAAGTCTACAGTTTCTTTCTCAAGCATGTTCATCACTGCCTGACAGAATGATAACAAGCTTAACGAGACACCTAGGACTCAAAACCGATTTCTGGAATTTGGGGCAGTTTCAAATAGCCTGGGAATGACGCATGTGATAATACGACACCTCGGTGGTGCTCTCCAGTAGTATGTATTCTGTCAGTACTTTTATTATCTCCAGTTTGCACTGGAATTCCACCACAGTTTCTTCAGCATTTTCTTTACCTCTATTTTAAAAGCCCACACACCTGGGGTTGCCATACTGTCACTGATAACTGTTCCATCCCAATGTTACGCTTAATAACTTATCTGTACTAAGACCTGCTTTTCTCTTAATGCGCGTAACTCCTTATAAAGCCTTAGAGCCTGTGGGTATTATCCAAACTATCACTGGTGCTTTGCTGATGCCTATCTGAGTCATTATGTGCAAAAGAACAAACCGGTCCTGGAGCAGTTTGTTAATGAATATGTCCCCTGGTGCTTTCTCAGCATCTGGTCTGAATCCCCAGCACAAATACTGATACATGAGCCTGCGACTGGTACAGCAGGTGCTAACTCAGAGCCCAAATGCAGCACGTAGGTGTCTAAAACTGTCTCCCAGTAGGTCCTTCAGCACCAGTACTGCAAAATCCCTGTGGTGTTAATTAAAAGTAACACTACAATTTGCACCTTAGCTCAATCAAATATCTTTGAACTCATCTAGTAGAGAATAGGATACGATATGAGCTAGCATTCAGTACAAACTGTAATCATGCTATGTACAGTACAGTGAAAAAGTCTAAATTAAGTTTTTCTATTAAGCCATTATGTTTTTCATTTTTCAGGAGATGCTTGTGAGATTATGCATGAGGTAGATAATGCAATATGCTCCTGGAGGTACACCAGGCACTACTGATATTTCCATATTTTTCTTCAGGAGTAAAACCAATCAAATGCACGAGGACACATGCTGTATTTCAATAACACTAAATGACCTCTTGAGTGACAAGAGAATCCTCTTGGGGTGAAGTAAATAAGCAGACACATGCAGACACACACATATCCACGCTTAGCAGGTTGGTAATTCCAGCTGAGGGGAACAAGTGCTGCACTTTGTCTTTCATCCCCTTTAATTAAGATTCAGCGCTGGGCACGTCTGAGAGAGGAACAGTGGTCGTGTGCTGAAAACAAAAGCAATCCAAGGCCTCATGACACTCTCCACTCCTTTCCAGTCTGTCCCCTTCAAACAGCCTGTGTTTTTCTATTCAGTAATTGATGTTTGCTCTTGAACACTGTGTCCAGAACTACTAAACTACACACACCCTTTTAATGCAGAAACAGTCTTTGCTTTGGTGCCTGATACGTAGATTCCTTTCTGTGATATGCAGATGCAGATCATATTTTTGCGCCTGTGAGGCAGATTGTTCTTGTCTAGTCCATTCAGATATCAAAGAGGCTTGAATTAAACAATGCAGAATTTAGGAAAACATAATAATCTAATATATGGGCATGTTCAATACACATGTTGTATTAAATGCATTTAGTTGTAATTGTTTATCTCAAGCTAGATGTATTAATTTAGCTCCCATCTCTCTTTCTCCTCATTTTAACAAAGCGCTAATGATACCAATACACAACTCAGTGTAACTAAATAAGCTGGTAACACTTTCTTTTACTGTTCTTTAAGTGTAGGTGTTAAGCAGGTATATGTGAGGTACAAACTCCAAAGTACAATAAAGAGTTAATATCTAGAACCTGTTTGGCAACTGACCTTCTTAAAGGAAAATTCCAGTGATTTTCCAAACATATTTTTTCAGTTTTCACGGTGCTTTCTTTATTTCTCTTGTTAAGTGATAAACGAGAGACCTTGTGCTCCTATGATATATCACTTTTCATGTGATAAACTTTGTTTGAACACCCCCTCAGTGCACAATCTCTATTTAGTTGCCAAATTGAACATATTGGGGAAATAAGAAAACCTAAAATATAAAGATGCCATTACTTTTGCACAGGCCACAGCATGTCATTTTCCGATATGTCAAATTCTGCAAATAAATAGTAATTGTGCATTAAAATGTGAAGACGTATACTCTCTGTAGAGGATGTGTTAACCTATTTTCACTCAGAAAATCAACAGAACATCAAACTTTTACCTATGACTGTACATGCATGTCTACATTTACAAAAGAACCATACATTGAAAGGTTTTTAGGGAACCAAAAATGGTTCTTTTATGGCACTGCTCCAAAGAACCCTTTAGGCACCTTTTTAACCTTATGGCTTACTTTATGCATTTTACCTATAAGCCAACAATGTAATTGTGAAAGACTGTATAAGCAAAGGTTGTTTTTGTTGTTGTTTTTGTTTTGTTTTGTTTGTTTGTTTTTTAATGGAAATACATATGTTTACATATATATATATATATATATATATATATATATATATATATATAAATAGAGATGGATGCCAAGCCAGTGTCACCAACTGCTCGATGTTACAGTAAGGAGAGTCACATAACCACTCCAGCCTGAAACAGGAGTTGAACATACATAACCTGTCCTGTAAAAGCTCACACACAACTCAGACTGGTGGTGCATCAGCAGAATCAATCAACACACGAACAAGAACATTAGATAAATCTGAGCGATGAGGCCCAGTCTATTGTCTGCAATTATCTAATCAATTTTCCACTTCACTTACATCTGGATTTGAGGATATCTTGGGTTGATTTTAATCTAGAAGCCTTCTGGTAGCTGACAGACATTCTGTAAGTGGTTCGTACTTGCTGAATCACGATATAAAGCATCACGTTGGCTGATTCCCTAAGCAGGGGAAAGATATTTAGAACAGAGGTCTCAGCACACTGACACTGACTGACCAGGACCTGCTGCACTGGAGGCCAGTCAAAATGCCTCAGCAAAGCTGAGATCATTTCCCGCCTGCCAGTACAGTATCGACTGTATGAGCTGAGCTTTAAAGGTTAAAGATCAGAGTGGTATCTTCCAGCCTTACTGGTCAGAATTCATTGAAATTGTTTAAAAATGTGTCATTTGTAAATCTGTAGTGGCAGAAAAATAAAAATGAACTATATGAGAAAAAACTGCATGGCCTTTGTGTGAAAGCCTAGACATTTGGGCCCAGTACTTCAAAAGTTCAGTACCTTAAAAGTATTCGACTGTACAGGTCACAGTAATGATCTTCACGATATTTTTACCATTCTGTGTAATCACTGGCTGTTGTTCACTCTGTGTTTGCTGCAATTTTCAAAGCTTTGCTGTCCCTTTCAATCAGAGGGCTAGTTGAGTTGTCAGTGACCCCCCACAGACAGCAGCTTGCAGGAACAGTTCATTCTTGCCTGACGTTACAGCATGCACGCCAGGCTGTGGTTAGTTTTCAGCAGCAGCTTTCAGCTGTCAGTAAAAGAGAAGGCCATTCTCCCTGAGACACAGTCAGAGACCAGCAGCCTGGGTGAAATGGCCATGATGAAAGTAACAGTTTTAATTAGAACATTCCAGAAACGTACATCTGTATGTATGTCAGCGTATGTTCTATGTATGTCGGATGTCTGTGTTTGTACATACATACATACATACATACATACATAACATACATAATATATATATATATATATATATATATACCTTAACATTTTCTAATTCTACAACAAATTGGTATTTAGATTGATATGTAATTGGAATTTTTTTGGTACTTACCCATGGTCCTTGCTGTTATCAACCCTTCATTGTCCACAACAAACAAGACGATTATGAATCAGATCATGCACTGAGCACATGAAACAGGTCATCAACCAAACATTGCCTGCGTGATACTCGCTCCAAGCCAGTCATGGGCAAGGAGGAACCCACCATGCCAATCAGTCTGTCTGGGGGTGTTGTCAGTGAAGGACATGCAAGACTGCAGCCTCTGAAACAATGTGGGGTTTACGTAATCACAAATAATATCTGATGTGTGAATTTTTTAATATGACTGTCAGCTTAAAAATGCTTCAGCACAATGAATATAATGTAGCTTATCTCTTTGAAATAAGTAACAGACCATGCCATGTGGTTTTCTATGTATGCATGTGTGTGTGTGCGCATGTGTCTGTATGAAGGGTGTTAGGCTGTGCTTCAGCATAGAGAGTGCCTGCTTGACATTTGGGTTTGAATGGCTCAGCAAACATAGCGACCTCGGTGCCCCAAATGTCAGTGCAGATTCAGAGCTGCTTCCAAGTCTCCACACAGGTCTATTGTAGACTGACCACTGGCTGTTTTTCTTAACTGCATTGCATGCAGTGGAGTTAGATGCTTGTAATCATCTGAAAGGCTCTAGGTGCAGCACGGTGAGGCTGGGAGTTGACATATTCCTACTTGGCTTGGTCCATGGTTGCTGCTAAAATTGGAGGGAGCTGTAGGTTGAAGAGAGCTAGAAAAGGAGAAAGCGAGTGAGGGAGAGAAGATACATCCTGCTCCTTTTTCAGATAGGCTCTCTGTTTAGGGAGACAGCTGCTGAACGGATAAACAACAGCATCGGGTTTCTGATTTGATGGCTGCAGACTTGCTGAGTTTGCCCTTGACGTGATTCACATGTGCTGTAATGCATGCATGCCTTGATCCACGTATGCCTTCTGAAGCCTGTTCCATACTTTTCCTGCAACTTTGCACGTTCCCTGGTGTCCCTGGCAAAACCAAGGCACTAAACGCTTTCTTTGAATTACTCAAGAACTAATGAAGTGTGCAGAGAGTGAAGATGAACAAATTGCCCATGTGAAAAGGAAACATATTGTTATATATTGTCAGTATATTGAAAAGGGTTAATAGAATATATAGTGATTTGTTTTTAGTGCATTTTTTGTGTAGGTGGCTAAATATGACTATTTTAAGATAAGGTGACTGCAGCAAATTTGACACTACAATACTGACATTGTCAGATAAGAACAGTAGATTTTGGATGACCATCTCAGTTGTTAACTAGCAAGGAGCCACATACTATATGTATTTAACACAGATATTGTGTTAGTTTGGCTTAATTGCAGGTTGAAAATGCACAATATTATAGTGATTATTTGATTAAGGGAGCAAAAGCCCATATATTGTGTCTAGCACCCATTGTGTTCTTGTTTTTGTTCCACTCACTCATTTAGTGTGCCCAAATAGGTTAAAGGCTCATCACCTTTGTGCCAACCATGTTATTGGGCATCAGTCAATAGCAGTCAACAGTATCTGAATAGCTTGTGATACAAAACAGGTGCCCATTTAATAATATTGGGTGCCATGGCTTTGTGTCATGGGTACTTTTTTATATCCTGTTGCTGACTTTTCCCCTACATTGCAGTAGCCCTATCCCACTCAAGCACTCTGCCTGGGAACTTACTCGCATGTCATCAAGGCAGGCAGATTCTCTCCTCTGATATTACTTCCTATAAAACAGCATATGCTAACCAAGATGTAGGCAAGTCTAGTGCAATGAATTAAAACGCTTGAAACTAAAACTAAAATGATGCCTGGACTTTATTAGATGCGGCAATGAATACTTATGTCCTTTCATTTTAAGAGAGCAGTACCACCTCAACTGTCCTTGAAGACTATGAATGAGTGATTACACAGTATATATACTTGCCATTTTAATGTGTGCCCCCTTATAATTAGCATTAAACACACATATAAAGTTTTCATTTCAGTTTTATTTATAAACTTATACCATGCCCTTAGGGCTGAATAAAAAAGATATACAAAAATTCTTGATAACAATTTTCTAGTTCAAATAACTGAACTAAACAGACAAATTTAAGAGATTCTGTGCTCAGGTGCATCATGACTAAATACAACGTCTAGAACGAAAGCAAATAAACTATAAGAACAACTTAAACTTGTATTACAAACACTTATAACCATCAAAGTTAATCATTAAGTCATTAGAGTAAACAACAGTGTCGTGTTTCTGATTTGATGGCTGTAGTCTTACTGAGTTTGCCCTTGACACGATTCACATGTGCTGTAATGCATGCATGCCCTCATGCTCGTATGCCTTCTGAAGCCTGTTCCGTACTTTGCCTGCAACTTTGCACGTTCCCTGGTGTCCCTGGCAAAACCAAGACCCTTAAATCCTTCTTTGAATTACTCAAGAGCTAAAGAAGTGTGCAGAGAGTGAAGATGAACAAATAGCCCAAGTTCAAATGAAATATATTGTTATATATTGTCAGGATATTCAAAATTGTCAGTGAAATATAGATGTTTTCAATGTATTCCTTTTTTGTGTAGATAGTTAAATATGACTTTTAACATTAAGATAACATGACTGCAGCAAATTTGACATTACAACACACTGTCAGATAAGAACAGTAGATTTTGGACGACCTTCAACTGTATCCAATACCATCTCAGTTGTTAATAGAGTAGAGACCTATATATTAAATGTATTTAACACAGATATTGGGTTAGTTTGGCTTTATTGCCAGTTTAAAAATTACAATATATTAGCTATTATTTGACTAGATAAGAGAGAAAAGAACCCATATATTGTACCTAACATTGACTGTGTTCTTGTTGTTGTTCCAATCACTATTTTAGTGTGCCCAAATGGATATAAGGCTAATCACCCTGGTGCCAACCACGTTGCTGGCAGATAGTAAACCCATCGGTCAATAGCAGTCAACAGTTTCTGAATAGCTTATGATACTCAGGGGGTGCCCATTTAGTAATACTGGGTGCCATGGCTTTGAGTCATGGGTACTTTTTTATATCCTATTGCTGACCTTTCCCCTACATTGCAGTAGCCCTATCCTACTTAAGCACTCTGCCCACGAACCTACTCACATAACATCGGGGCAGACAGATTCTCTCCTCTGATATTACTTCCCATAAAGCAGCACGAACTGACCAAGATGTAGGCAAGCCTAATGTAATGAATTCAGAAGCTTGAAACTAAAACTAAAGTGATGTCTCGACTTCGTTAAATGGGTCAGTGAATACTTATGTCTTTTGCTTTTAAGAGAACAGTACCACCTCGACTGTCCCTGAAGACTATGAATGAGCGTGCAGTCTTACAATTAGTATAAAACACACATTTAGAGAATGTTTTGTTCAGTTTTATTTATGAACTTACAATGTGCCCTTAAAGTTTAATTAAAAAAAAACATACAAAATTTCTTAATCACAATTTCAAATTCTGTCAAATAACTAAACAAAAAAATTCAGATATTCTGTGCTCAAGTGCATTATAACTAAATACAATTTCTAGAACGAAAGTAAATCAAACTATTAGAACAACTTAAACTTGTTGTTTCACATACACAAAGAATAATTAGTTATAGATTTTCACAACAAACAAAAACCAAAACAAACCATTTACTCTGATACAAAGTTGTATGCTAAAGTGAGAAAGTGCAAAAGCTGTCCTTTAAATCTAATCTGGCAAGTTAAACTGAAAATGTACTACATTCTCCTTTCATTCTTTTACATTCTGATCTGGAATGACTATAAAGGCAGGCTTAACATTACACCAATATGGCAAAGGTCAACTTCTATCTGAAAAACTCTCAGATCTCTAACACTGAGGATACCCCAGATATAAGAAAGAAAACAGACTGTGTATTCAGTCTAATGTTGTTCTGAAAGGGGCTAATTCCCCTAAATGTGAAAGCATCCTCTGTTTTTCGTTTATAGCCTGACAAACTGTGATGTGTGACAACATTCACTGGTAACACCAAAGCACTTCCCAGTACATAGATCTCTGCCCATCTGATGATAAAGTAGAAAACATTTTTGCAGTCTGGCTTCAGGTCTCATCATCTCCTTCTAAAGTTCTTGCAACTGCAGCTGTTTAGCACAACTGAACGTTAATGCCACTGTCATTGCAGTCCTCGTCCACCTGGAACACAAGAGAAGAGGGGGAAAGGGTAAGCCTTTGCCTGTGCCAACTCGCTTCTGGATTCCTTATGAGCTAAGCCAAATTAATACGTGACTAGATCTGCGTACCTCAGTATAGGCAGGAGGGGGTGTGTGATAGTATTCTCCAACATTCATGAAGATGGGGCAGTCATCTTCATCATAGTCATCCAGGAGTGGGGTGAGGGGGCTGTCCAGGCGGCCATGCCGGGGGATCTCGCTGTAACTTGGAGGTGCAGAGGGCATGGATACCACACTGCTGGAGGCCGCACTGCACTCCTGGCTGCACATGCTACTGGTGCGGCTGTCGAGGCCATTGTAGGGGATGGTCCCAATGACCAGGGGAAGCTCCAAGATCAGCTTCTCACTGCCCGGGATGTGCACATAAATCTGAAGCACATAAGAGACACAGAGTATATTAAGAGATACATTCTTAAAAATAAAGGTGGATAAGAATCATTTTTGTTTCCCTAAACAGCCTTTCAATGGATGAATGGTGTCTTGTAAGTGTTAAGAACCTTCTTAAAAGTTTCAGCATCCTCCCCATAATGTAAATGTTTTATTTATAAAGGTTTGTAACCATACGTCCAAGCTGAGAATAACTTAGGAACCTTTATTTCAAAGAGTTTAGATTTGTGATCTTGTGAAATGGCTCTAACAGTTACGTGCTTGAGCTCACCATCAGAGTGTAGTCCAGGTGGATGATGTTGCAGCCAAGGACAGTGGGTTTCAGTTTGGGCACACGAATGCTCTTGCGCTGCCACACGTCACACATGCCAGAGATGATATGATCACCCCTGACAGCAGAGATCTTCTCTCGGAACACCTTTTTGCGGCCGTTGGCCAGGTACGTGTGTGTACCTATGATGGCAGCTTTGGGAATGATGATGCGAGAGCAGGTGTTTTCAAATTTGGCATTGATGCAGATGTCCTCTCCTTCGCAGAAGCCCTTGCGGTTGATCTTTGCTGTGATGGATACACTGCCATCAGGAATGAACATGCAGGTCAGCCTCTTCTCCTTCGCACCAGTGGCTGGAGACTGAGAAGGGAAGGATCGGGCAAATCAGGATGATCTATTTCCCCTCTTTTGCCTTTTTCACAAGGCATTGCCTACTACAGATGAATTTTAATGAAGTGAGCTATGGATACTACTGACTATGCTGTCTTACCGAGAGCTCGAGCGTGTTAACATCAACTGGCTCCTCCACTTGAAAGTACTTCTTGCTCTCCACATCTGACTGGGAGGGCCGCTCCATCACTGCTTTGACATAATACTGAATGGATCCAAACTTGCCTTTATATGAGGACACCAACTGCCTGTGAAAATAAAAATAAATACATCATATATACATCTGATTCAGAAAATGACAGGCAAATATTTACAGATATGCTTTGTTTACTTTGTAGTATGTTAAGATGCTCACCCTGACTGGGGAAGCTCGAATCCAAACATGTATTCATACTTATTTCCAGGTCTGAGAGTAACTGAGCCATCCAAGTCTGAAAGGCAGACAATAATTAAACCTTGTTAGTCAACCATTGCAGATCTAGTGCAGTCAGGCATCACTGCAGAAATGGATCAGTCAAAACTGGGATATGAATTGAGTAACAATTATCATGATGTTGTAGTAAAGTGCAACAACGTAGCCAAGCACTGTCGCCCGCTCACCTGTGGGCTGCTGGTCAAGGTGAAGAACATCTTCATATCTCAGGTACTCTACTTCATCCCTGCAGCGCTGCTTTCCTTTGTGGTACTCCACTTTGGCGCAGCCGATTCCATACAGTCTCACAGCCTTGATTATGGTCACCTCCGACACCTCCAAGACCACTCTGCCAGCCACCTTATCCCCACTGCGGTAAAAAGCCTTGGTGGGATCACGGAACTCAATCTCGAAAGTCTTGGGCTTCTTTGTCAGCACAACCATCCTTGCAGGTGAAATATTATCACGATTTAACCGTTAGGTTAGCTGCTCTCTCAAATTTGCTTCTCTTCTCGCTGCTAAACTTGAGCCTCACTGCCCGTGTAACGTCTCTTAAAGCTCTTATAACTTCATCAGTTGTTTTGGTGCTAGCTTTGTTTTTGTCTCTGTTGCTTCTGTGGAAGTGTGGTAAACAGTGAAAGAGCCCCAGCGGTTATATGGGCTATTTAGCAACTTCTTAAGCCACACACTCGGCCTTCTTTGAACATGAGGTAGCTACCTGCATGTTGGGCCTGCATGTGAACATCGCGTGCACAGCGTGCTCGATTTCTTGACAGACGTTCTGATTGGCCTGGCACGTTGTTTGTGTCGTCACTGACCTATGAGCGTTCAGCAGAGGTGCGTGGGCACCGCGTGTCCTCCTGCCGTAATGAGAAAGGGGAGGCGCGGAGAGCTTTGAGTTACAGAACCAAGAGGCGCGCCTGATGTCCGTCCCCCTACATGGGCAGCCTATCAGAGACAGCGTGTTCTCTTGGTACTGTATTGTACACATGTTGACAGTAATTACTTGGTCGTTCTCGAAACAGCATCAGAACATCTGTTATTTGACCAGAGTCTTTCTGAAAATGTATTACATTACAGATCTCTGTTTATCTGCTTGAGGCTGTGATCAGTGAAGTCAGTGAACTGTATTCTTTTGTGTTCCCATGTAATGAAGACTCCCACATTGTTTTTTTCTATTAAACAAAAGGTGACCCCACACAAAATAGCCTTAATGTACATAACTGTCCACTTCACCAGTAAAATATGTGGAGCTTTAAAAGGCACAAGGTGCTGAATGGTTCAGCATTCGGCATCCCATTTAGAAATTTTGCATCCAACTTACTTACACTTAGTGTCCACTTTATTAGGTACACTACTATATAATATAGACCCACTCTATAGATGTACCTAAAATATGCTGCCATACCTATTTCATCAATTAATTAATTCATTCATTCATACATGTTAATGGTTGTAATGTTTTGCACCAGGGTTATACTCAAAAGTCAGTTGACTGGCTGGACTAGAATCTGGTACCCTATGTAAGCAGCGTCAGTCATGTATAGCCTCTTACATGAGTCACCTGATATTTTACCAGAGACTAAGTGTTGGCATAAACTGAGTGGACCATCATTAGGTATGCTCCCTAATAAAATACTGATTAGTCAGACCAGACAGTGCTTTCTAAGTGAGTAGGCTAATGATGATGGCATGTATTTGCAATTTAAAGGGGAAAGCACAGGTTTATATATTTTGTAGGGAGAGAGCTTTAAAGGGCTTATATCACAGAGAAAATCTAATGTTCATTTCTTTTTGGGAAAAAAAAAAAATTGATCTGGCATATAAACGTTAAAACCTACTATTCATTCCCCAGTCCACATATAGCCCATATATAGAAACTAAGCTGCAAAACATCCTGTTTTGAATTTGTTTGTGTTGTCACAAAAACCAACACATTTATAAAATTCATATTGAAGTTATAAGAAGTTTTTCAGCCAAGACAGCTTTTTGAACTAGGTGCAATTACAAGTAAGTCAATCAGAACAAAGGTCTTTTAGATGTATCAGTCATAAAGGGACAGTAACAAAAACAACCTGTTTTAGGGCCTAAACAGAGGTTGGGAAATGTAAAAATGACTGTTAGTGACTGTTTTTGGTACATTTAACCACTAGCTCATGTCATGTGGTATACAAACTAAAATTATATGCATTGCACCACACATTTTTTTCTTAATGCCAAAACTGATATGGTGCATTACAACTTGCAGTTGACTGTGAAGGATATGGCAGCATATTAGACACATGTACAGAGTGGAAATACCTAAAAAAAAAGCCACTCAGTATATTGTCTTTGAAACTGTCATTGACACAGTGACCTAAAAGCTATGAGCTTGGAATGCCGCTGAGTCACCAATTTTAAAGTCAGCACTATAATTAAGTGCAGCTAAGCTTGCCTTCTTAATTTGCTTCTGTCTAAACACATTTAGCCAAAAGACTGACACAGGACATTCCACTAAGAGCACAGACCAAGTTCATAGACTCCAGACAGCCCTTCCTTTATTTTAAAATCCGTTAGCATACTGAAGTGGATTTAAAAATGTGAAGTGTGACGTAATCTGCAAGTTGAGAACAAATCCAATCTTCAACAAAGAACCTGTGTCGAAAGTATTAAAGTGCTTTACATCACCAGCCAGGAGAACATGGGCGGCAGCACGCAGTCTGTCATATCAGATGACTGAGCAAATTCATCTCACTCTCTCCAGTGGAGATAGCTATGCTGCCACCTACTGAGTGATCTTTACAAGCAATGCTGAAATGTCTTTTTTCCATCCCAGTCTAGGTCATAAACACGAAACTTGGGCATCTCAGAAATTATAGCATTAGGTCTCTCATTTGAAAAGCCTATTCAGATTTCTTATAGGTTCATGACAGTTTCAGCTCTTACAATATAAAGTTGTGTATTGACTTTTTAGTATTACAGTGCTGAGTATTGCAGAATATTACTCAGTATTATAGTAATATATACACCAGCGGTGCCCAAATGTTTTGTCTTGGGGGCCAAAGTGCAAGGGTTATGGTGGAGAGGTGTACAAAAAAACAAAAGCAGTATAAAAATAAACAAGATAATATTAAATATGTATTTTATAACATTACACTATATTTGTTACTAACATACTTAAAAAACAAGGACATTAGGAATGTAATAAGTTATACAGGATAAAAATATATTTGCTCTCTCACTGGGTGAGGGGGTAGGGTTAGGGTAACTTGGATGGCCAAATTAAACATTACCATTGGCCAGCTTTGGCCTACAGGCCCCTCACTGGGCAGCCCTGATATAAGCAATCAAAGCTGCAATTAAAATATCCAGTCCTGAATTCTCTACAACACTGAAGGAAGGAGCAGTGACATGTTACCTTCCACAAAGTAACAGAGATTGATCTGAATAAATGTGGAAGAAAGTAATAGGCTCCACTATGACAGAATAATCATTATAGAAATCTGCTGGTACAGTTCATAATATAAGGTAATAAATGTCCAAACACCTTCCAGTCAAGTTTCCCAACTTACCTGCTGACATTCTCCATTCTCCTTTCCATGCAGCTCAAGGGTCGTAGCTTTTCTTTGCAAATAGGTAACTTATTAAATGACAAAAGAGGCCAGTGCAAGTTATTTGTACTGATGTGATTGTATTTATATATGTGCACATATAAGGAACTCACTGTACATGTTGACACAAAAGTAGTTGCCTTTTTAACACTGTTTTAAACCTGATACTCATCCATAACACAAACTGAAAAAGAGCATATCGAGATTTAAACATCAATGTCACTGGACTAACACACTTTTTAAAAAACATAATGAATTAGTTGTCTGAGAGTCAGTGCCAGACTGTCTCCTAGAGTCCATTGTGTACTATATCCACTATGTTCTTCCAGTAAACAAAAATTCAACATATCAGTAATAATAACAACGTTTTTTACATTAAACAACATTATTCAATATTAGCAACCAAGCTACAGTTTGTATCAGTTTAACTTGAGCATAAAAATAAATTAACACTGTGGTTATTAGGCTTACGTTTCATAAAATTATATCTTGTTTGGAGACACTGTGACAATAAACCTCTTTAAGATGATCAGTAATCAAATTTTCAAGATGAGTTTTACTGACAGAGTACAGTGTAGTACTGTACTACACTGAACTCTATATATAGTGAATGAGGCGTTACTGATGATTTGTATAAAACCTACTATTAGGTAATAGCTGCCATTCAATGACATCAGTATAACCACAAATTCACAGTATGGATGCCATTGATTTATTATTTTTTTAATCGATAACATTGCTTTTCTTTATCCGACACTGAGGCGGCTGATAAGACCCTACTTATAGTACAATTAAAACACTTTGCAAACTCATAAACACGCTGCAAACACAGAAAACGCTTTCATTAAAATGACTATACCTGAACTGCGTTTCACAAACATGCGGCAAATACAGAAAACACTTTCATCAATATGACAAATTACAAACACAAATTACAAATATAGCTAAATCTTCAGAAACACTGCAAAGACAGTCACAACACAACGGAAATGTTTCTGGAAGACTCAAAGGGCACAAAGGGGATGAAATATCTATGATGGAAAATCACTGACAGAAGCAGACAATACCAAAGGAACTCACATTCCAAGTTCATGGTTAACCTGGCTGGCTAGTTTGCTATCTCACATGTCATAGCTGTGCTGTGGTAGTTCTCTGGTATTACCAGTTAAACTTTTACAGTTAAACTCTACAGGTGATTCCCATTACGATATAGTGTTAGTATTAATCTGCTCAAATAAGTTGACTTTACCGGTGAATGTTTGTGCTGTATAGAATTTAAAAGTCTGAATGGCTCCGTCCTCTTTAAGTGTCCTCCGGAAACACCTCCGTGATTTGTGACTGGCTTATCAGCGTTTCTGAAGTTGCAATTTTTTTTATTTATAAAATGTATCTAACGTTGGTGTCGTCATTCTGATGAAACTGCTTTCTGAGTTTGCGGATGGTCTACGAATTTGCAGCGCGTTTGTAAAATGCAGCGCCCATGTTGTCATTTTGATGAAAATGTTTTCTGCGTTTTCAGCTCGTTTTTTTGTTTGCAGTTTGTTGGGTCCTCTCGGCCACCGTAGGCTATCACTACCAGTAGTATAAAAAGTTTTCTTGTGCATGTTAAAGGGGTAAAACCTTCTCGTTTCTAAAGTGAAAACCAGTAAATGTGGACATCACGATGTATACTTGAAAGCCCTTGCACTAGTCTTAAATAAACAACTAAAATCAGGCTATTTGATGGAGTGAAATAACTCGATATGATCCGCGATTACAGCAGATCATTCACTGCGTCTTGTTTTGTGCCGGTGTGAGGAGCAGAAGGAGACAGCATTAGTTCCTATTCCTCACAATGATTATTTGCTACTGTCTTTTTTCACTTTTTACCAGCATCAATATGCATTACATTTCAGAAAAAGATAAATATTCATATTAAGCTACTGGTTAAAGGAAACCTGTCAATATGTTGAAGTGAGGACTGATTCTCAAAAGGAAACGTTAGGAAACATTGATACTTATCAATCCATATCAATCCGCTTATCCCTAAAGCCAAGAACACACTGACCCGGACTTCTCCAACAAACACCAACAAACCCTAACACTGGGTTGGGGTGCAATACATATTTGTTATTGTTGGGACTCTGTAAAATGGTCTCTACTATTTGAAATGTTCTAGAATGTTTTTATTTGCGGTTTGTTGGGTCTTCTCGACCACCATAGGTTACCACTACCAAAACCATTCACATTGTTTTAGAATGTTCTTTTCCGTTAATACTGCTTTGTTTGGTTTGTCGTTTCTGTTCTGAAACAGTACAAAAAGCCAACTGCCACTATTTCTTTGGTGTTTGTTGGGAAATGTTGGGTCTGTCAGTGTTTCATGGCCTTTCCAGACCTATCCATGTAGGTTGGACCAGCCTTAGCCTACAGAACGTTGGTAAAATCCCTTGCTAGCTAATGAGAAATTCAGGTTGGAAACTACCTAGATCAGTGTTTCCCAACCCCGTCATCAGGATCTCCCGGACAGTCCAACCTAACTCACAACACATAGGGATGCAGGAAAAATATGGACTGTCTGGAAAGCCCCAGAGGACTGCGTGGGGAAACACTGACCTAAACGAAATTGCCACCATGCTAATGTTAGCTCACTTATGCATCAGCTCCAAAACCATCTCATCTGTCCTAACGGTGTGCCCTTTCACACACATTCAAAATAAGTTTCATTTGAAACTAAAAGGGACGCTGAACGCTTGTAAATGAGCTGTAAGTTGGCTTGACAAAGCAAGACAAATAAGCTAAAAAGTGTGTATGCAGTGTGTATGAGTGTGCTTCTTGTGTATATGAGACTGCATAAGGGTCTCATGTGTATGAGTGTTTAAGTATTATATGTGCGTGTGCAAGGCTGTTTGCTACAAGCGGAATGAGCCGTTCTTCAGGGCCCCTGAGCCACCACCTCCCAGAGTACAGGCCTGGCATCAGGGGGTCATTTAGAGGGGTACGGCCCACCAACCAATCATCATCCTTTAAAGCCAGTAGTTTATGTACATGCTTCTATAGCAGCAGTTGACAAACATAAAGTGAAATTAAACTTTGTGTGCACTGCTACTGCCTGCTGCTTTTCAACAGATCTACTGTATATTTCTCTGTATTTTTTTGCCTGTATTTTTTCTTAGCTGTTTTTTTTTGTTTTGTTTTTTTTTTGCACGTCAGTACGTGTTTGTGATTAAATGCCAACCTAAGTAAAAACTGAAGGCAGGTGTATTTCCCACCGTGCATTCAGTTTACACACTCTTACACAGATATACAACTAAAGAATTAGCAAATTGTATGTTTTACTGTACATTCCCTTGGTGTTTTTGAACGAGTAGTTGTTAGTTTTATCTGTTGACGTTACTCTTGAACTTTCTTCGGGTCTGACGCGTGTGCAAAGGATTATGGGTGATAGAAGACCATGAAGGATAGGTTCAGGGACTTGGGAAGCAATTTCACGATTGCAACTGCAAAAAAAAACAATAAATAATAATAATAATAATACAAAATTCTGAACTTTATAATAATTTGGGCATAAGTAAAAACTTGCGTGCTTGTTTTAAAGTGTGTACGTGTATATTTTCTGTATATAATATCAATATCTTCAATAGCTGTTCCCTGTTAAGTGAATGCTGTATTTTCATTACAGTGAGCCGAATCACTTCCGTCAACAACTGTTAGCCGCTTCAGTGGCGTGTTGCTAAAACACAAACAAGTTGAGGTGCAAAGAGAGAAAGTGTGTATAAAGTTATAAGCCAGTTCTGAACCCCAAAGCAGTCTAATATTATTGTTAAACTTTAAAAAATCATTCTAGTCTAATCTAATATAATAATAACGTTTTTATAAATCGTTATACATCCCGCTCTGTGTGCGTTCCAGCGTTAAACTGAGGGTTAGACACAAACGGTTGCAGCGCAACAGATCAACAATGTGATTGGTCATCGCTCAGTTAATTTGCATAAAGGTCGTCCAGAGATTGGACAGCGTAAAGTGCGAAATACAGGCGGACCAGGGGGGTCCAGGGCCTGCTAATTAGCCTCTTGGACCCACTGAATGTCTCAAAATGAAAAATTCTGGGAGGTTCCTGAAAATAAACGTATGACGGTATGCTGTGTTCTGTCTTTGGTATTTTTAACTAACTACTGATGCAGCACTGGTCTGCCTCAGGGTGGCGCTGCAGCATATTAGTTCACCCAGATGTTCATTCATAGCCTAGCAACTGTAACTATGTCCAGGATAGCTCTGTAAAACTTTACAATAATGTGTGGAGGAGTACATTTCCAAAAAAAGAATTGTTAAACCAAACATTCTGTGGCCATTGAAGCTAGCATCACTACAGAGAGTGAGTTAGCAGCCGACCAATGCTAGAGTAGCCAGCCAGCATGGGACCCCCAAAATACCAGGGGGTATTTCGCACACTGAGAGAGAGGATGTGCATCAGTATCATCTCTCGCCCCATTATTCCATGTTATGACTCGTTCTGTTTGATGTAAATTATCAGAAAAATTCAAAAGGAAAAAAAGAAAATAATGCACGTCATTGTTAAACATACACAGCGCTTAAAATTTCAGCACCCCAACTTAAAACACACCCCCCGCGTTCCTGGATACTCCTGTACCGTCCTTGAGAACCTTCAGAATGTAGGCTGCATTTCTCGGCTGTATTTGGAAGAACCTTCTGATTAGAACAGCCTTCAATAAAGTAGCAGCCTAAGCCTGAATCTCAAATGGCTCCCTACTCCCTATAGCCCATAGTCCACTACATAGGTCATGAAACTATGCCTTCTACACCCAAATAGTGCACTAAATGTTAGATGGGGAGTTGCGCAGTTTTGGTTTAATATAAATGGCTTTCTGTCAGACATATAATGCACTGTTTGGTAGTAGAAGCCATTGTTTCATGACCTACATAGTCCACTACATAGAGAGACATTTGAGATGCAGCCTAGCTTTTGGAACGCAGCTGTGGTGTGTATGAGTGTGTGTGAGACCGTGCTACTGGTTAAAGAGCGGTGTGTGTGAGTGTGTGTGTGGACCCTGCTACTGGTTAAAGAGGTGTGTGTGTGAGTGTGTGTGGGATCCTGCTGCTGGTTAAAGAGGTGTGTGTGTGAGTGTGTGTGGGACCCTGCTGCTGGTTAAAGAGGGGTGTGTGTGTCTGAGTGGGAGTTTTGTCAACATTCCTTTCAACATTATCTAAAAATAGGCCGCACTCGTGGGCGGAGCCTGGACGGGTCAAATCACAGCGCGAGTCTCAGTGTGATTAAAGTCGCGACCAGCAGCGCGGGCAGCCGCGGCGCGACCCTGACCCCTGCAGCTGCCCGCAGATGCACCTTCTCAGGGTCAGCGATCATGCCACGTGCGTCCTCCAGGGCGTCGAGAGCGGAGGAGCTGGAGTTCATGTCCCCGGTGGCCAGCAGATCGAAGAGGCAAGCCTGGAAGTAAATGTCCCGCGCGGGAAGCAACGCGGAGCAGTGTGCGTGCGCAGCCGCAGTGGGCAGCGCGTGCGGCGTCTCTAAGCGCTGGGAGCTCGGGCAGCCCCACACGCACAGCTGCACGTCCTGCTCGGGTGTGTACGACTCAACGATGGCGCGCGGCGAGCGCACGGCCAGGCCCAGCGCGCGCCCGCTTTGGCGCACCACCAGCGTGGTGCCGATGTGCGCCGCCCAGATCTCAGCGTGGCGTCCTGGCGCCTGGGAGCGCACGCGCAGGCTGTGCTGACCCCGCCGCTCCCCGCTGCTCGTGGAACCGTCCGCGAAGGCCGGGGGTACGTTATCCAGCTCCGCCTGGTAGATCTGCTGCTCTGCGCACTCCCGCCAGTTTTTGAAGATGATGGTGATCTGCAGAGGGGAACAGGGGGGCGGAGAGAGGTTTTAAGAGAGGGACAGATGCTCACAGCGCGTGCATGACAGCAAAACGAGTGAACACTGTACACTGATTTTTCATGCTTGCATACAAAATGATATGATTATGCCATTAAGTAATATATAACAATATAGTCATATTATTATATCACCCCCTCCCCCAAGTATGATTTTTCTAAGGGCTGCCAAATGTTCAGAAATGGCTCTGGGTCAAACCATAACTTTAATAATGATGACAGTCCAAATGTGTATTTTTATAGTAGCACAAGACATTCAGTTATGACATGTTGAGGAATTCTGAGGTTGAGAAGTGTAGTTAAGATAACTGGTTTAGAATTTTCAAATGAAGAAAGTATTGGGCCTTACTTAAAGATTTCAAATATCAGCACATTGGCTACAGTGCCCCCAAAAGTATTTGGACATTTACGCCATTCTTAAAGAAATGTCTTAAGTTCGTTGTATTAGAAAACAAAAGAGCAAACCACTTGGCATTTAATTTATACAGAGTATTCCAAGACTGTCATTTCCTTTTGGACAAAATATTCTTTCAACAGGTGGCTGATGTATCCGATCATTATGCCTTGAGAAATTTCTTTGCGGGCTCCTGCAGGTTTGCATCCAAAATGCTTTTGTACTCTTCTGAGTTCATGATCCCATTAATGAACACAAGCTCACTGACATCACTGTCAGAAAAACTGCTCCAGACTCAATACAGTACTCTCAATGCAGTCTGGGCTGGATTTCCTTTCCAGGCTTACACACAAAGAGTTTACCATCAGTTTGAGGTTGTGCTAAAAGTGTCTGTCTCTGAAACAAATATTATTTTCTTAAGTATTTTATGAAGTAAACTTAAAAGCTTCTTTACAGTTTACCAATGGCTAATGATGGATACTGTTCAGATACCTTTGGGCGCAGTATGTGAAGAACATATCGCTGTTGTCAGAAGAAAACCTCGTCTCCAAAATGGTAACTTTACAGGAGAGGGAAAAAAACCTTTTCTTTTAATGTAAGTCAGTGTGTGATCAGATTTTTTTCAAAGTCATTTTTGGTCATTTCTTTTGGTCCATTCATCATGAAATTTACACACAATGTAAATTATGTCAAAAACTGAAAAACAAAAAATACAGAAAATAGAGATGCGAGGTTTTGTCCTGGCAATAGCGATATACTTTCAAATATATATAGCTCTAGATTTGGAAAGGCTCTATATAATGAAAAAACATATTATTATTTATTATTACAACAGTGGTGCAATAATATCAGTTATGAATTTATAATTGTGACGTCTTCAGGTCACGTCACATATGACCATATTCCAGGACAATATATGAAGTTCAGGACATTAAACTCCTGAATAAAATTTAGCTGTAGCTGAAGAATTTACCTCAAGCCCTATTGAGGATATTGAAGCTACATTCAGAATGTAATATTTCTCTGTCCTGGGGTGACTCTGAAAACACAGCTAGACGTACATGCTAACCCGAGGTCTAGGAGTTCCAGGGTCACCATAAGGCCTGAAGACAGAAGCCCTCCATGAATTTCTCATCATATAAATAGAGACTCTTATGTTTTGACTGCAGTCTAAGCATCACATTCAATGTGTTACATACTGAATTGCCATTGTACTTGTGGATTGACAATAAACAGTGTTCTTCTCCCTGTTCAGACCTTGGTGAGTGCAGTGGCATAAGAGCCTCCTCTGGTGGGTGAGCTGGTGGCCTGGATGTAGAGGTACTGGTTGTCAATGAGTGGCCAGGCTCCAGGCACAGCACACGTCTGGAACTCATCACTGAAAGTGCGGACATGGGGGTCACCAAACACACCACAGTGCAGGTACTCTGGGGCACGCCCCTCGCGCTGCACATAGCCCCTCTCATAGAAGCAGGCGTCCCCAGAGAGTGGTGCCTGGGGCAGTGGCCTGGGCTGAGCCGTTGGGCCCGTCCTGGGACAGCGGTGCTGGATCAGCAGGTCCTCTATGCCCTGGACAGCGGAGTGGTAGGCCAGGTCGCCTCGACAGGCACGGGCAGTGCGGCGGGTGCAGAGGGCGTAGGAGCGCAGGGCGCTGCAGTAACCGGCATTACCCGCCTCTTTCCCACCACCACTGTTCCCCAGCTCCAAGGTGGCAGCCACAAACTCGGAGTTACACCTCAGGATCCGACACTGGGTCCATGCTGCAAAATATGAAGTCACAAAGTAAAAGAAAAGTCTAAATTCTCCAGCAACCAAAAGACTCGAATGTCTCTGAATGTGCAAAATAAACCAGAAGTATCCAGACATCTGCTCATCCAGTCTTGCTACTAAAATCAAAGGTATTTACTGGGAGTTTTCCCCGTTCTACTGCAGTAACAGCCTCTAATCTTCTGGGAGGTCTTTACACTAGATGTTGGAATATTGCTGCGAGTATTTGAGTGCATTCAGCCACAAAGAGCTTTAGTGAGATCAGCTGCTGATGTTGACTGATCAGGTCTGGCTCACAAATAGTGCTCCAAATACATCCCAAAGGTGTTCAGTGGTATTTCACTAGACTGCAGTTCCACTGCTCCACAGTCCAATGGCAGAGAGCCTTACATCCCTCTAGCCAAGGTTTGGTACTGGTGACTTTCACACCAGTAAAACAAAGTATAATAAAGGTGCCAAACGGAACCAAAAAGCATTATTTGGAGCAGTGCTATAGAAGAACCACTTCTGATCGAACCAGATGTCCAAAATGTGTCTAAAAGCTTCCTCACAGAAAGTTATTGCATTAAAATGGTTGTGAATACAGTGCCAGATTTTTGAGGCATTGTTTTATGATAGTTTTGTGAAAAAATATATTTGTAAAATCTTTTCATGATGGAGAGGTTCATGCAGGTCATTGTAGGGCAAAATAATACCTGAAGAAAACTAAACTTAGTTTTTCAGGTTTACCAGTATTTCAACATCATTAATATTACATATAAACATCTAAAGACACATATAGCTTCACTGGTGGTTTTGGGTGGTAAATAAAATGACTGTTTTGCACTGTAGATGTTGTGAACTCTGGTTCCTATCACCACCACAGTAAAGAAATCAGTCAGTAAGTTTCTCTATGCAGCATTTCAAATACAGCATTTAACATCAGAGCATCCTGAATGACTCTGTTTACATCTCAGTGATTGAACTAATTAGATATTTTTTAAAAATTGGTGAAATTTCCCCTTAATTTACTTTTAAATTACAAGTAGTGCTCCAGTAAGCATTGTACCAGTGGAAATACCTCTGTTTAAGTAAGGCAAAAACATGTCTGATGTGACTCCTGAAAGAGGAAGCAAATGAATGAACTTCACCTTGTGGAGCTAAAACGAGAACAAGCAGCAGCACAGTGAAGCTATGACTCTTCCATGTGGCCTGTGTGCAGTTAGTGCAGCCAGCTCGTGCTCCCATTCCCATCCATACACACAGCCTCAGAAGGCTGCGGGAGCTCCTTACACTGTGACTGTGGAGCGAAGCGCTGACGTGCACTGCAGGCAGCATCCACATGAGGGAGACAAGAGCAAACACAAATGAAACTCAAATCAGTGCTCTGTTCAGTCTGATTAACAAGTGACTACTAAAGTTTCATTTCTTTATGCTTACACTCTAAAAAGTGATGCGTTAAATAATGACACACTTTTTTATGTTACCTGTTTTAACACTTTGTGTAATGCTGTTTACTGTTTTTATACATCCTGCATTAAAAGTAACACAAAATGTGTTGTTTTCAACTGAACACACTGATGTGTCTAGTCAGAGACAGAATGTGTTGTTTTTTAACACATCTGTTTTAAGAGTGTAGTTAATTGCCACCCAGAAAGAAAAGCTATTAAATGCTTTTTTGTCTCTTGATTACTAAAAAAGGTACACAGTTGTCATCATAGGGCAACAGGACACATTGTGATATGCAAAAATGTCAGAATTAGTTACCATTTTGGGCTGACTGTACGACCTTCTTACCTCAGGTGTCAGAATGATGCTCTGGATCTGCAGTAAAAGGCTGGTCCGAAGTAATGAACGAAGCTGCAAAATCCATCAAGCAGAAAAAGACGTGAGATCGTCAAGCCTCTGGAGTGGAGGAAAATATATAAACACAGCTGTTAAGTCATATCCAGGAGCTGAATGCTGCTATTTTGGTAGACTTTGAATTGAACTCGACTCCACTGTAGAAAGAAGATCATATTTAATATAAACACTTGTTTATGTTTTACTGCAAATGCAGTGAGCTGTGTCATATAACCATGTAAAACACAAGGTCTATTCTTGTTTAAGAATGGCATTGCTTCTGTTGAAAGGGACATGTTGCAGTTTGGACCCTTCCGTTATTTGCAGAGTGGAGAGCAAACACTGAGAGAAAGCAAGCAAACTCGAAGGCCTCTGTTTGTATGTGATGAGGCCAAAAGCTCTAATCTGAAGTGGATGTCCAAACTGAGTTTATGTTATTTTAGACTGAACAAAAGGAACAATGAACAAAATGAAATACTGACTAGAGGAGAAATCCTTTGGCAAATGTGCATGACAGCCTCCAAGATCATATTTCAGTGTTCATCACTGAGCACTTGCATTGATTCTGTTTGGTACATTCCACCACCTGTTCCAGGATCTTTATATATTTTGGGTGGGTCTAATTCAGCTTCAGGGAATTTGCACAAACGTTGACGCACATTTGCGTTAGATTATGTACAGAATGCTTTCCTGAAACGCTGACAGAGCCAGCTATGACATTTATTCCAGTTGATGGGATGGCTGAGGGGACAGTAGTAATGGGGGAGGGGGGGCAGTTACAGGGCAGAAATAGAGGCCTCTAAATATACACCACCATGCCAGCCTACTCCTCAAACCTTCCCCACCCCAGTCCCGTCTGAAATAGCTGGGGCTGAAATGCTGGGGCAGTAAGGCAGGTGTTGGAAATACAGTAGAGCCTCCAGCATTCTGCCCCACATGGGCTATCCTCTTCCCTCAGCAATCTAATTTCAACTGGGTCTCTAAATGCGCAGAATGGCCAAGCTATTTCTGACATCTTCGGTTGTGGAGGGCCTCTGTGCTGATAAAAGTCCTGTGTATCTCACATTTGTTCACACTTGTTAGTATATTTCAGTGTATGTATGCAGAGAATGTTGCATTTTTTTGAAGTAGATGCTTCCGACCTTAAACTTCACCTAACATGTGCTGGTACAAAGTAGCAGAAGCAGTGTGAGAACAGTTCTCCAGTCTTGGAACACAGAGACAACACCGGAATGTTGAAACAACAGAGTAAACAACAGAAGATCCCAGACAAACATTGGGGTTCGACCTACTAATCACAGCAGCATCTGATTCACAGGTGCATCCACACATAAACACACACTCACTACTGTTAATGAATCCCCCATGGAAAGCATTTACACTGCAAGTGTAATGCCTGTACATACATAGGTTTGGTTTTATGATATGGGGTATATACGTCATATACATATCTTTATTTCACATTATACATGATACATGATTTTAAGTGTTTTAAGTTTTTACACACACACACACACACACACCATATATATATGCTTCAAAATTACCTGGAAAAAATCTTCCTACATTACGTTCCATTACAAGTTAAGTTACATATACCTGTAAATACCTGTATGTAATGTCTTATATATATTATGTATTACATATATGTAATACATAATGTCCTATATGCATTGTGTATACATGTAAGTATCTATATGTAATAAGTGTTTTCTAGCCCTAATTCTTAACCTCAGTAACCAATAAGAAATGGTTTGAAACAACGAAACACGTAGCTTTTGAAAAGGCCACATTTTAAAGTCAAGACCATTTAGTTGGTCCTGATTTTTTCCCTGGTTTTCTCTGGTTTTCCATTAAAGTCAGGGCAGTTTTGTCTTGAAAATAGAATATAACAAGGACAAACACACACACACATGTCCTGAAGACCAAACCAGTACAGCAGACCCCCTGCTGGATTTGTGTGTCATCATTTATGTCCACCTGGAAGAGAGGCTTGACCCATACTCTAAGCAGATGGGAAATGTATGGACATGATTGATCACTTATCCTTTAATATACACTTTAAAGTTGTTTACTGAGATTTAATCTCTCCCAATAATGCCAAACCGACACATGAGTTGATAATGTCTCTATATTTTGTGTATTGTCTCTATATTTTGTGTATATTTAAATTATTTCAGTTTCAGTATTTTCTTGTATTTCTATTTTTACTTTGTTTACTTTCTGTAGAGTGATTACCTGGACCTCATCACAGGCATTCCAATGCATGAATGTCCTGACATGTTGTGCAAATGACAAATAAACTTGAAACTTAGTGAACTGCTAGTTCACTGTCAACTTACATAAAGTATGCATTCCTACTACTGGTTGTTTGTCATGTGAAATAACAGAAAGCCTCAGACATCATTGCCCTATACACCTCTAGCACCACTCAAAATTCAAAAACGCTGATCTGGGCTCAGTTTATGCATTTTACACAGCACTGACTAGAACTGCATGGACTGCTGAGATCTGATCTTAGAGCTGGGCTCTTTGAAACGCTTGATCTGTGACAACTCGAGCATGCACTTTCAGCCCGGAGGACAGTTCAGAAATCTCAGTGTGCTCCAAAGTGAAATATAAACAGACACCTGTATAAATCAATCACCAATTACCAGTCACTGGAATCTGAAAGACTGAACATACTGGATCAGCGCCTTAATCTTTGTTGTGATTACTGACACTGCACTCAGAAACTAACTCACTGCTCTATAGCTTGAACTAATTCTGTCTGCTACCCATACGGTAATGCATGAGCGTTAGTTGTTCATGTCACGTGACCTCGCAAATTCTCGTAATCAGTTGGAGAATATGCAGATAAACGCTAGACGGAAATATAGGAATGGAAGGATATTGCCAGTGTCACGTGACATAACATTACAGCCAGAAACTTCTCGTAGTCAGTCAGAGATCTACAGCGATCTTTCTATACATAAATGTGTTGATGACTTACCTCTGCGAGATGGTCACTCCGTTAAACGGGCCTCGCACACTTCATATCCACTAAAGCACTGACCGCTGCTCTTCACCTTCCCGCGTGCAAAACTAAGAGTGTGTGTAAGTGTGAGTAAAGGAGTGAGTGAGTAAGTTAGCGTGTGTGTGTGCGCGTGTGTGTTTGAGAGAGAGAGAGAGAGAGAGAGAGAGAGAGAGAGAGAGAGAGAGAGAGAGAGAGTTCCTCGCGCAGTGCGCACCTGCCACGCGCGCGACAGCTGCGCGCGGAGGAGCAGCGAACAGAGCACAGCGCGCGAGGGCTATTTTAACCAGTGCAGCAGTAGCTAAAGCTCTTACATCCCCCTCTCGTCCCAAAAGGGTGGTGTTATGTTCAATAAACGTTCATTTCTAATTGCAAATATATAACCAGTAAAAATAAACAGCAAACAACAACAACGTGGCTGTAAAAACGCTAATCCGAAGACCTTCTGTGAAGCACGTGTGCTGCTCTGCACTTGAGAAAAGTGCCGGTTTGGTGAGAGATCTGACTATTTGAGCATGTGTTCGCCTCTGTACACAAAGATTTGTGACTGAAGCCACGAACAGGGATTTGTCATTGTACAAGGCTGTTTCACCTAAAGGGAAACTCCACCGATTTTTAAAAAAAATGTACGTACTTAAATGGTTGAGATGTGAACAAAGTCATTCAGGGTGGTTTGATATGAAATATTCCATTCTAGAGAAACTTGCCGAATCTGAATTGTTCACAGTGGAGGTGATAGGAACCAGATGTCTAAAGGGTTTAATGCCTCTGAAATCTTTCTCACAGAAAGTAGATGAAATAGTTAGATATATGCTGTCTGATGGCTGACACATTGTTTTAAGAGGCTAAATAATTGTAATGTTTTAATGTTTTAAGAGGCTAAATAGTCCCTAAAGAAAACTTCAGATTTACCACTATTGTGCCATTATCAACATTGCATATGAAAACTCAGAAGACATGTGGAGGTTCACTGGTGGTTCTGCACAGTAAGTAAAACGGACATATTTGTGTTGTGGACATGGCAGCCCCTGATTCTTATCACCACCACTGTAAAGAAATCAGAGTCTGTAAGTTTCTCTACAATGAACCATTTTACATCAAACCAATCTGACTTAATTTGCATCTCAAAGACTAAGTTATTCAGAAATCTTGAAAGATTGGTGGAATTCCGCTTTAAGGGCCCATATAATGGAAAACAACTGTCCTAATCTTTTATAAAGAGTTTGATATACCGTGTACATGTACATCTGTTTAAAACATACCTCTCATTCCCCTGTCCACTCAGTCCATATACTGTCTCTGCTGGAACAAAACCAAGCCAAAAATCAACTTTACAAAAGAAGGGAAAACATTCTTAATAATGTAAGTTAATGTAAGTTAAAGTAATGATTCTGTTTTAAGCAATTTTGGACCATTTCTGTTGGTTCATTCATCAGGAAACTTTGACTCAATGTAAAGGGAAGCTGGTGTTTTCAAACAACGTAAAATAGAAAAGAAAACATGACGATGTGCGAAACATCCTGTTTTGAATACATTCACAAAATGCCAGCACATTTTCTTATATTTCAGTGTTTCAGCAAGGTGTAGCCATTCTGAACAGGGCTTTTTACACATATCAGTCTTAAAGGTACAGTTACAAGCACAGCCTATTTAATTCTAATGCAGCATTTACATGTTGGCATGAAAAAAACGTTCCATGCCTCAAAATGTACACCATCACTAGCAGCATGCAAGAAACCACACTGTCATAGTGACAGTGTTACCCTCGAAAATGGACAATTATCAAAGGAGAACTTTAGCTGTGTTGATTGTTTGTTTAAGATGGATTTAAGATGGTTTATTAAAGACTTTGCATTTTGAAGGTCTGCCTGGACAATAAAGAGACATTTGGTTGGTGTTCATGGCTTGCAAAAAATAAATGTAAGAAATCAACATCTGGTTTATTCCTGTGAGTGAAGGCAAAAGTTGGGAAAATTGAAATCTCGACAGAACATTCTACTGACTACTGCAGGACAGTGCTGTCGGTGGTACAATTTTCTATTGCTGCTCCCTTGAGAACTATAGAATTCATGTTGGTGTCGACTGCATGTAAACACAACATCAGTGATAAAGAAAGTTTTGGAAAATGGCAATTTAAAAATGAATAACAGCTGTTATAATTCAGCATATGAGCTCTTTAAGCAAGCAAGTATGATAGCTGTCTTAAAAATGTGAGTTAATAGAACTTCTAAGAATAATTTGACATAACAATAATGCCTTTTATTTGAAATTTATTTGAAGTTCAATAAAATCTAAATTTGAAAGCAACCAAGTCAGCACCCACTAATTTCTTTACAGTGCAGCTATATCTGTTTATTTCACCTCACCCTCTTTCACTGCTCCACTCTGTTCATTGTGTTAAATGGGGCATTCCATTGTTTACAAACAATAGCTGATATTTAAAGCGATCAAGAGCGGCTCTTTTTGTCAGTGATAATTGGTTGTGACATTCAGAGCTGTGCATGCAAGTTTTGGAGGAAAACTCTGACCCACCAGCACTACCACCACACACCCCTCCACACAAACACACACTCAGTGATGAGCCTCTTCAGAAAGACCTGCTCGATAGGCCTTTTTCTCCTTTTATTATGTATTCTGATTAAATTCAGTCCAGTTAGAGCTCCCTCCAGGCTGAAGTCAGGCTTCTTCCCGCCGGCTGACTCAGCAGCTGTGACACACACTTCTCGACAGGTGGAAGAGTACTGGGACTCATTTGGGTCAAAATGTTAACAGAGGCCGAACCAGGACACGTGAAGTGGGCAGTTTGTCATGAAAGTACAGGTTTAGGGTATTTGCCATTAATAGCATACTTTATGCTACAAGTTCGTAATCTGATATGTAGACTGGATCTTTAGACTATTTAGGGCAAAGTCGACCTTTCCATTGACCTGCTCAGCCATTCAGCTACTACTGCACCTTTTAGATGTTTTAATGTGTCCATCGGATGCACATGAAAAAAACTGAAAGACAGCAACTGTATTGCATATTTAGCATATTATAATCATGTGCAACCGATAAGCACATTTGAATCTAAAAAAACTGTTCAGTGTTTATTTTATTCCAGATTATTGCAGAAAGCTAAAGCTCTCCTCTTCTCTTCTCTTCTCCATCACCCCTCTCTCTTTCTGTCTCTGTCTCTCTCTCTCTCTGCTCCGCTGAACACTCTCTCCACACTGCTCTTTGTTGACTGTGCTGATGGGGGCGGGGCTCTGCGGGACGGGACTCCTATTGTGAGGGGAGATTTGGGGAAAGAAAGGCAAGAACCGAAACCTCGGTGTTGCAGACGTGCCAAAAGCATGCAAACGGACTACGGTAAAGGTGGGAAGAACTACGTGCGGAGAAGTGCGAGTTTAAGCTCTTTTCTTTCTGCTTTTTTTGCGTAAAACCGCCCGAATTCTAAAGTTGAGGGCAGAGCGCGGCGGCCAACAGTGGTTTCACGGCCATTCTGTGTCGTTGGGTGAGTCACAGCGTTGTTTTGATTGTTTCTTTAAGTTAAGCGTGAGCAAATCGACCGTGTTTAGTTTCTAGCTCGCTGTGTAATTGAATGGCAATCTGGTATGTAAGTCATTAGCTCGTGTGGGGAAAGTTAACTTTTCCATGGTAACGCTTTAGTCAGGCTCTTTTGTAGTTCGCCAACTACAACGTTTCTAAGCAACCTGTTGTCTAGGAAACACTGCGTTGCTCGTTGGCGCTCCAAAATACGTGCTGCACGAGCACACGCGCTCGTCTGTGTATTTAAACATCATAAATTTCGTGTGTTTTTAAGAATTTAGAGGTGGATTGTAACGAAATCTAAAATTTAAAAAGTTTTTTTTCATACTAAACCTACTGGGGGCCTTTCTGGGGCGGGGCCATTGCAATGCCCCGCCCACCGCGCGTTCCTTCTTAAAATAAAAAAATACAGTAAAAGCCAAAATTAATAATGGCTTTTAAAATGAAAAGTATTAACATCCTTCTGTTCAAATGTGTCACATCAAATGCAGATGTACATTGGAAAACGATTTTTTTCAGCCCTCTGCTCAGACTCTAGTCTTTGTTGTGTATGCTTTCAAATAATAAAAGCATCTTTATGTGTGGATATGTCAGCATGCTTAACACCTTTGAAAAGTATTAAGTACAGTAGTCTAGCTCCTGTGTCTGTGTGCTGTTTGCAGATGAACGGCGTGTTTGTCCTCAGCTCCTGCCTCATGTGTTCCACGTGTCCCGGGGCCTGGCAGGCTCGGGGTGCGGTGCACTGTTGTCCGATCTCCCACCAATATTGCACTCGTCCCGGCCTCCCAGTCCACGAGGACCTCACAGCTCTTTCTGGAGGCACAGAGCCTGACCAAGGGTTATAATACCACTGGACAGCAGGTAGCCCCACTGTTATCACAATCCCACTCATAGCAGCAGAGAAGCCAGTAACAACAGGTCTACACACAGGAGTTCTTTTTTCCCTCTCTGTTATTTCTTTATGTATGGATTTAGGTGTTTTGGGACATTAGGTCTTATGAGAGAGTCTGTTATATGATATGATAATAAAATCACTTTTATTCAAATGTGCACTAAAAATTGCCTTTGTTTTTTTAACGAGCCTGTTTACAGTACTGTTTTTGCTTCTTTAGAAAGAATGCATTATTAAGTATCGGCTGAAACTGGAATAAACAGTGGTTTATTTGGCCCAGAATACCTAAATCCAAGGGTTTAACTGTTTAAAGGAAGTAGCACATATAGTCATGAGAGAATTGATGCACAGTGTTTATAATGACCGATTACTTCTTGTATTGTTTTTCTGAACTCTTATTAGGCTGCCCTGTTTTCTTTTAACCTCCACTCGGCAGTTGCTATAGTACTAAAATGTAACTAAATTTATATTTAAGTTCAAATGTCTTTCCACAAGACTGTAAAATAACATTAAAACATGATAAAACATCTTCTCGAGAGCTATTACTGTCTTTTTGTTATACAACTCAAATACATGAATAATTACATACTTAGAGATGAATTACATTTACATTAAAATTTCATTGTATATTAACAGGTTTTAATTTCTTCCCAGAAAACAAGATTGTATGCAAAACATTAACTTCTTCTAAAATTTGAATTATAATTAACATGTTGATTGAAATTATTGAAAGAATTTAGATATTTCGCAGTTTGTTTAAACAATGTACGAGAGATGATTAAGATAAAAAATACAACATTCTTTTGTTATTGCCGATGGTAACAGTGAGTTCTAATAGTTAACTAGCTCTATTTAGCAGAAACGTGTACACAACAGGGACAGGGATGACACAGGTTGGGTCATCAGAAAAAGAGTGTTATTTGGCAAATCGGTATCTTAAACACATTATAGCTTATGATATTTACAAATGTGGGACAACAAAGACAGGGCAGCAAACTGCCCATTGATTCTGTCCTACAAGGAACAGTCATCCTGTCAACCTTAGGTATCATAGTGAAGATCATCATATAACACATCTTTACTCGTCCTTCCTTTTTCTCGCTACTCGCACATCACCAAACGCACATACATACATACACACTCACGCTCACTTGCACACACCTTTATACATGGCCTGCGGCTCCTCCCTGTTACAGCACGCTCATTCTTATAGTAAAAAAAAGGTCAGTTTGTGCTTTCTGTGCTTTCGCTTTGCCTCTTCAGAGTCAGAGGGATGTGGTGTCATTCTTTCTCTCCTTTGATCTTGTGTTTCCTTTCACACAAGAGCTCAGCAGTCTCACTCATGCACAGCGGCCGGTCGGGAGACTTGGAGCGAAGTGTGGAGACTGTGTGAGAGTGTGTGTATCCATGTGAAAAGGCAGTGCAGGTCAGGGTGGCCATCTATGAGTCTTTCATTCCTCACACTTGAATGTGCATTAGAACTTGTTTATGATGTGGCTGGAAGTCATCAGGCACCGTATCTGTACAAAGACAAGTATGAATAGTTTAAGTGCTGTAAATCTGTATCATCCTGTGATGTCTTTGTCTTGTAACACCACAATTTAAAAAATGTATCAATAAAGATTTCAGTTTTTGATTCTAGAACCAAAAGTTATTACTAATTTTACTACTACAAGTTCTACTATACTTTCAAAAAACTGACCCTTCAAAAGTTCTTTAGTAAAGGTAATGGTTACATAGAGAATTGTGACGACTCCAGCAACCATTTCGATGTTTTTTTACATGGTTAAGTGGTTCTTTTGTTTGATGAAAAGCCTGTTAGCTGGTTTTTGAAAGAACCTTTTCAAGAAATTTCTTTATAGCTCCAAAAAAGGTACCAATATTGTTGTGTTACTATACAGAACACTTTTTGCTAAGAAAATATTGCTGAGTATTATGAATTTAAAGATGAAATGATAATATCATCAGATCCACAGTTCCAGAATGTTCAAATTCAAATTGTGTGCCACTTTAATTATGCTACAGGTATCTCCATAGGGATATGATGGAATATGATTATGTTCTCTGCTGCATCAATACTGCTAATAATAACAATAACAACAAAAACAATGATAATAATAATAATATTGATATTATTATTATTATTATTATATGTAATATCCTTAGTGAAGAACCTTAGGTCAAAAAAAGGTTCCCCTGTAACTCACAGAACCTTTTCTGTGTGCTATAGAAGCATGTTTGCTTAGACTGTACCATTGCAACGGTAGCGTAGGTTGGACCAGATGATGTTTTCTTGAGAGAAGCAGAAGACTCCAAGTCGTCCTCCTCTCATGGATGTGTCAATCACCACATCAGAGTCTGCCACCATCTCTGTTCCCTCATAGAGCTTTACTCTGCCATGTGCACAAACACAAGAGAAACTATGTTAACCAAGTCTGCCATTAAGCTAGACCTCGGAGTTCTAGATTTCTTATACTAGACTCAGCTGCACTTCAATAACTCGAGCGATATCTGATTATTAACATAATGCTAGATTTGAGTAGCAGTCAGTGTAAGATCACGCACACTCAGTCAAAGAGAGACATGGTCGGGACAGGATGAGCAAAGGCCGTGGTCGCTGGTGCTTGGGGTACAGCAGTGGAGAGTGCTGTAGGAGTTGGAAGGATGACGTGATGCTTTAGGGAAGCTGTGCTGAAGTGAAATGTAGTGTATGTGTGTGTGTGTGCTGAGCTCTATTCACTCCTCTACGTGAATACAAAGCAGGTGTTTCTCTGTGTGTGTCTGAAAGAGCTTGGAGTTTCACAAAGCACTGGCTACGCACACACACAAGCCTAACAGAGGGCCTCCCTCCATCTCCTGTAAGCAGTAATGTGCACAGAGGAGTGAAAAAACTGTTTTGAATCCAATAACAACAGTTTTTCAAAAGACTTAAAACTAAATGATTTGGGATAAACTATTCTCTATGCATATGTATTTGTATATCTATGAATATATAGTCTGTTAAATCTTCTGCACCATATTATTTTTATGATTTTCTGGAAACACTTGTGTGTGACTACACCTAATTGGCATAACACTAGATTACAAAGGTATACGATACAGGAAATCAGGCATGTTCCTCGTTCTCTACAGTCCCTGTTCTCTCTGTCTCTCGCTCTGTTTCTCCAGCCTGCCCACTACAGTAGTTTCCGTTGGATCTGCATATCAACAGGCACCAAGGAAATTCTTGCCAAGGATTTCATTGGCATGGCAACCACAACAATGGAAGGCCAGGGGGCCCAAGCACTCAACAAAGTCACAGAGGTTTTGGAGGGCTGGAGGAGTAGAGGAGGGGGAGCTGAAAAGAAAATTTTAAGGACAACCAGCCAGACCCCCCATCTTCCAGCTCACCAATGAGGATTTTGTTCACTTCCCATTGGAATCAGTGCATCTATTAACTGTATACAGCATAGCACCCTCTAGTGGCTAAAAGGAGTCTTCAAGATACACTGAAACAAAATGGTTTAACACATTTTAATCATGTAAAATCAAAGTGTAATAAAAGTATATATCTGTAGATTAGATTTTTTAGTCATGTTCTGTACATAATTAGATAGATACTGTAATTAAATATGCATTATAGGAGATAAAAATATATGTACAGTATTTCAGGAGACTGAAATAGTACTTGCAAAATTTTTGCCATCCCCCCGTGCCCCATTATAACGCTGCTTTTCAATATTTCATGATATTTGTTTAAGATGTCCCAATAAAACGTGTGAGGTCATAAACAAAAATGTGCGGTCAGTAATATTTTTGCAGATTATACAAATACTAGCAGCTAGAAACTAGACAGACCACATGTTTACTTGGAGCAATTTCATGGCATTGAGGAATGCAAATGGTAGTTTAGGTCAAGTTTGTTCTTTGGAGAGCTGGTCCTAGCACAGGCCCAGTTTCAGACAGACTGACCTGATGTAGCCGACTTGTGGCCGGTGACTGAGCTGCCAGCGGTAGGAAGTTTTGTCTTTCCAGCCGACGTTACGTGGGTCCTTCCACAACAGCTTCACCTCACCCTCTGTGTCTCCTGTATGCCACAGAGCATTACGGAGAAACTCACCAGGCCCTGTACGGGACTTCACTGCCTGCAGGGAGAAATAGCACACCAAAGGTACACCTTTATTACAGTGTAACTTATTAACAAGTAAACCAAGTATACCAAGTGTCTCTAATTCACAAACACAATACAATACTTTAATGGGTCTATATGTGGGTCTACACTTCAGTTCATTACTCCACTCATAACTTACATATTAAGTTTCACGGTAGTTATTGAATACTGAAATAAAGGATCATGATAATTCACTGGAATAATGCAATAATGAATCATGACACTTCATTGGGTAAAAGTGTGGCTTTTATTGGGAAAACAGTCCCAAACAAACTGAGCTTTGCCAAAGTAAATATAATCTGACTGGCATTTCTACCTTAAGCTGTAGGCCAGGCTCGGCCAAGGCTCGAAATGGTATGGACTGCCAGTAGGTTTGCTCCGTCTGTTTCCACATCACCACATAGAAGCTGGAAGAGTCCTGGTAGCCGAAAATAAAGCCAGCGTAGTCATCATCAGTGACGGTGTTTATGTGGAAAGTGCCCTCAAAGTCCACTCCATTAAATGCTGTGTAGCCTGCAGATGGTGCAGTTTTGAAGACAAAGACAGAGGTGAGAAAGTACACTGAAAAACCTAACATGTTATCTTGCTGTACATTATCACCATACCGCAAAAGAACTAACCCATATGATAAAATCTTAACTTATATGTAGGTTGACACTAACTGTGATAGTTACATGACTGTAAATATAAACACTTGGTGATTCTTCTACCACTGTGGATGCAAATGTTGCTAATGAAGGGAAGGCAAGTGATTGGTGTGTAAATGCTGGGCTTTGAAAGATTACCTACCAACTGCCAGTCCAGGGTCACTGTTCATTGTCTGAACAATCTCCATACCCTAAAAGTCAAACAACACAGCACTGAATAAGATCTTATTATTATTTTAAGGTTTTATTATTGTTTCTTATTATTATTTGAAGTAATATTAATTCTCACAGTTAAATTACATAAACATAGTTAATTTTTTATCCTATTTATTTGTGTATTTATTTTACTGATTTACTTATTTACTTTTTAATCATTGTTAAAACAAAAGAAACAGGCAGGGATAAACACTGCATCATGCTCAATAAAAATACTAAGTATCATAAACATGACAAAAATAATAAAAAGGTGCAGTGATTTAACTAGACATAAACCTTGACTGAATATAAATCTTCTTCTGCCAGATACATGTTAATTCACATTCTCTGTTTGAATTAATTATGTAACACTTACTCCTGAGAAAAACACACCAGGATAGGTACTATGCAGAGTTCTGAGCTCTACAATGATTACCCTCCTCAGACAGGTGGGGCTCACCTGGTTAAGCACCACCCAGTTGGGATCAATCTGGGCATCACCCTCAGGGTCCAGTATGACAGTCTGATAGGCCCTGAAGTCTGTCAGTGTGACCTCAGCACTCTCTGGACACACGTCGATCAAATCCATCACTGCATCATTGTCAAAGTCATTCTCACACACATCTCCAACACCGTTGCCTGTGAAGAACAGGAGACACAATGAGTGAAAAAACGGGATTGGCTTGAACTCTGCAGATGGTTGCTGTCATACTTACTGTCTAGGTTGAAAAATAAAAATTTTTTTTTATTCAATTAAGTAGGTAATAACCCTAATCATGATCAGACACTGTGTCTCTATCTTGGCATATATATATATATATATATCTTGTGGCTGAATCAAATCCTCACAAAAATGTTTCAACATCTAGTGTAAAGTCTTCTCAGAAAAGCCGAAGCCATTACTGCTGTAAAGGGTGACAAACTCCCTATTAAAACCCTTGACTTAAGAAAAAAACACTTCATAGCAGTTCTCTTTAAACTTTTGGACATAGAATTTGGAGTTCTTTTGCATATGACATATTCATATCATATTGCCAACCACTAATACAATGCATGCTGTATGGTATGTGCTGTACTGTTTGCTAAAGCTGCAGGTAAGGAATTTCTGCTGGGTTCATTACCGTTTGAGTCTTTCTGGTTTGGATTAGGAATAAGCCGGCAGTTATCAGGGCCAAGACCTCCTAAACTGTCAGCATCAGGGATTCCATCATTGTCATCGTCATCATCACAGTCATCTCCAATACCGTCATTGTCTGAGTCGAGCTGAGAACTGTTGGGAATATCGGGGCAGTTGTCTCGAGTGTCCTGGTGGCCATCCCCATCACTGGTCAAAGAAACAGATAAACAAAGTGGGCTACGCCGAACACATATACATATTAAGCTCTCCAGCTGTGGAGCTTACTGCATGTTGTTACTGGTCAGATACACTAGGTGGCGCCAAAGCAATGTGGTCAGGCAATTTGAATCACATTACCTCACACACAAGTAGTTCAAGTAAAGCATTAGGCCACCCTGCATTTTGTGGTTTAATAGATCAATAAAGCTTATTTTTGGCTTTATGAATAGTTCCAGGTGGCGTGCGTAAAAGTGTTTGTGTCTTTGCAAATAAACAACTTAAAGCAAGTACTGGGTGACAGCTGAGTCTCAGGCACAGCAAAACAGATGAGCCAATTTGTGTGTGTGTGTGTGCAGGGTGTGTGTGCACACACGTGCTGAAACTTACGTGTCTTGATTGGTATCACACACATCTCCCACAAGATCGTTGTCTATGTCAGTCTGCAAAGACATAATTGTTATAATACCCGTTTCATTACATTTATAGTAATTAAGCTGGACTCCAATTAAAGAGATCTTGTTTACAAACAGAGAACAAAAGTATGTTTCCAATTTGGTTTCCCAGGCATGAATAAAGCCTAGTCACAATCCATTTGAAGTCTAGGCTTAGGCTTAATCTGGTCTGGGAAAGAAGCCCATAGCGTTCAAGAAAAAAGGCCATTTGTGCTTTAAAATGTACAGCTAAAACATGTGGTGAAAGCTATAAACAGCAATTAAAGGGGATTTGCACAGTTTTTCCAAATTTCTGCATAATTCCTTTACTGAGATGTAAACAAAGTCATTCAGAGCAGTTTGATGTAAACAGGTTCATTGTAGAGAAACTTTCTGACTCAGAGTTCTTTACAATAGTGGTGTTAGAAACCAGGTACTGTGATGTTTACAACACAAAATGACTTGTGAACCTGCATGTGTCTTGAGTTCTTATATGTAATGTCAAATATAGAAAAAAGTGGGGGTTTTTTTGCATTATTTTGCCTAACAATGCCCTACATGACCTCTCTGCCATGAGTGGATTTATAAAATATATGTTTTAGGGTAAATCACTATCTCAAAACTACTGTAAAGCAATTTCTCAGACATCAGGTAGTGCTACTGGTAACTAATTTATGCAATGACATTAAGAGAAGTAGCTTTTATGGAATTAAATGCTCCCTATCACCACCGTTTGAACAATTCTCCACACGTTTCTCAAGAACAGGGTAATAATTTACATCTTCATGATTTAATTATGCAGTAATTAAAAAAAAAATGGTGGAATTGCCTTTTAAGTGTAAAAAAATGTGAAAATGTGAGTATGCTGGAATCTGTTCTGACAATCCAAGAAAACTGCTTTAATAACCTCAAACCTCTGAAAAAGCAATAAATAAGGCCTTTTTTCACTATTCAAGACATCATGATTCTACTTTGTGAAGTGTGAGGACCTGCATGGGGTTGCTGATCTCAGGGCAGCTGTCACAGGCATCTCCCACTCCATCCCCATCCCGGTCTGTCTGCATGGGGTTTGGCACTTTGGGGCAGTTATCCAACACATTCTGAACCCCTGCGACACACAAACACACACACAGACGCACATCAGACACAGATGGGCAGAAACACACTATTATTACTATATTTCCATGTGCTGACCTAAATGTTAGTGTAGCTAAATCCCTCTAATAATATTCCTAACCCTAACCACATCCAGAAACTGAACCCTAACCATTACCCTGAGCCTAACGATAATCCTAGACAAAATCCTAACTGCAACCATAACCTAAAGGCACAGAAAATGTTTTGGAGTTTTCAGCTTTAAAAATAGCTTTAAGTACACTGCTCTTTACATTAGGTGAACATAATGCTTATTTGCACAACTGTAACATAGAAAACCTCCCTTATTGTATAACTATGTAAGTCCTAATATATAATTGCACAAATGTTCATTTTTACAAACGTTCATATCATTTTGTAATATACTGTGAACAATAGTTATGATATGTCTCGTCAGACCATGTGCATATGTACATATTCACATATTCATCTTCTTAAGCTCCTTTCACATTTATATCTACTCTCTTATTCTTTATTCTATTAGTTCTGTTTTTTTCCACTTAGTTACTGTTTTATTGTCTTTCAAATATTTGTTAATTGTCTGTGTGCTTGTCTGGTGTGTTTAATTTATGTCATAAATGTGTGCACTCACCTGGTATCTATAATATACTTGGTGAAATAATCTGATTTTGACATTTCATGACAAATGGATCAATAGAAGTGCTCCAAAAATACTTGGAATAAAATCCTGTTTAATGTGCACTAAATTTATGAATGCTCTTTTCTTTCTCCTGTATAAAGTTACCATTTCAGGAACAGAATCTTATATCATCTAACCATCTCCATCGATGTCGTTGTCGCAGGCGTCACCCTCTCCATTGTTGTCGGTGTCTTTCTGGTCAATGTTGGGCACGTTGGGACAGTTATCACACGCATCCCCAAAAGAGTCAGTGTCCGAGTTCTGCTGGTCTTTATTAGACACCAGCCGACAGTTATCCTGGTCAGTTAAAGACATCAGCATACAGTGATCACACCTCACTATATACCAGTAACACTACATTCCACAAAATCAGTGCTATGTTCACATGCAAAACAGCAGCGGAACAACTGTTTTTTTTATTTAGCACAAAACAGATGAAGGTAGCATAATTACAGTTAGAGAAATATTAGACAAAAGATGCTATGAATCTCCACCATACCTCTACATTCTTAATGCCATCTCCATCAGCATCCTCATCACACTGATCACCTATACCATCATTATCTGCATCCTCCTGACCTGAGTTAGGTGTGTAAATACAATTATCCTGCAAAAGAAAATGACAAATACCCAAAGATCATGCACACACACACACACAAATGAAGATGATCAAATAGCAAGACTGATGTTGTAAAATTATGAGTTCATGAGAAACGTTCAACATCTACTACCTACTACTAGATGCTTACACTTTAAAAGATGTTATTATCCTCTACAGTAAAGATATGAATAGCAGATATAAGGCTGAAGTAAAAGAAACTTGTCAGGAGGAATCATGTTCTTTTTTCTTTTATATTTTATTTGTTTGCCTACTTTTTCCCCAATGTTAACTGTTGCCAGTTCCCACCTGATATCTAAGTGTCCAAATAACCTAATAGTTATCAAGCTGCTTTTCATGCTGCTGCTCATGCAATGTCAAAGGACAGCTGAACCCACTTAAAGGAGAGCGCTAACCACCCAGTTCTGTATACATGACCACCTACAATTGGCTAGAATTGCTCTAAATCAACAAAGACAGAGGACATGGTCATCTTTCCCACCCACTAAGAACACAGCCAACTCCTGGCCACAGACTCCTGTGGTTGTGGATGCAACTTTCTTATCCAACTGTTCCACTTAACAGTCAAAAGGAGTCTTTTCAAATGCAAGCCAGTAGGAGAGGTTAATAAGATAACACAGTTATATGCAAAAGTTTGGGTATCCCTGGTCAAACCGCATGTTCTGTTGATTTTCTAAGTGAAAGTAAGTTAACACATCCTCTACAGTAAATACACCTCTGCACATTTGAATGCACTATTACTGTTTTGCTGAATTTAACATATTAGGGGAAAAAAACACAAAATGCGGACTGTGCAAAACATTATGGCACATTTAGCAAGACGTTAACTGGATATTTGTCTACTTTGCCATTATCTTTTTATTATTTTTTTACCAATTGTTTCATTTCTGCTCCTGTTCCTTATGATATCAAATAAATATTGTTGTCCTTTCAGTATAGTTTTCCATCATTTTTATATTGGGTACTGCTGTTTATTGGTGCACTGTTGTTTCAACTTGTTAGCAAACTTCAGATAAAACAAAATCTCAGGACAAGCATTGGAAATGTCAAGTATCGCAATATTACATTTCTGCCATATTGCCAATCCCTATAAAGCAGCACTTTGCTTTACTACACTACTCAGGGCAGAGGATCTGACCCATGCTAACTTTTCAAATTCACAAAAGCAAAGGCAGCAGTTATACTTTCACTTGCAGCATACACATATAAAGCTGTGTGAAAAGTAACAGGCAAAAAGTACACTGGAGTGCAGGCAGTGTGATGATTTCAGACCTGTTTGCAGTGCTTGTCATTGTCCATGCAGGGAAGGGAACGGTCAGGGTAGCCATCAATGTCCGTGTCTTTACCACATGTGTTCCCATTACCAGCCCAGCCCACATTACACTGAAGAGAGAACACAGCAACTCCTCAATCCAATCATTCAGTACTGCTCAGCTGAGGAATGTGAATTATAAGTAGCAATTAAATAGTAAAAATTTCATAATTATTTTACCGCACAGGACACCTCCCCATTCCTCTCAATGATGCAGTGGGCGTTAGAATCACAGGGGTTGAAGCTGAGTGTGGCACAGGACTTCCGAGGAAAACAGCCAGCAGTCTGATTACCTACATACCCAACTTTACACTGACCACACCTAAATGAACCCTGAGAGAGAGAAAACGGTAACGAAAGAGAAATAATGAAAATTGACTGGCAATTTTACAGCCTCTGGAGTTCTTGATTTTCTTTGTTTGCATAGAAAGTCTGTTTTATTTATACAGTCTAGGTAGGTAATACTGAATCAGTTTATATGTAATTTAGTCAATGTGTTCCACCTGATCTCATTTTGACATTCAATGTTTTATCAAATTCTCATGGTGCCAGCTTCTAATTTAACATTAATACTTACAATGGTGTTTATGCAGACAGAATTGGCTGTGCAGGCATTGGCAACTTCAACGCATTCGTCTATATCTAAGCATTCCTATAAGAAAAAAGTCATTAATATAGGAGAAAGATGTTGTGTGACAGCTTGTGTATCATAAATATCCTCCACACACAGTTCTAAGAAAACTACTACTTTCTAAAATATGGGAGTTATTAAATCGTTGCTGTTGAAACAAAGCCTTTTATCCCCAAAATGGAAAAAAAAACATTTATTTAACATTTTTACTTCTTAATGTAATGATAAGTAATTGTGGACCATTTCTGTTGATCCATTTATCATGAAATGATCACACAATGTAAAGAGCAGATTTTAAGTGATGTAAACAAAAATTACAAGGTTTTGATCTGGCAGTGACAATATGCATGTGTGCTTCTTTGTACCTGTTTGTGGTTCTTGGCATACTCCAGGCCAACCCCTGAGAGAGGTGGACCCCAGAGTCCTTGTGGACAGGGCTCACAGCTGAAGCCCTTCACTGTGTTTACACATGCACTGGGAGAGTAGCAGGGTTGAGCCAACATGCACTGAGAGAGACAAAGCGCAATTATATTATTGTATGTGCATTTCATTCACGTTATCTAAGTTGTTGATTCACAGCATTTGTTTTTACCTTGGAAACATGCTCACCTCGTCAATGTCATGGCAGTGGGTACCGTTGCCGGTCATTCCCTCAGGACACGGCCCGCAGCGATATCCTGGGAACTCAAACGTCTCCATGCAGGCCACACCCTTAAAGCAGGGATTGGGCTGGCAACGGGACCGAGGCTCATGAAACCCTGAACAGAAAAGCAAAGAAAGAGGTCAGAAGAAATTATTGGTAAGTCTTGGTATAAGGGTGGGTGATATGGCAACAAACAGGAGGACACTTTAAGACATTTTCATGACACATGACCATGATATTGTGAATTTACAGTTGGACAAGTTGTATACAACAGCAGTGCCACACAGAACAGAAAATAATCAAATATTTGGTAAAAAAAAGATTACAGCATAATAAGCTAACATTCAGTCATCTGACTGTTACTATTCAGTTTATGCAGTTATTAAACATAGGTTGTTGTTTGCAGACTTATAATTGGTCTAAATCTGTATTTTAAGGATATATGTTGTTCACTGTTCTAGAAGTACTGATATTCATTCTCATATTCTTATGTTCTCAGAAGAGTGTACCTTGACGTATTTATAACTCATTGTCATATTGCCAACCACTTTGGTAAAGTTTTGTAGAAATAAACAGATCAGGTCTAAGATTACAGTCAGGATGCTGTGAGTATCAACTGTTATTTTAAAGTTCTGAAGTTGATTTTCTCTGATTTTATTTAAAGAGCAGAGAAAGTCATCCTGACTCAGTTTACATGTGATTTATCTCTCTAAAACTTTCTTTCAGGGCTTAACAATTTGGGGGGAATATTTTATTACATTGTGATAGTGATTTGTATTTCAATTATTTTCTTTAATTTAAGGTCTGAGCCTGTTTTTTTGTCCAAGATGGCCAGAGCATCCACTTGAATGCTGAACATAGCCTGTCAGACTGCCAGTTAGTTGTGGTTGTGCTGTCATGTACACAGCACGTGGGTGTTTGTTTGCTTCTGACTCCAAGTCATCTGAAGGCAGACCACAAGCTCTGTGTTATTAGGTTAAATTTCCCCTTTTAAAACTTAAGGCAATGTTGTTGATAATGCATGTAATAATTCAAACTGTAGATCATGCGATTTGAAAATTGCACTCTTGCATATTGTGATTTTGATATAAAAACAATTCATTCTTCAGCTCTACTTTCTTTTACAGAAATGTTCAGTATAATCTGCCAGGTGAGTTCTGCTGCTCCAGTCAGGTGATAAGTGTATTTTTAAATCCTGCTGTTTATGGATTTCAGGGACTCCACAGAGAGAACTGCAGGAACACTCACCACACACTTGGCACTCCAATATGGTGTTCCTAATGAGAGACATCTCCTTCACCTACAGTCAGCAAAATGACATGCATATTTAGACCGATCCTCACAGAGTCTAATAAAAACAGATATTTCCATAATCAATGTGCATGTCTTAAACTCCCACACACCCACACAAATGCACACCTGTTCTCTGATGTCCTCTCGAAGCTCACCCAGGATCTGGTTGAAGATGAGGAGCTGTCCAATCAGAGCTTTGGTGTGATCGCCTGTGACAACCAAACAACATTTGCATTATGTGTCTGTCTTACAGTGTACCCACTGACACAATAATTGTAACGGCTATAATCTCACCTAGAATAGAGTTTGCCTCCCCGTTCACTGTGATCAAAAGCAAAGAGAAAGATTAAAATAAATAAATAAATCCAAAATTCAATCTTTACATCTAGAACTTACCACAAATGTTCACTGATGCAGTTAGAATACCTTAGAATCCACTGACACAAATAAACCATTGTAAACACTGTATACGTGAGTCTGATATATTACCTATATTGTAGGCTGAGGAGTCACCCTGAAAAGGGCAGCCAGTCAGAGCTCCTGCTTTAGCTACACTGCCCCCTAGAGCCAGTTTGAGGGACTCCACCGACCCCTGCAACCACAGAGTCATGCTCAGACAAGCAGCAACACACTCATCATTTCTATCCTTTATTTTGACTATTTTGGCTTATTTCAAGTTGGCCGTTGAGCACTCTCTCATACAGACATGCCTATTTAAAATCTAGCTGTACGTGGTTTGATATTGTTGCTGAACTGTGCATTTTATTATTAAATTTAGTACAATGAGAGAGCATGTAGAAGGCTATTATTAGCCCCTTAAACTCTAAGGACTTGTCAGAAGGTCTAGATTTCAATTATTTACTCTTCTAACATACATGGTGTCATAACAGTTACTGAGTAATTGATCTATCCATGCTCTGCTCACAAATGCATTTTCTCATAGCTACTGTTGTGAAATTCAAAAAGCTTTACAGGACTTTGGTCAAAATCCCATTCAATGTAATGCAAATCAGTATCACTTTATTAATTTGAAATATTTGTTTTTACTTTGTATGTGTCTGTCAGGACAAATCAAATACAGTTTATGTTGTGTAATCAAGATTTCTAGGGACAAATGCCCGACTGATAGGCTAAGCAGAAAGATCACAGGCTTCAGCACAGCTAACACTGCAATCTACACCACTAGTTACTGTAGAACGGCTGAGATTTGCTGACATTTAACATTCACAACAATATACACTAAACTGGTCATAGTGTGAACTTTCATACATATACAAACAAATAATACATACACATTTAATTTCTAATGTATTTGTGGGAAGAGAATGTAATGTCAGTTAATAATAGGCTGAAAGTGAACATGAATCAAAAATGAGTTTTTCTTCGTCCAACATCCCCACATATCACTGAGTGAAACACTCAGCTACCTCAGAAGGCCCCTCTGATACCATCATTCACGTAGAAATATGTTCTGAAAGGGAAATTTTACGTTGACCAAGATTAATAAGTGAATAATAAGTCTCTAAGGTGTTACGGTAAAGGATGGGTGCAACTCAACCATGGATTAAAAACATCCAAAACCCCTAAAATGCCACTAAAATGCCTCAATAAGCCCACCTGAAGCCGAGCGTATGCCTTGTAGCCGTTCCGAATCTCCACTAGCTCCGCCTCTGCAGGCAGGGGGACCAGTGGGGGCAGGCGCTGGGCGGAGTCAGCCAGACGGCAGTTGACGTAGAGCTCCAGGCTGAGACTGTCTCTGCGTAGGCCACCCACGCGTAGGATTATGGACTGAGCTCGGCCATCCGCAAGGTTAGCGCTCTGCAGGTTCACTGTGTGCAGCTTCCCATCCTCACGAATGTACCGCACCAGAGCTGGTAGAACAGCCATTTAGTAATTACAGACTTTATTATCAAGCACCTCATACATGCATTTGAAACCAGATATTAGCAATTACAAACCAGTTAGTAATATGCCAGTGATTACAATGTACCTAACTTTGCTATTATGTAATCAGGGATGATTTATGTAGTGCAATGGGGCCTTTGTGGAAGGAAAAAAGAACATCAATGGGTGCTAATATTGTAATAGAGGTTGATGGTTACACTCTGGTGACCCCAATATTGAGTCTTTTTAAGAGGAACAGTAAGAGCGTTGTTCTTAAGACCTGGCAGTCATTAGTTGTACCTGTCTGACCTGTCCTGCTTCAGCTAGCGCTGCAGTGTGCCATGCTATAGTACAAAGAGCATTACAGTATCCAACACTGTCATCAGGTTTGACATTTAGTCTTAAGCCTAAAAAAAGCACCTTTGTTGATCTTGCCCATGATGGCGAGCTCCAGGTACTTCTTATTGTCCTGCTTATTGTAGAAGCCCAGGAGTACTCCACCCAGTTTGGGAGGCAAGCGGAAGGTGGAAACGATGTAAAGATCGCTGAAAGTCTTGAGAGCTCCAGACATCTTCTCGACAGCAGCCACGTTCTGCTTCACATCCTGCAGGGCCAACATGTCTATCACTGAAACACAGAACAGGAAGATTTTAGTGTTGTCTTAGGCACTCGCACCTTATAAGCAATGGGGAAGTGGTGAAACTCTTCCAGACAAGTTTAGTGCTGCTCCTAGTAATCAGTATTATTTCTGTCATGTCAAAAACTCATAACTCTTTTTTTCCTGTTTTTTTTTTACACCATTTGAAAATACTGGCTGCCCTTTAGATTTTGTGCACATTTCATGACCAATAGACCAACAGAAATGGTCCAAAATTACTTGGAATGAACATTTAGAAAGAACGTTTTTTTCCTTTTTCCTACCATTTTCAATTCATAAATGTAGTCAGAAACACATTTTTAAATGTTGCACTGTTGGTGTATTTTATCCATCCCAACCTGTTCGTAAACCTCAGAAACACAAAATATCTGGATACATATTATGTGTTGTGAAAACATTGTCAAATATTGTGATGTTATGTTTTTGCTGTATCGCCCAGCCTTAACGGCAGCTCTTTTTTATATGATGTGATGGAGAAAACTTATCTTACTTGTGTAATCCCTTTCTTTTAGAGTGGGGCTGTCACTGTTGACTTTATGAGGACTGGAGTAATGCAGCAATTATTTTTTTGATGAATGGAATAATCTTTTTTTTTCTAAGGCCAAGCAACAGTATCATAACATCTTGCATGCCTTTTAAAGGTTCAAAGATATTTTACTTAAAACATTAAAAAGGAAACATTTGAAGAGCTTCATATATACATTAATAACACTATATAAACATGAACAAAAATAGAAATAAACTATATGGAAAAAATGCATTTAAAATGTGTCCTTTAGATTTTATTTCCTACTGTTTATCAGAGGATCTGCAGGTATCAGCAAATTCAAACTATGGTTTTTTCAACAAAATGCTTTTTGAGCCATTTTTAATGCCATTTTGTGAAATCTTTACTGCTGCTTTTAGGCAGTTCAATATCTAATAGCTTCACATATTATATAGCAGCAATGCAGAATTATTTAATTAAGTAACCTGAGAACCCCCTCTATGACAAAGCTAATTTTCACCAGCACTTCAATTGAAATTATACCGTTTTTGTTAGCAGCAAGCTAGAAATTAATACTTCAGTTCTGTCAATACTTAAGCCAGCTTTACTTAAACATGGATATGGGAAGCATTGTAAGCTTGTAACAGACACCCAAGTGACATTTTCTTTACTTTGTATGTTGCCGTTTTACAAAATTAAATCCTCGGTAAAGTCTGACATCTTTATAATGATCTATAGAGAACTATAATAATGTTCACAGAGAACGTAAATTTGAAGTGAGTGATCAATTTTTATTTTAGCCCCAATTTTAGAGAAATATTTGCAAAGCAAACATGAGTGCAAACTGCCTTTCTGTGTTTCACTCCTTTTAACCCTTTAAATGGCCAGGACACGCTGGCGGGTACGGGCTTCCACTCAAACTGACAGTTTGCATTGTTTTCCATGTCATTACTTAATAAAAGGTCTTTGGATGTAATAAGCCTTGGAATTTAAGGGATAAAACTCTTCTTTAATACAAAGAGGTTTAGCATTACCATCACAAACTGACCCAAGTACCTCTATCCATAAGTGTCAAGTCTACACCATGTTGGGACACCCAGTTCCTTCCCAAGCAGCGGGCTAAAGAGCCCTGCTAACTTTTCCAATAAATCTCTCCCCCTGCCCTTCGCCCTGCCTCTCCTTACTCACTTTTGACATATTGACTCACTTACTATCAAAACGTTTATACAATTGGCTGTGGCAGGCCAGCAGGAGCACAGCCAGGAGAGAGCTGAGTGTGTGAGGCTGAGGTAAGGACAGAAGGAAAGAATGAAATGAGAGGCAGGAGCAAGCGGCAGTGGGAAACCTCCAGGCTCGTAGACTGGAGTCTCACCCTCAGCCTTCATGCTCCACTAGGAATCCAGACACTGGACAAAAGCTGCCAAAGGCACCAGTGAATGGAAGACTTGAGAAAGATCAACACATGGAACACACACGTATTAAAGCAACCACATTAAACGTGGAAAGCATTGGCTTTGCGCATTTAGTTTGTATGGCATGAAGAAGGCATTTCTGATTTGATTTTGAATGAGTTTATCTACATTATCTTATTTAACACACTGCCTGTAAGCAGCAAAATAATTAAACTAGTAAACCGGTACTAAACCATTATACTGAAACCCAGGCTCTTAAGGCATACTATGGAAACCAGAGCATTTGGGTCCAAAAAATCAATCATTAATACAGTCATGAGATACAAAAAAGTCTATGGTGATCCTACAGGATTTTCCACAAGACTTATCAGAATCTCACTGTAAATTTGGACAAACAGTTTTCTACAGGTATTCTAGATTACTACAAGACAGCACTACAGACATTACACAGATGTATACAGCAAAATAAAAATGAATAGTTTCTAAAAGTATTAAATCAAGTCATTTTGATAAAGGGTGAGTGATCAAGAAAGTAGATAAGTAGATAAAGTTAGTAGTTGGTTTCAGCCTGAGATATAACTAGCCTACCTTGTGGGTCTTGTTTATCCAGAGGTTCACCCCAGCAGGCCAGCTGCACCATGCTCAGTATAATCCAGGCTGGCACGCATCGTTTAGCATTCATGTCTACGGAGAAAGAGCGCAGGACTCACTCAAACCGGGATAATGACAAACTCCAGTCAGAAAACAGGGGGAGAAAAGTAACAGCGAGTTACGGTTGTGAAAGCAGTGAAGTGAAATGCTCCTGAAACTGCTCATGTAGAAAGCGTGAGAGGGGATGTAGTTGAGTGATGTAGTTGGGTCGAGCAGCCAGCTGCTTCTGCTCTCTCACTCAGAGAGAGAGAGAGAGAGAGAGAGAGAGAGAGAGAGAGAAGCAGTAGCCTAGGGGCGAGTACTTCTCTGGCGCTCGACTGCTTAATTAGCAGCTGGATAACAGTGTTTGCTAACTTCTCTGACTTTGTTTTCTGAGAGATTTGGTCGCCATGGCGACTAATTTAGTTCGCTGCGTTGCAGAAATGTAAACCATTTAAGAGGATTTTGCCATAGGAATCCCCGGGAGAACATTTATCAGAAACAGAATGAAATAAATACGAGTGGTAGCTACGGGATAAAAGTACTGGCACATACATAGCTAACAGGCTATTCGGTGTAAATACACTGATTACGAAAAGCATTTCCTGTTTATTTCAGTAACGTTACTGTTTCAATTTCCCCATGACAGTAGACTGTTCTTAGTCTGGTCTCCACTCTATCCAAGTCTTTTGGCTCTCCTTTATAAACCTAATGTGTCTGAGTCTATAAATTTTCCGCCCTACGATGAACTTCAGTAAATAAACAAGTTCTCTGTTCTGTTCTATTGCTAATTCTCTCCCAATTACGCTTTAGTATTTTTGAATGCCGATTTTTCATAATAACATCACTATGGATTAATATGGATTCTGAACCTCATTAGCGTGCTGGGACGGGACAAGTCTTTTCTAAAAGACAAACACAAAAACGTGTTTACAGAATACCTGTTAAGCTACAAACTTAAATGATCTTGTGTTCAGCCAGTGAGTTGCTCCGCTCGCCAACCAATCGCTCAGTAGCAGTAATGCTAACTAACCAGCACTCAGTAGCAAATAAGTGAATAAAGGATTCTTTTTTCAGTAGTGAATAAAGGAAAGTCCTGAATAAGTGGTTAGAAACTATTTGAAAATTTCGTTGTTAGTCGTTTGGCTATTCATCCCAATTCATTGAGGACTAGCTCGTGGGCGCCCTCTGGTGTTGTGCAGTTTTTGATATAACGGGAGTGGCCAGGTTCCCCTAAACCGGCTCTGGTTCTAGTTGATGAGTTATCTTAGCGGTAGTAATCTGATGAACAAAGGCTACTTACAAAACAAATTGTTAAGTTTTTGCATTAAAAATGGCTATTAAACGATATGCGAGGGTGGGCATAATTATAATTTTATGATTGCCTCGTTCTCAGTGTACAACATTAAAATAAAAACAAGAAAAAAACAGCAAATATATTTTAATAGCATCTAATCAATACATATATAATTTAGAAAGTGGAAAAAAATACTGTTTTTAAAACTTATAGGTTTCAAAAGTACAGATGAGAAAAATATCTAAATCTGCGATAGCATGGAGAAGATAGTTTTATTATTCTCATTATTATCACTGGATATTTTGTGTGAAGAATGATCCATAAAAACAACCAGGTAGTTAAAGTGATGTAGTAGCTCTCTCTGGGAGAACACAGGAACCAAACCCATGTCCTCCAGTAAAAGCAAGCCAAGCAGTTCTCTGAAGAACCATGATTAAGGGCACAGGTTGCATTCCATTTGGTTTAGTGCATATCAATAAAACTAGCTTATTACTCAATAGTAAGCAGCCTGCTTTTGAAAGATGTTCAGTTAGTCAGTGATTGCAGCATACCTCACATTTAGCTTCTCTTATGGTTCAGTATCTATCTGACAGTGTTAAACATGGAAGGGACCAAATTAAGGGAGAGTAGTGATATTTGTGTACATTAGGGCATTCCACCATTTTTTAAAAACATAATGAAATCATTGTGAACAAAGCCATTCAGTGTGGGCTGATGTGAAGTTGTGATCCAAAGTTCCTGTCACCACCATTGTAAACAGAATACATGTCTGTAATTTTCTTCACAATGCACCATTTAACATAAAACACTCTGAATGACTTAAGTGACTCTCAGCGACAGTGACAGAATTATACAGAAATTTCAATAGAATTACACCTTTATGATGAGTTCAGGAGGAGGTTACAATGCAGTCCTGAACTTTTCACTTTGTGTACTTCAGTAGTTTAATAGGATTAGTGCATCTGTTTATAACATAGCCTGTTCATAACTAATGATGGGTTTCTGGCATATCACTGTGGACTTTAATATGCAATAGACATTGCTGACAAGCAGGAGGCAGGAACCCAGTTTTTAATTTGCAGTAGTTGGGCACTGGCACATCTTAGCTCTCTCCTTGCTGAATCACTCAACAGACACAGCACTTATTCAGACACAAATGTCTTTCAGTATTTCCTTAGTGATGTCAGAACTGGGAATATTTTACAGTGTGGTTGGTTTTAAATCCTTGTTTGTTATGTGCCTGTTTCATGTGTTGTGTAGATGCTCTATATAAAGATTACATATTTAACAGGACATTCCCAAAAATAAAGCTCTGGTGTCTTTAAAAAAAAAAAGCACTATGACAGGGGAATAAAGGTGGTATTCTCAGGTAAAGAGGTATTTCAGAGACCACACAGTTGACCCCTTCAGGCAAACGACAGATGACCCTCAGTGACCTCTTCAAGCCCTGTTGAATATGCAGTTTAGAGAGTAGACTGTTTCCATTAGAACATTGTTAAAGAGACTTTTCTAGTATTACAAAACCTTCAGTTTATAATATTGATGTAAGGATATGTTTGGTACAGTCGTATACAAATGTTTTGTTGTGAAAAGAGAAAAGTTTACAGGGAACAAACTTAAATCTGGCATCTGCAAATTTTATTGCATAATTTTGGAAAAAAAAAACTGAACAAAACAAAATATATTGTGCTATAACTTTTGCCCAGGCCACAATGTTTTATTTCTTTTCCTCCAATATGTTAAACTCATTAAATAAACAGTAATAGTGCATTAAAATGTGTAGAAGTGTGTTCGCTGTAGATGATGTGTTAACTTATTTTCATTTAGAAAATCAAGAAAACATATAATTTGATCAGGGGTGTCCAAACGTTTGCACGTAACTATGCTCGATAAAAGAAGAAAACTCTTTTAATTCAAAGCAATCAGTGAGGTCAGAGCAGCTAGTGTCCAGTCGGTCTCCACACACACCCTCCCCTGCTCCTAGAAAAAAAAAAAAAAGTTTATTTTTGATTACAACTTTGTTGCCTTAGCAACCGCTTTTAACAGCAGGTGTCGGGGGATTTTTTTCTCTCTCATACTTCGTCTTTACTGGACCTTGAAAGCAGGAGACTTGGAAAGAAACGGACAGTACTTACACTCCTTGAACACCATTCCTCAATTTGAAAGCATTTCTGCTAAAGAGGCACGCTAAACATGCAATCATGCGCCTGCTTGGAACGGATGGCTTGTTAACAGAGTTCTCATCCCAGAAGGGAAAATGTGAGCTTGGAGAGAAATGTTTTAATGCTCAGCATTGGTCAGCCTGAGAGCATGACTCACACCTTTTAGCCCCGAACTAAACTAGAAGCAGACACAACCATGATGCACACATTTTCAGGCATACACCGCCCCTGATCGCGCACCCCCCCCCCTCGACACCCCCCCCCCTCCACCAATCTGTCCCTCTCTGGCTGAGTCTGAATGGAAATGACTGCATGGAACAAAGTGAAATCGCAGAGTATTTTTCCTGTTCTGGACGTTTTCCAGATCATTTTTGAGGTCATTAAACGCTGGCTCCCGTGACTGCACTTCAGGCACAGTCCTCCTTTAGCGCACACACACACACACACACACACACACACAAACACCAGACCAGCACAGGGATTTCCTTCAATCAGGCTGGGGGGTGGGGAAGTGATGCCAGGGGTAACAGTGATTGCTCCAATTCTGGTGGCTTTGACAAAGTTTCCACACGCACACACCCCAAAACAAACCCTGGAGTGAACAGGAGCCAAGGTGGGATTCCTGAGCCTTGCTGTAATATACAGCTGTGTTTCCCCAGGGTGCAGTGCAGAGAAAGCCTGCGGTTTAGCAGCTCCACAAAGATGCTTCGGAAACACTGAGACCGGTTTACTACCCCTCACTAAGAAAAAGGGAGAATAAAAGAGAGACCCTCTGGGCTCGTCCAAACAACCACAGTTCCAGTCCCGCAAGGATGCTTGTTTGGAATTCTCTGAGTTGTGTTTCAGCGACAAACCCCAAGTTCACATTCCTCTAAGACAACAGACTGGCAAGCAAACCGTATAAGACAAAATACAAAAAAGGTGATCCACTCAATGGTTTTAAAGCACATTTATTTGTCCATAAATTAAGAAAATAAATTTAGATATATTTACAAAACACCACCAGCACGAGAGGAGGGACAGGAACAACCAATAAAAGCAACAGAACTTTCCATTAGCTTCTCAGGTGAGAAATCTTCCACTTCACTTTATCAAAAGCCTGTGCTCTCAAGCCAGACTAAGGAGCTTGAGATTTGTACTTAACAAATAAACCCAGAAACAGTTGAAACCACATTTTAAACTGAAACACATTCATCCTAGTCATACTTCACTTATATTTCATATTCTGCTGACTGTGATTTGGAACCGGATGTAGATACAGTTTAGCAGGTAGAGCAGTACAGACATGAATGGAATGTGGAAGGTGGCAAAAGCATAAGATTGATAGTTTATTACTTTTGCAGAAGAAACAGGTTTTGCAGACCAAGCATCTATAGAGACATAAAAATTACGTATGGTCCCCAAACACATACTTTCTTTCAACACTCCTATAAACTCAGGCACAGAAGTGCACCTACACTTACAAACTCCACACAAAGCTTCGTAAAGTATGGCATTAAAGGTAAAACTCTATTAGCAACTGCACAGAGCCTCGTTTTCAGGCTTGTACCCTAGAGCTACATTTGGATAAATATTTTTGGAATCGTCTGTGTTGCTAAGTCACACACACACAACTGTTTTTGGATGCAAATGCTTCATATTACAAATAATTATTGATGAACTACTCATGCTCTGTTGCAACCAGGCAAACAGCCATTGAATAAAGCTCCAGCTTCAAACATTGACCTACAATGTGCTTTAAAGCCATTAGAACAAGCAAATATAAAAATGCAATAAAAAATAAAATGAATCAATGATACAAGCAGAGCTGCAAAGATTATTTACCCTGGACATTACAGACGTCATTCTGAAGTTGTGTCGTCATTCTGAAGTCGGCATCACGCCCATATTAGGAACTCCAGAACTCTTAAGTAGATTTTCTCTGAGAAAAATGAATAGAAAACTGTGGGAAACAAAAAATGTTCCAAAGCCTGTATTGACATTTTTCTTTCAAACATTGCCAGATCCTATGAACTATTAGGTCACTAAGCCATTTAGTCTACAGTTTAAGCAGATGGTGTTGGTATTTAGTAATGGTGAAGTTTAACAGTAGACTTACTTTCATGTGTCATCATGTCAATGTGCAATAGTGTTAGCTTGTTTGTAGCATGCATTTAGCATTATTCATATTTTGACTGCTAAACACCTTCATATTTCAGAGGATCCAGTTATATTTAGAGCAGAAAATGTTCACAGGACAAAAGAATCAGGTTTGGAACATTTTTTTTAAGCACAGAACGCAATTTTCAAAAACGTTCTTCATCATATAGAAATCTGCTTTGACCAGAATTTTCTAATATGAGCATGACGTCAACAACAAAATGATGCACAATTTTTGAGGTCAATTACTGCCTGACTACTCCGCTGCTAATTAGGCGGCAAGGACATTGCCAGGACGAGCAGGAACATGTGTCGAGTCTCCAACTAACAAGGCAACAGAGTTTTCCTTCCAAGTACTATGAATAAAAGCTACTGATCAACTTTATCTAGATAAATAGCAAACTGAAATATAATTCTTGACACATCTGTTAGTTGTTGGTCCACAAATGGAATCTGGATAGCAGTGATATGTAAACAAGTACAGAATACTGAGCATCTCCTGCACAGTACCACGGTGACCTTTACACATATACACAAAGATCATTCAAGTCACTATACTACATTATGAGCAGGTAATGTTAAAAAGTAAAAACCGAGAATATACTACAATGTGTAGCACCATGTCAAAAAAAAGAAAACAAACACTGTGAAAAAAAGTAGCATAAATGATTGTCATACTGTATATGCTGGAGAAACCAAACCAAAGCCCGAGTTTACAATTTACATTTAGAATTCTCTCTCAGGTCAGATATGTAGTGAAGCTGACCTTTTTTTTGGTGCGCAAATCTTCAGTGAATTCTCTGCCCACCTGGATATAATAAGTGCACACATTCATTCTCTACTCCTCCCTCCATCACTCCTCCTCTTCCTCATAAACCGCTCTCATGGAGGCAGTGTCTTGTTTTGGCACCTCCTCCTGCACATGCTCAATAGCAACAATGCCTGTGAGGAGAGCGTAACTCAACATGGCTGCCACAGCCACCAGGACAGACAGCAGCTGTTTGCGTCTCTTATACGGCTCGTGGTCAAAGTCACTCCCCTCCGGAGCGCTGGATGCTGGCCGTCCCACTCCCTCTGCCAACACACAAATCACAAACCCTACATGATGCCTGTACAGGGATGCTGTACATTTTTTAAAAATAAAATAACTGCTTTTAAGAGCTTGGAAAGAAACAAAGGCTATATAATAGTATTATCAAATCTTTTATATACTTCCCTTCAAAAGCTTTGAAAAAAGGAAAAAAAAGGCAAAATTGGAAATACAAGGTTTCATTCAGGCTGTGGCAATATATGACACTGCAGGAGCAATACTGTTGTTCATTATATGACTACTGTACCCAAAATGGTTAAGCTAACCTCAAAGCACACTACATCTGTGACTGGTTACTCACCTTGACTCTCACTAGGGAAGCAGAGGGACAGGACATTACAGCAGAAGCTGTTCAGGTTGTCCAGTGACTTCAGATGCTGCTGCAGTCTGCTGCTGGGCAGCTTGATTTTCAGAAGAGGGGCCAAGTGGCCAAACACATAGGCATCGAGGGAGGAGGGCCTGGAGGGCAAAGTAAAGTATCACAACATATTACAAACCCAATTTCAAAAATATTCCAAAATACTACAAATCCAATTCCAAAAAGTTGGGATAGTGAAATGAAATTAACCTTTTAGCCAACTGAACACATCGGAATTAGACCTCGGCATTTTACCCATCCGTGCAGTGAAACACCACATACACACTAGTGAACACACACACACACTAGGGGGCAGTGAGCACACTTGCCCGGAGTGGTGGGCAGCCCTATCCACGGCGCCCGGGGAGCAGTTGGGGGTTAGGTGCCTTGCTCAACATACTGTCAGCTGAGGGGATCGAACCGGCGACCTTCCGGTCACAAGGCTGGTTCCCTAACCTCCAGCCCACGACTGCCCCCAACTCTGGGCTCCAGGATTGGGGGCAGTCGTGGGCTGGGGGTTAGGGAACCTGCCTTGTGATAGTATGTTACATACAAATAAAAACAGAAAGTAATGATTTGTAAATCCACTTAGACCTGTATTTAAATCAAAGCAGTACAAAGACAAGATATTTGAGGTTAGATCTTATCAAATTCATTGTTTTTTGAAAATATACACTAATTCTGAAATTAATGCCTACAACACGTTCTACAAAAGTTGGGACAGGGGCAATTTCAGACTAGGACTGCTGTTAAATGTTCAGAAAACATTTTAAGCTCATCTGAACTCCTATGAAATACACAGTGGAAATGTGTATTGCTGTCTGACAAGTGAACCTTTCAGATTTTTTTATGGAAATTTCAAATATTGAGTTTGTATATCGTATCATTTCATTAGAAGCGTGGATCCATTCTGACATCTGATCTAGCAGCCACAAGTTTAGAATCACATTTCAAAAGATTAGGATCCCTGTTTTCAATAAAAAAAAAATAATAATAAAAATGAATACAATGATTTTTTACTACTCTACAACTTCACAGACTTCAACTAATAAGTAGGCAGCTGTAAAAAGGAGAAACATTAGATGTATATACATATACACATGGCCAGATATACCAAGGACTTTTTCCTTATCACCTACTTGGCTCTTGGGTGTCACTTTTAATAAAATGGGCCCAGAATGTTTTGTGTGAATTTGTTCAGTCCGACTGTGGAGAAAACTATTTTCAGCTGGGGAAACTACAGTCTACAAAGCGTCATTCTAACAGAGTAGCCAGTGTGTTTTTGCTTAATACTTACGAATCTCCAAAGAAAAATTTGTTGGAGCCAAGGCGTTGAGACAGAAGATTCATGCACTCTTGAGCATCACGGTACAGCTTCAGTGAGAAATACAATGAAAAAGAAGAAGAGAGAGAACAAAAAATAAAAGATTATATTATAAAAGAAGAAAAACATTCCCGCTGACACTTATGTCTGAGTATGTAATTACATTTCGCAGGGTTTTTTCCTGTGGAGAATAAATCACAGTATCACTACTAGATCCATGTGGCTGCCACATTGGCTTCCATGACATCATCAGAGTGTAGCTGCAGGGATGAACAGTGATGAAAGACAAGCCTGCAGGGCTCTGTTTGTGAGTGTGTTACAAGCACAAGAAAGCCCTTAAAGTGTTACACAGCACCAGTACGTCCCTCAACACGTTTGGCTGTAATATTCAGATCATCACAAAGAACTTCATTATTTGAATCATGTTTGATAGATCAGCAGTGGACCTATACTTTGCAGCAGCGTTCTCTTTAAGACTCCTTCCTTTGATCCCTATTAGTTTTGCAAGGCCAGACATGACCTCCTAATGAGAATGTTTGGGGACAACTAGGAGAAATTTTGGGCTTAATGTGGGTGGAAATGTTGACTTATTAGGGTGAGAACAAACTAAGTGTGAAATTTCTTAATCAATCCAAAGCTCAAAGGGAGTGATAATGTGTTGGTCAGCACTGCCTGATTGGCAGCTCTAAAGAAAACTCCAATTAAGCAGGTAAATGTGCGTGTCGCATTCACAGAGAACACATTTTAAGCGGTAACAATAAACATCACTTCTTGTAAGGAAAATCTCTTTCATTTCCTTGTTTTGTGTTATTGATTATACCTCAGAGTTAAAAGAGCATGTATTAGATGAATTTGGGGGTGGGTTTTAGAGGGAACGTACCCTTTTAGCGGCAGATTTCGTTGCAATTGGGCCCCAAAAGTCTACTTTCCAGACATGTATACTCATTATGAGATCAAGTTAGGCTCTGCAAGACAACATGACTATATTATAAAAATGTAACAATTTCAATATAGCATTATGGCACCAACACTGGACTTAAATGCCAATTGTGAAAGCAGAGAGGGGCACAGCAAAGACTCCCAGAATGTTGTGCACCCCTCCGCAGCCTCTATTTAGTTTAAATAAAATGCTTTAATGTTGTTGTTTTAATAGCTGGATTGTGCTAAAGTCATGCTTGGGTTTAAATCGTGCCCTTTCTTGTAGTTAACTAGAGTGATCACTCCCCATGTGGCAGTAGTTACCCTCTCTGCTATTTCAATAAAGAGCATTCTCCCAAGAGAAAACGGTAGACTCTGGGTCGTCTTCTGTACCGAGGCTACAGTATTGATCTACAATAGTCTGAGTTCCGGGGTCTGAAATTTGACATTTTGTGGAAACCACAGTCAATAATCAAAACTAGTCATTTGGATGCATTATATTAGAGCAAAGTGGAAGGGAAGGATGGAGGGACTTAAGTCATGCACCCAGGCTTTTTTTGAAATTGCTGCAGAAATTGCAGTTTTGGAGGATGGTAGTTATTAAGAGAGTTTTATTTTAGAACTTCTATTGATAAAGATAAACCAATCTGTGTAGTATATTAACTCAAGCTATGTAGAATCAAGATATTTTTACACATAAAATATCAAAAATCTAACTGAGTTTCAAAAATACAATAGGTGTATCGTTACATTCCACTTTCTTTCACGAAATCCCAGCATTTCTACCTCTCTAACCTACTATTCTGTATCTCTTTACCTCTTTCTCAGCCTCCTCGCCGGCCTCCAGAGCGCTGTTTCCCCGCATGAGTCTCACTCTCTCTAGCTGCTGCCGCTGCATACGGCTGGGCAGAAAGAAGTTGAGGGGAAAGGAGATGTTCTCTGCATGCCAGCGCCGTGTCACCTCCACATAGTTCTTAGGATCAATCCACAGAGTGTAAATCTGCAGGAGTGTGTGAGTGGGGGCATGGATAGACAAAAAGGGAGGGTAAAAAAAGAGAAGGACAGAAAACAAGGGGAGGTAATGCAGGAAAATGTCCAAGCTTCTCAAAAATGTTTGAGATCACTGTTCTAAAACTATACTAAAATGTTATTTGCACAGCACACAGCACACAGCACAAGCTTCACAGGATTTCTCTTCATAACAGCAGTACAAGGTCATACGAATAATCCAGCTGAATTCAGTTTAGGAGTACTTCTTCAGTGTTAAAGCAGCACTGAGGAAAACAATGATAAACACTAGATGGATAAAGTCTGGGTACATCCCCAGGCTGCCTTTAATTTTCAGTGGTGGAGGAGTTAAAGAGAGCACAACTACAGCTCTACTGGCTCCGACTGAGGGCAAACTGTCTGGAATTTTTATACAGCAGCCACTAAATACCGGAGATAATAACCCCCTCACCCTCTGCCTACTAATGAGTCGTAGGGGGAAAAGGACGACAGAAGAGAGAGCTTGCATTGGAGAAAAACTCTACGGCATACAATGAGGGGAAACGAGAAAGTCATTCTGATAAGATAGTGGCCCTCTTCCAATAACTGTTGCCCCAGTCCACTTTTCCTAATCGTGAGGACTGATCGGTTCTGTGAGTACAAGACTTGATCGCTTATCGCCACAAGCTCGTTTATACGTTCCTCATGCGTGTCTCACCAGAGCAGGCATCAGCTTTTCTTCCAGCAGAGAGATAAACGCAAGAGTGTCTGCTCCTTCCTTTGCCGACAGGTCATAGTCTGCATTGTATTTCTGAAACAAATGGAACAAATCATATCTCTTTATGTTGGATGAGACACATAAGTTTAGATCAAGCTGTCAAATCCATGAAGAACAACTGAAAACTTTATACATGACCTGTGCTGTCATAATACAACACCATTCTAGTTTAAAAGTTCTATCTCATGAATGTTAAAAGTAACACGCCACTGGCTGACTATAGTGAGATAAGCATGGACCTGAAAATGTGGCAAAGTGTTTTCAAACCTCTTGAGGAAATGCTAAACTACTAGTAGAACCATAACGAGCTGTCTAATTTCCCTCTCTATAAAACAAATGTCAGTATGGCTTAAGGGAGTTCAGGCTTGTTTTTTTTCAGGTTGAGCTTTCCGTCCAACTCACCACAACAGGAAACACTCATTAAGCAATTACACTATTCTGCACAGTTCAAGAAAAGTGCAAAGAGCAACCAAGAAAACACTCACAACAGAAGATCTCTCTAATGCAAGATGATCTCTTAGCCTTTTTTGTGATTCAAGTTCAAAACACTTGACCTGGACTATTACTACTAGTATAACAAAAAAAATAATCAGCGCAATACTTTCTTGTTTAAAAAAAAAAAAAAAATCAGGATTGTCGATTATGCACTAAACACTGTGCATAATGGTCCATAAAGGCACACAAAAATCTAGTTAAAGTTATGTTTTATGATGAGAAAGTGACCATCATCATCACGCTTTCATGTTAAACATTTGAGAACTGGCTTGCCTTGTCTTTAGCTGAAATATCTGTTGACAAGTGATCGTCTTTGCATTGTCCATGGCTTCCCAGCACAATAAGATTCACGTTTACAATAACCGTGAAAGTATTGGGACGGCACAAAATTGCAAGTCCTTACAAATATTTTGAGGGTTGGCTGAATTTGCTTATATTTGCAACTGCAAATTCCTGGAGGGACTGTAATACATTCTGTCAACTTCAATGGCTTCCTACACAAAGTCTATTCTAATTTACAGTTGTAAGCTTCTCACAAAACCTACAACTTCGTAAGACAGAAGAATCGTTAGTGAGGTCACCTGTTTCCTGAGCTGGATGATGATCTTGCTGGGTTGAGAGAAGCTCCCCTCCTCTTTGGTCTTTAGGGCTGGGAGAATGCCTAGCAGACGAGCCCCAAAGCCACAACATACCATCAACATGCATTGGGGTTCAGTTAGTGTGCAAGTAAACATTCTGCTAGCATATCACAGTAAGACTGCTGCATGCAATACTCACACTACTAGGTGCAGTAACAATAATTAGTATCCAGTACTGTTATACTGCAGAGAGCTACTACTGCTAACACTAACCAATACTGACAAATTATTACTCACTGCAAATTCTATCCATATAGCTAAAGGAAAGCCTTATCAGTTCAGGGCAGAGGGGTTAGTGACTTTGAGCACGGCAAATAAAACATAGTAGACAAAGAAGACAGGGACACAGAAAGCAAAAACACAGAAAGAAAAATAAACAGAAAGAAAGATTCAAGATAAGGTTGTTACTAGAGGAAAGAAGAGGGACAACAGTGGCCAAATTCCTTCAGTCATCCTCCAACTCAAACAGAACTGGTTCAAATCATTCCAGCATATGTGTGGTCAGTCTTAACCCTGCATAGACTTTTTTCTGCCAGCACATGTAATCTGATCAGCCTAAAAGCAACACACTGACAATACTGATGATTGGCTGCCAGGAGACTGACCATTAACGTCCACAGAGAAAAAAAATCTGCTTACCTGTTGGACTCCTCCAGGGGTTGGAGATCTTGTGAATTTTCAGGGGTGCACCAGCAAAGCGTGCATATGCCTGGAAACGTAAAGGGTCTTTTAAGAAGCCAACAAAGTTATAAGTACACTTGGATACAAATAGCTACAATTATGCTATAGTAGCTACAAGTATTTACAGACTTGTCTTTCAGATTTGTTGTTTTAAAGTGGGTACATTCAAACAATGTTCTTTTGTTCACTGCATGTTCTAGTAACATGCAATGAAAATCTAAATGAAGTCTGCGATACAATAGCAATGGTCGTCACCACTGGAGATCCAGCATAGATACACCTACACAAATTTCATAAAATAAAACACTGCTTATCAACATTAAGACTACAGCGAATAGCTGTTCTTGTACATGTCAGTACTGTCACAGTGTGCTTCATGAACTCCATAACCCTGTAATTGGCCTGAACAATTGCAAGACATTCAGTGGTATCTGGCATTTCTCAGTAGATGGACACACTCACACATACAAAAACACAAAAATATATATAATTGTTCAGTAGTTTAAGCAATTAGAAATGCCTGATGTTAACGCAAAAAGCATATGGCCAAATAAAAGTAACTAACTACAACCAACTGCAAGGGTAAAAGTTGTTATTTTTTATTAGTCTACTTGCAGTGAAATTTTGCAGCCTGATTCTGGCACAGCTTTCCAGGGCTCAGCCAGGTAAGGAACAAATTTGCTTCCACGTTTAATCAAATCAGAACCAGGACAAACTTTTCAGGGGCCAGTGGTTCTGCCGGAGTAGAGGGCAATAACACTCTCTATAGGCTAGTTCTGCTCAGGGCTCACATCCAGAGCAGTATGAACAATACAGACAGCATGTTACTGTAAAAATAAGCTGAATAGCAAGAAGCAAAAATGCTAAAACCCCCACAGTCATAAAAATAACTGCCTGGCCTCATACAGCACAGTTACAAAGACAGGCGAAGAACTGTTAGGAAACCTCTTTCCACTGGCGTCCTCATTTTTTAAGCATAGGAAATTTCTGACATGGTGTGAAGTATTTCAGTTCAACTTGTAAAACTGCAGGTTTGAAGCCTAATTTCCAGTTGGCAGCTTATTTTGTAAGGAGGGGAAAATGTGCGTATGAGCTGAGAGTGGTGTTGGCGGAATCATAATGGAAAATGAAAAGAGAGAGAAACAAAAAGAAACAGGAAGACAGAGAAGTTTTAATTTTACAATTAGTCCTACAACTGTAGTCAATAACTTACAGACCATGTGGAATGAAGCATATTCTTGAAAATTAATTGGAGGGGAGTCTAGATTTAATGTAGTCTTGATTTGTGTTTACTGGGCCTGGTAGCGTTGCACAGGTTGAAGTGCTCAGTTATTATGTTTTTTTATTTACCAAAAGAAAGCAGTTCACTGCTCATGTGGCAAAGAGTAAAGAGCCAATCACCACATGACTAGGCATTAAATTTAAACTTAATGACCAGACACACACAGATTTTATAATCTCTACAGAAAAGCACTGTCAAAAGAATGGAGTGGTCTGGCACACTCACACATCAGCCTAAAGTGACCATGCTCAATGCCAAGCATTGACTAGAGGGTTATAAAGCCCTCCAGGTCTGTAAAGCAGTGGAACTGTGTTATTTGGAGTAAAGGCACTCCATCCAATACTTCTGGAATGAGCTGGACCAGCGTTTGTGATCCAGAACTAACCATCCAACATCAGTGCCTGACCTCCCTAATTCTTTTGCTGCTAAATGCAATCAAATCCTCCCAGCAATGTTCCAACATCTAGTGATTTTTTTCCAGAGAGTAGAGGGTGTTACTGCAGCAAGATGAGACAAACTCCATATTAATTCCCTTGATTTCAGAAGAAACGCTGGATGAGCAGATGTCTTCAAACTTTTGGATACACAGCGTTCCAGTAAAAAGTCAACAGAAACTGATACTGGTTAGTTTGTACTAAAAGGAAAGGGGAAAGTTAAGACATCTGATTAATGAAAGCTCCAGTACTAAGCTGTCAAATGCCTCACAGCATCTTTAATAGCAGAACACTGCAAAGTAGTTGAAAAAAGGCTTTTTAAAGGCAAGGAAGAGGATCCACAGATCCAAATGATGTCACTTTTCTATTTCTATTATCATAATAACACAAACATGCTGTGGAAATAAAGAGATTATTTCCAGATGAATTCTTTAAGACAAAGAGGCAAGGGTGCTGTCTGGAGAATGGTTTCAAATGTGTTAGGCTAGAACTATAAAAGCCACATCATATCCTTTGTCTGCTTTTACCATGAAACAGTTCACAGTATTACTGTGTTATTGCCCTTTAACCCTAACTTTTGGGAAGAAAAAGTATACAAACATGGCAGATATGAAGTCACATATCATCATGCAGACACTAGCAGACAGGGAGATAAAATAGAAGGGGGGGGGGGTTCAGGGCAACGTCACGGAAAACACAGCTAATTTTTTCCACCGTGTTTGCAGGTCTTAAAGTTCCTGTTCAAAGCTGGGTGAGGAACTACAAAGGAGAGTGCTGAAGGAAAAGCAAGATGCCCTAAGGAAAGAATGTAGGCAAAGAGGGCAATAACCCACTAAAGAATACCAAAGGATGCTACAGAGTTCGAAAAATTAAGAATTCTCTTCCAAAGCAAATGCTTTAAAGACAATTTCCTTAATGAAAAAAACTAAATCTAAACTGATCTACACCAAATCATAAAAACACATTATGTGAATCTGTGTAAAGGTAGTTAACAGGTTGTGAAATCAATGTATACACATTCCTCACCAATTAAAGAGAACCTTTTCAAAGGCCCTAAAACTCTTCTGCTACGCCAGTCTGATTGTAGCAAATAGTTTTGTCTAAAGCTTGTTGCACAACTGCAGAATCCAGAAATTAAAAGTCAAATGGTGCCTAGAAGTATCTTTACCATCGTTATGCATCATCTGCTGTGTAGTGGAGCAGAGAAAATCCACAGCTGAGCTCTAAAGTTCTCCAGTATTTTCGCTCCTTGTTGCAGCAGTGCAGCCAGTTGGAAGAGCACCATTAACGACATCAAAGTCTGAGATCATGGCTTCAAATTTATAGGTGAATTCCTCTACAATTTTAAACTGCATGTCGTAAAACCAGAGACAATCCGAGATGAAAATAAATCATTTGTATGGTTATAGCTCTGGTATGCCCAGAGGCTGTCCAGAAGAAACATGAACGCTAAAGCTGTCAATTTACTTCTGCTGGCACACGTACACTACAGTTTACAACACAGCACCAGTTTGTTACGCTCAATCCAGGGTTTGGATTTCAGATAGTTATGAGATTCAGTGAGGAAACAATGAGGATTGCCCACTATGTTTAGCTTTGAAATAGCAAGATTGGTTTAGATGGGCAACAATGCAACACACATACTAGGCAAACATATGATTTAGCTATGACATAAATGTGAGAGTTCATAAAGGCAATTAACAAGTTATGCTTGTACAATGCAAACTCTACGGTTTGGTCTTTAGCTATATTAGCAATCAAATGAGAACTACTCATATCACATTATACTACAACAAACATAAGAAAGTTCACTGTTAACTAGCGTACTGACGGCATAGTATCATGTAAAGTAACTGAGAAATCAGCAGTCGGATAAGGCTATATTATTACATTATTACAGTTTTATTAATTGTATGAGTCGCCTTCCATCCTTCCTGTTAAATAGCTTGGGTGGAGATGTTAAATGTGAAAGGTTAAATTTTTAAACGTGGTTTAAAACGTTGTCTTTTTTGTCTGTTCCAACTTGTCAAACTTTAGAAATTTATTTTGATGCATATCATGTGTCATGAAAATATCCTGAAGAATCATGATGTTTTTGTTTTTTTTGCTATATTGTCCACTAGGGGTGGGAATCTCTAGGCACATTACGATTCAGAGGGCTGCAATGCGATTATAAAACGATTATTGATACATCTCGATGCATCTTTTTTTTCTATACCCCATTTCTATTTACTCACTGTGTGAGTTCAAGTTTCAAGTTTATTTGTCATTTGCAGAACATGTCAGGACATTTATGCATTGAAATGCTTGTGGTGAGGCTCAGCTAATCACTCTACAGAAAGTAAATAAGTAAAAAGAAAAACTAACTGACATTAAATATACACAAAATATACACAGAATATAGAGACAATATACATTTTAAAGTGACTAAGTGACTGTGTTATTGTTGTTATTTAAAGTGACTTGGTACTTTTAAACCAAAGTATTTGTAATGATCCATAATGAATTTACTTCCAATATCTCTTATTAATAAATCAAATGGAAGTGATGTGGCAAGTGAACTGGAAGGTTCTCATTCAGTGCTCTTGTTTAGAGCACATGAGACGCTGCTGCTACTCATCTGCGATAAAATGTGCAGTTACGGTGACAACAGATCCAGTGGCAGTGGATGTCCACGCAGCATGTTACAGCTATTTTACCCATTTTCTTTAGTGATGTTATAACTTCGGTTTTGGTCTCGTTGGAGAGACTGTTTCGCAACAACTGAGAACTGCTGTGCAGACTGCAGGTCACATAGCAACGATGCGTTTGCATTTATAAGCAGCGCAGTTGGTTTCCTGGTACGTTAAATCTGCAACGAGAGACTGTGAAACACTAAACAGTTACGAAGATTTAGTCGCTTCTCTTTTGAATTCTCCCGTTCCACCTTAAATGGTGTCGTATTTACATTCGGCGCCTCAGTCAGAATTTAAGGTGGAACGGGAAAATTCGAACAAGAAGCCGGAGAATAAGAAGCGACTTCAGCCTCGTAAAACAGTCGAACGCATTTTACAATAAGCTGCTCTAGTTTTGAATAAAAGTTTCCTGAGGGAAAGGGGAGGAAAGCGGCTAAAGCTTAAAGCAGAGCGAAGTAAATCTGCGCTCTCGTTTATCATTTTTAGCCTATACTAGGACATTATAACACACTGACACATACTGGGCATTAAATGTTGCGGCTCCAAAGCTGGTTTGATTTTTGTTGAAAGGACAAAATGTCTCTTCTTATCATTTGTGTTGTGACTCCTGATCTAACCTGGCTTTTAATGCAGAGGGAGCCGCTCGGATTTCTCGCTCATCCAGTAGTGTTTTTGTTACGTGCTGCCGCAGACTGTCCGGGCGCTGCACTTCCGCACTTCCAAGTTCCGCTTTTTGCGTTCCGTCAACATTACGTTCTAAATTAAATATTTAGAAAATCGATTTTTGACGTTTGTTAATCGGTTCAAAATCGTTCACGTCCGCATCACGATGCATCTAAGAATCGATTTTTTTCCCGCACCCCTATTGTCCACTACTAAGACTAAGTAATTTTTTTTTTCTGTCCCCTCACACTGTTAATTTTACTCACTGGAAAATTGCGGTCTGTAAACAATAATGAAATATGCAAAAGCATGCCTTGGAAAACCACATCATCCCAAATACCTAGAAATTACATGGAAAATTTGGAATACAGTTAGGCTATATGTTTCGATACAGTCAAAGTGAGAGTGTAAGGATGTCACTAACCACTTGCTACTGTGTCAGGAATCAGCCTGTGGTTACAGACCACACTAAGGAAAAAAAAAACTTCTCAGCCATTTTCCCAACCGCCAAGGAGAGGAAAGTTCTCAACATAAATTCCAAAAGCACCTCATTGGGTGAGGTAGGCCAAAATATAGCCTTTAGATGTTATATTGCTTAATTATTACAGTATGTTCATGATTTCTGACAATAAAAAGGGAGCCTCAGTCTCCATCCTTGAGTTTTTTCTTAATAGCAATACCAATAGCTGTTGTCAACTTGCCATGTACTGAAAACCAATAAGGACAAAAAAATCCATTTCCTTAGAAGACAACCCACATTATTTGAAAGTAAAAAAGGTTAGAGACCTTGAAACAGCAATGCTGAATCACATTAAATCCACATGGCAACGGCGGTGATGCAGAGACATGGATACGGTTTTTGCGGTAAAACACGGTGGAAAAGTAAGAAGAGTTGAGGAAATCTTTCCAAGAGGGGTCATTTCTCCACTTTCAACAGTAGAAACCCACAAGCCAAAGAAATTACTTCAACCAGTTTTTATACTCTTTACTGCTGATGGCTTTATTTTTTTAAGTTAATCCTGAGTAGAGAATCAAGCCAATAGTTATGAATAGCAGGCAACCGCAATATCTGTCTAAGGACTGGGCTAATGAAAAAAACATTACGTAGTGATAACATGGACATGGGGATGTGACTAGAAGGCAGATTTTGAAGGCAGATGTTCAGTACCGTGTATTCAAGCCGTGCTATGTGCATATGTGTGCAGGATAGGCAACACCACCCAGCAACACATATGAATCACAGACAAAATGGTGGTCAGGCCTAAACATTCAAAATTATGGATGTGCACTGTGTAACTACTACACTGTAACTATGATAGAGTATTGGTTATATTAACCACAGCAGTATAGGTATATTAGTACAGTTTAGAGATTTAGTATCAAACATGACAACGATGCATTTATTCTGCTCACGATCCCTTTGTACACAATGGGGTCCTCTGTCTTTTAGTTAAGAAAGCCTCCCTAGTGTCCAGTCCAGTCTCTTACACAGAATCATCCTGAAGTTGGGTCTAAATGTTGCAAATATCATCTACTGAATTAAACAAACCTAATCATACTTTGCAAACTGATCTTACGCCCCACTGCATCTGCAAAATCTGTGGTCACATCAGTGATGGGTCTAATCAGAACACAGCTATGATGTGGTAAATGGTTGAGTTATTAATATCAGACTGCAGAGTACAAGAAAAAAATATCACACAGCCTGGACCACTTTAACAAACAATATGCTACAACATTATATCTTTAAAGACTTGACAGAAATACAGAACATCATCACTGGCCCAGAACATCCAACATGTCCATTGTTGCTGCTGAAATCAAAAGGAAGGTCATGTACTAATGTTGTATAAATAGTTATGGATCATAAACTGAACTACAACAGATTCCAAAGGTACTGGATGGACCTGGGGCTTTAAACCCCTCTAGCTGATGCTTGGTATGGGCATGGTGACCTCAGGCTCATGCACAGCTGCTGAAGTGAGTCCTATTTTATTAGCAATGCTTTTCCATGGAGATTATATAAACTGTGTGTGTGCAACTGAATGCCAGATTGTACTAGCAAAGAATGCAACTCAATTCACCAAAGGAAAGGGGTATCTGGATCCTTTTGGACATGCAGTGCATATTGGTACTTGATCGCTTCAAGATACTTGCATGTAATCCACAATTAATGAGATGCAAAAAGTCAGTGGAACTGCACTCATTCATTCCTTAAAATTGGTCCGACAGTTATTTTTTTGGTCATGTTCACTTCTCGTGCCCAAGATAATGTCAGTATTAGGTAACTGACAAGATTTAACCTACACTGAGGGAGACAGATCCATCAAATACAGCAAGTGGTGTAAAAGCAACTCTTAAGGCTTAAAGCTTAGACATTTACTCACTACACACATCTGGGGTTGTGTAGACTGTAGACGTCACGAGGGAACAATGTAGAGTAAGACATTTCAGCATCTTAAGTGAAAGCCCACCTGCAGGATTCAGTATAGCTTAAGTTGGTTCCTATTAGCCAGGTTCTTATTCCATGTTTCCGTTCCACCCTAAACGGTGCAGCAGTTAGTAACGTTAGTTACTGCACCCGTTTCTGGCGCTAAAACGCAATTACTGTACCACTTAAGGTGGAACGGAAAATTCGAAGCTGGCGAATGAGAACCCAACTTCAGTCTCGTACAGTCTAGTTCAACACTCCGTAACAGCGCAGCTCGATCACGATTAGCGGGTTACCTTGGCCTAAATTCAGTGAGTTGTATGTAAGCCAGTCTCTGTCCACAGAGGCTCTTACTCAGATACGCACTATCAGAGTCAGACTCAGTGACTGATAAACAGCAGGAAAAACACCAGACAGAAGTCTGAGGATAAAGCTGTAGGAAACAGAGCGCCCATAAAGACCCACCAGAACAATAAGACTGTCCGTATCGACTGAAGGTAAACCCCAACTTCCCTTCCAGCAAAACAACTCTGAGGGAGCCGCCATCTTCGCATCACACCCCCTCTAACACGGGAATTACACAGGGCCCAGCCGGAAACAGCGCGGCTTAGATTCGGGAGAACCTATAATAAAGGCCCTGTCAAAATATTATTAATAATAACAGGGTGCGATTTTTCCCAAAAAGTTTATACGTATTTTAAGTGTAAAATATGGTTGTATTTAACATCATTTCCTCTTTCTAAATATACAAAACGTGGAGCGGAATAGTAATGTTATTCTTAGAAACATTTAAAATAATAGTACCATATTTTTGTCAATAGTGTTATCAGTTTTTGAAATGAAATACTGAGTCTCTCAAAAAATGTATATACTAGCTTTTAAAAGATGCATTGCAGTAGACTTTTATTATAAAAATTACGTTATTTTTGCTAAATACAAAAGCAAAAATATTAATTTGATTTCCTTGTTAGTATTGCTAAATACACCTATATCTGTTGTTTTATTTTCTCTCTAACCTAAGCAAAAAAAAAATTCACCTTTAGTATCTGTTGTTTTATCTTCTCTTTAAATTAAACATTAGTTCAATAATAACATAAAAATTAAGTTGCATTGTCTGTTATTGTTTATTTTCAAAATTTAGAAAAAAAAAGACATCTTACACACCTAGCAATCTTTAAAATATTAAACAGTAAATTAAAAAAAACATAAGATCAATAAATATGTAACACCACTTACATTTAACACCAATGACAAATTCTATAACATGTAAACATGTAAACTATAAACATGTAATGCTACAAATCCATGAAGCTATTTAGACTAACCTTATTAAATAGCAAGTAGAATATTTGTTAAAGCAATCATACATATTGTGACTTTAGACATTATTTTTATGAGCTGGTGTGAGTAATGTCATGTTATCAATAAAGCTGACCACCACTGACCATATCTGTGTTATTAATAAAACTTGTGTTATGTTATCAATCAACAGATCTTTGAATTTGGGAAGCACCTGACAACATCAATAGCCGCTGTGCATATACAGAAAAGAACATACTGAAAAAATAGATTGTAGGATCGAATTCATATATCTTAAGATGTGACGCTCCTTTATTTCTTTAGAAAAACACATATTTAATATGCCCTTAGCAATTGTTAGGTGAAAATTCAGAAAATCTGTTAAGACATTAAAAAGACACGAATAGTAATGCAGTAGTTTCATATAAGAGGATATCATTTTATAGAGGCAGAGGGACCCTGCCATGAACATTAATTTTCATCTGTGTTGCAATAGTCTAACAGTGCAGCTGCCAAAACCTGGGCCAGAAAAGCATTCACAAGATATGACATCAGCCTGATTTCAGAGATAGAGGAGTTCAGTATGTTTCTCTGGAGGATATAAAGGCCGCCATGCTTCCGCATATCCTCATGCTAATCTCATTCTTATACTCATTTCAGCTTTTTCTCAGTCACTCTTGGAATGGTCTCTTGAAATGTCTTTTACAGGGGTGGACAAAGTACAAAACTTCTGTACATGAGTGAAAGCAGAAATAGAATTCCTCTAGCTGTATTTCTACTTGAGTTACTAGTTTTTAAATATGCTTAAGTTTAAAAAGTGAAAGTGCTGTGAGTTATTGTCATTATTAAATTATTTTGATGAATAAGTTCTATTATGTAGACCTGTGAGGCTGCAGACATGAACAGTTAACTTGTTTTTTCCTGTTTGCAGTTGAAATATAGATTCCATGCTGGTCTATGCTGATCTATGCTGGCCTGGTGCTGGTTTAGCTGGTCATCCAGCATCCAAAACACAGCATATGCTGGTTTTGCTGGTGGCCAGGCATGCTGGTTTATGCTGGTTTTTCCAGAGGAGAGAATCATTTTTTTTGTGGGGGAGAGCAAGACACAACATAACACAGGGTAAAATGTAACAGACTTTTTATGTAGTTTTATGTAGTTTTTATGTAACAGATTCAAATAGAACATACTTTTGGTGATCTTCTCGTATACATATACCATTATGACCTGCACGTTTTCACACCAATCGGACAGATACTTCTCATGATTCACTCAGAGGAGGTGATCAGGAGACTGTAGGGAGAATTCCTGGAGGGATGGTAACATTTTGGACTAACTTATACAAAACCATACACACAAACACAAGAGCAAGTCCGCTACCCAACCCCCACCCCCAGACCAAAACAGTACAGCCCTGGTTTGCTGATTGTAATTGGTCAGCTAATGACTCGTAGAGTGGGTAGAGATTAGCTTTTTTTCAAATTCAGATGGTGGTAGGAATCTGGTGCAGGATGACCCAACTGGCAGAGCTGTATGGAATGCATTACTTTGAGCATCGCTTACCAAGTTTGCATTTTTCATGAGTGTGAATTTGAATTTGAGTGCCATCTAGAGGAATTTTGTGAAAGTCCTGTGTAATTGAGTTTAAAGCAGTGCGGTGTGTAAAATGCCAAATAAAACTAACTGAACTCATAGTTTATAATAGTATTTTAAATGTGGCTTTATTGATGTATTGTGTCTGTTTCAAACTAGCAAGTGTCACAAAAACAAATTATCCTGATAAATATAATCTGATGCGAAAATAACTTCAAGCATCATGATATTACATGTATGCCATATTGCCCAACCTTATTCCTGCATCTTGTCTTCTTCTTCTCTTCTTTAGCTTGGAAAGAACCTCCCCTCCTCTCCTCTACAGGACTGCATTTGACCAAGCCAATAAATTTGTGCAATGCCCCTGCTACCAAGAGCTTGTTCCTATTCAGGCAGTGAGATTGCTTTGCAAGTCTTTTCAGATTTAAAGTTTTTCCGTTGAAAATGATTTAACTTAAAATTTTTATTTTAGTTATTTTTAATCATGTTGTGCATGAAAAACAGCATGTCACCGCAGTGACTTCACAAATGCCAATCAATTATTTTTATGCAGTTTCAATTGTAAATGCACTAAATTCTATAAATTATTGTCTGTCCTATGGTACCTTGATTTTAAACAAACAGAATTTTATTTTGTTAGATTTTGGTAATGTTGCCAGTTATTATACCCTATAAACAGTCAAATAAATGGCTTATTGATTAATTGACGTACTACTTACCCATAGTAAAATGCTGCTTCTGTGAATGAACATATTAACATTTCTGAAGGTAAATCGATAAAAATATTTCCTTTTATACACCACGTATGATGTCTCATGGTCCACTGGCTATCATGACCTCTGATTGTGAATCAGTCGGAGGCTTTTCCTGGGCAACCATCTTTATTCATGAGTGTCGCTTGACATTATACGATGACCTACATGCCATGATGATGACCTATGATGGCCAGATTGGTTTCTATCATATCGGTTGTAAACAGATGTTGTTATTATGATAATTATAAGATATATGTGTATGTCTATGTTAATTATAATAGTAAAAAAAATAGGTTTCAATGTTTAGTTTTTATTCAAATTACTGTGTTAGTAAGCTTTCAAACATCCCAGCAAGAGTTTAATGTAAATTGTTATAAATAAAGGTGGACACATGAGAACTAACTTATGCAGGTGCTCACCAGTAACACACTAAACAGCTGTAATTTAATGTCACGAACATAAAGTAAAGCACAGAATACTGCAGTCATTTCAGAAATGGATTAGACAATCATAACAAGCATGAGAAGCACATTGCAGTGTTTGGGTGTATGAACCTTTGTGTTATATAATACGTTTAATGTGCTGTGTTTAATGAGAAAATCTTCACTAATAGTCTTTGTTAGCGATTGCTCTGCTACAATAATGCTAATTTCTGTAAGTGCTTTAAAAGGAGTTTTCATACATCGTTAGTGCTAAGCTAACAGCACTGAGCACTCACACTCCATGCTTTAATGCTTCTCACACTCCAGGGTTTAATGCTCCTGGCATTTCTAACTTGATATTTGAAGAATGTAAGAAAATAAACAGCATATCCTTTACTTTTTATGTTGAATTTTGACAGTAAACACTTCGAGGAGCCTAATGTCAGTTGTATGTCATGTGTTACCTGACAGTCACTGAGCTGTTAGCCCCTGCTTTGCTGCCTATTTACTGTATGAAATGCGCCAGAAGTATGTTCTGCAGTTGGTGCAGTCAGTGATACAGTAAAGATGAAAAGGGTGACATTCACTAATAATGGCGTTTTTCTTATTTATATATTTTGTCTGAGGTGCCATACCTGCTGTTAAACTCACAATGATGGCCACAGTGCACTCTTAAGAAAGATGGTCCTTCAAGCGTTCTTTAGTAAAAGCAATAGTGCTATTTGGAAACATGAATTCTATATAGAACCATTTCATGCTTAAATGGTTCTTTGCATGGTGACATTGTTCTTCAGATTGATGGAGAATGTGTTGTATATGGTTCCATAGAACCTTTTTGAAAATTGTTCTGCATAGCACCAAAAAGTGTTGTACAATTGTTACGATTATCAACTGGGCTTGTAACAATAGAACCTTTTTTGGTGCTCCATAGAATCATTTTCTAAAAGGTTCTATATAGAACCATGTACAACACTGTTGTATATGGTTGTTGTAATGAGCATCAGTAAACTCCCTATTTGATAACTCTGCACACACGTATAGCACACAGCCACAGGCTTAGTGCTGCTTCACAATTGGGGATTATTAGAAGAGAGAGATGTTTGTATAATAATGTGTTCTGTTAGTACTGATGAAGATTGTCTTCAGGAATGTCCTGTTTTGACTCTGACAGTTATGTCATGTCCACATATATTTTTTGGGTTATTCATATTTTCCAGCAATGGACAGAAGGCCTAAGATGTTGTAGAAAGTTATTTGAGGTTGATTTGGCATTTTGGAGAGATTTCTGGCCCCTATTGTGTCAAAATAGAGCCAGTATAGCATGGCAGTGTGTGCTCATGCCCACCAAACAACCCACACATTGTATGTTACAATGCTTGTTAGTTTGGTAGTTTGGAATGAAACAGACACTTGGAGATACCAAAAGAACACTTGGAAAAGCCACTTGACATCCTTAGCTCTGACTTGAATTACATCATAATGAATGAAGCTGAGCTCACTTTTTTTTTCTACTGAAAGACCCATTATGATCATAAAACACATTTTCTGCCAATTTGAGGAGAGCTTATAAAAAACACCAACGCTTCACATTTATTTCTTGCAGTTACTGAATAATTTGTACATGCAAGTTTTGTGCATGTAAATTCAGGCAAAAATCCTAAATATACCCTGGAACATAAGAGGTTAATGTATTTTGATTGAAAATCTTGTCTAGTTTATAGAGTTGTATTGAATTAACTATGTTTGCATCAATCTACCTGACTGTTTTAGTGACTGTTACAACCATCCCTCAATCCCCAGTCAACCCTGCCTAACATTTGCACTCAGACCACTTTTAGCTACATTGTTTCTGAACAGAAGAAGCTGGAAAGTTTGTTTTTATTTGTAACAGAGATGTACAGGTTGTTTGTATAGAGAAATTATTAGTAATAAAAAAGCAAAAAATATAATGTGCTAGTATGTGCCCCTATCTCTTCTCTTTTTCTACTTTCACTCCAGTACAGAAGTTGTACTTTATCCACCAGTGGTCTTTTAATAGTACCTTTCATGTGTGTTCTTATGGTGCTTTCACAAATAATCCACATTTACAATCACTTGTATCCTCTTGCTTTAATTACAGGCTACAAACAACGTCAACTGGAAATGAGAACAAATGCAAAAGAGCATAAGAAGTCAGAATGTAAGTACACTGTACAGCCTTGCAATTCAAAATTAAGTAATCTACTGCCTTCTAGTGGAGAACTGGCTCACTGAGTGTACATTGACAAAGAACTCTGTTTAGGCTTCTGTAGGATGATTAAAACTAAATAAAGACTTCATTCTCAAGGTAAAATGAAATGCACATAAATGGATGTTAATAACATGGTTGCAAAATTGCAGAAGTGTGGCATGTTTATGTTCCAGACTGAGTAACATTGAGATTTTGCTAAAATGATTGTTGTATTACACAGGTCTTAGGTACAGGAATGTGTAATACCCTCCTGCCTCCTAGGTCCAAACTTAAGGGTAGCATACTGCGTCTCGCTTGAAGACTGTGGAGAATGTGAGAATTACATCAGAAACATTGAATTCTAAATTTTTGAAGACAAAATGGGAGATAAGAAGAGCCAGGGAGTGTTACTGTTTTGTTTTGTATTTTTCACTAAATACCAATAATACCCAATAACGTGTTTATCTCTTTTATGGGCATAAGATCTTGTAATTAAAAGGGGTCATATGGTTTGGCAAAAGCAATCTCAACAATTTGATTTATGGCCACAGGGAAGTGATATTTATCATCATGACATACCTGCACGTATACCAGGGATGCATAACTCCAGTGTCCAGCATAGTTTGGTGATTTATCTGCTCAAACACACCTGATTCAACTCATCCATTAATTGCCAGGTTTAGTGGATGTGTTTGAGTAAGAGAACTACTAAACTGTTCTGGACACTGGCCCACCGGTGTTGTGTGCCCCTGATATATACGACATGTGTAAATGTAACCTCCCAACTTGTAAAAACAGTTTCAGAATAGAGTATAGTGTTTACTTACTTGCTGATGTTTCCCTGTTGCATTGCTGTTCCTTTGATGAGTTATTCCTAAAGAGAAGAATGCCTTATTGTTAAAATATTACATTTACTCCTTACATGCAGTGCATGCACTCGCATTTTTAGCCCTTTCTGAGTGGTCTAAGATTAAATTACATGTCTTTAGTCTTTAGCCTGACATGTATACTTTTGTTATAATGATCCCTGATGCCAGAAGCAAGAAATATTTCTTTCTTGTATTTTTTAGTAATTGAGATGTATTTATTCTAACATATTCACAGGCAGCATACCTCTCCTCTGCCAGCTGCACACTGCTATGATGGTTAAGATGAGTAGAAGAAGGGAGACGCCTCCAAAAACTGCCAAGGGGAGTAAACACTGACATTCCTTAACTGAAATAAACAATTGAAGAGGGAAAATATGGACACTTTTACACTTTTTAAAAAGGAATTTCCTCGACTTCTACAGTTAACATGAAACTCAGCATTAGATTTAGGTCAAAAGGCTGTACCAAGGTTTTAAATTAATCTATTTTATTTTACACAGGATAGTTATAACCAGTAGGGATGGGTTATACCACATATTTTCTTTTCTATACCAACAAGGCTAGTATCCCCAAAATTATACAGGTACTTTTAAAAGTCATCTTATGTGCATAAAAAAAATACTGTAAATCGATAATGCAGATTCATCAAAAAGATTTTAATTTTTAATATCTGTTTCAGGATTACAGATCAGCGCTGTCCAAAAAAATGAATCTTCAAAATAGTATCTTTACAGGAGAAGGCAAAAAAATCACTTATAATGTAAATTCATTGATTCAAAGAGATTATATTCCAAACAATTTTGGAGCATTCTATTAGTTCATAGTATCATGAAATGTTCACACAATGTAAAGAGCAGCTGCTGTGTTCTCCACTTTCTTTCAGCATCATTTACACATTTAATTAAATAAAAAATTATAACAAAAGACTTTTTTTTTCTTTTTAATTTAAATCTGCACAGTTAGGGCACAGTCAGTGTACCCTTCAGTAAAACGTATCCTTATGCTGCAATGCAAGCACACATGATTCCTTAACAGGTCTTCATAAAATCGCCCAGAAAGGACACATACTTGAGAAGTCAAAAAAGCTTCATCCGGACAGATGTCTTATGAATTTAAAACCAGCTGAACTTCAGTTAGTACTACAAAAGTTCATTCAGTACTACTGATATTACAGGGTGTGTTTCAGCAACAACAGTTTTACTTTGCTCTAAATCCAATATAGTACCTTGTTCCGAAATCATTCTGTGGTCTTCATTCACCTTTGCTTTGTCAGTTGTGTCTAGAACGGAGATGAAAACAAATGAAAATCACATCAAAACTGGGAACCTGATGTGTACATATAAATACAGACCTCAATTCCAAAAATGTTAGTGAGGTGCAAATAAAAACAGAAAGCAGCGATTTGTAAATCACACGTATTTAAACAGTATTTGGTACAAAAACCAAAGATATTATGTTTTACCTTATCAACCTAATTGTTTGTTTTTAAACATATGCTCATTCTGAAATTGATGCATGCAACACGCTCCAAAAAATTTGGGACAGGGTTAATTGAAGACTAGGAACATTCTCACAGACTTTACTAATCACTGTTTTCTGTGTTTTTTATTAGTATTTCACATATTGAGGTTTATAGAGAGTAATTCAGCATAGATGTCTTGAGTATGTTTACCCATGACAGTCAGCTCTGTTCCATTACCCATATAATCCACCCCTAAATTCAACAGCAGACAGTAAAATGTGCCGCTATGTGAAAGACTGGCCTGGGGAATATTCAGTAGGCACTGCGTGTCTCGCTGAGCTTCATGGGTGATGGCCTTGAAGCCTCTGCTGAGGTGGGTGTAGATCCTGAGGCCACCTACTGGCTGGTAGAGTAGCCACCTGACAGAGGAGCACTGACCAAATGCATGTGATATATCGCATAATAATGTCACATTTGTACCCACATCCACAGTCACACTGGGAGACTGAAAAAGCAGACTTGCACCTATAATACACAACCACACACATATATACAGTTAAAAGTCTACATAAAAACTTTTTTTTTGTTTTGGCTGAAAAACTATAAAGATCTATATCAAATATATCTATAACAAATATTATAGGACATAAATCTAGAAAACGTATAGATCATTTATGCTAACAGATTAATACATTAATATAGAAATAGTAATAAACATCCTTACCAATGTACACAAGCTCAAAGAGATATGTCAGAAAGAGGCTGCAAAACATCTTGTCTTCTTGAGTAACCCTGTAAACGTATGGTTCAGAAGACAAACGCTGTAAAGATGCTTACACGCACATTTGCAAGCCAACAAATCTTCCCTTTTCTCTTTGTCTCTTTTGTTTTCAGGGTTCATGACCTCAATTTGAAAGCCACAAATAGGCTAAGTGCTTTCAAACTTTCCGTTAACTCTCCTAAAATACATATAGAGGTTCCATGCCGATAATTGCATAACATATGCAAAGCAGAGTTCATAAATATGTTTTTACACACACACCCACACACACACACACACACAAAGGGAGTCGATTTTTCTTTGTTTCTGATTTTGAACAATTACCTTTTTTACCATTGCAAAACAAAAAAAGCAAACCAAATATTTAGACAATGATAAATCACCCAAGATACACAACAAGGAGACAATGGAATAATACAATAAACGTAACGTCTCTACAACTAATTTGTAAAGAAACAGAACTATGTAAAGGCATAAAAGTATTTTTGATTAAAAAAAGTTGTGATAGTACTCTCTTTGATAGTTAAGATCTTCACACCGTTATGCTGTTGGAAATTAAGCCCTGGCTGGGAGGAACTGACCCCAAATACTGGACATTCACACAAGTTAAAACACTACCAGTTCAAATCTTCAAGTGAAATCATCTGAAGTCAGTATTAGAATTTCCTTGTTTGAAGCATTATTTCTTGAAGCAAGCAAAATTATCTGCCATTGGAATTAGACAGTTTCACTACATAACATTACTTAAAATAAAACCAAAACAATAATCTTCTAATGAGAATTATTAGATATATCGACTAGTTTTAAGATGATTTTACTTGTTGATATACCAGTTTTTGCAGCATTAAAAAAATTTAATCACAGTCTTTAGCCTTTGATTTTGAAACAGGAGCCCTGCTTTAAAATGAAGCTCTAAAAGTGGCTCAGAATGAAGCTCTAAAATGAATCAGTAGCGGGCACTGTAGAGCAAAATTCATCTGACGAAGAAATTGATTAAAAATGTTTGCCTAAATTCTCCTGTCTCATTCTACTCTGCCAACCTCTATGACCTCTTAATCAGTGAACACATTTTTAATTGTTGTCGACAGTTTCCTTCAGTTTGTACTGATTAGTTCTATTCTCGATCATTTCCACACAGATACATGGTCGCCTTTGCTGTAAAGAATCAGCGTAAATGTGACGCACTGATTAAGCAGTTTGGGTCCCACCCCACTGGCTGCAGTACCTGCTCAGGTGCTCTAACAATAAAGAGACTGTTCATTCCTATAGTGAGGCACTCAGGCCAAAGCACTGCTTTATTAGGACTAAACCTGACCAGAAGAGTCTACAGCCTGAAGGATTAGCACTCCACTGAGCCGTACATTATGAAGGAAAAGTCTCTGTACTGGATTATTGGGCTCCTAGTATCTTTTTCAGGTAAGATTCATACATATTTTACAATTTTACACCAATCATGGCAGTATCAAGAGGAGCACTGTTCTAATATTTCACATTTCAAATTCAGCAGGTCCAATTCTGAGATTTGATTCTTTGAGTAGTTTGAAACCACTGTTTATACAACTCTGATGTGAAACTCCTTTCAAAGCTCACACAAAAACTTGTTACAAGGAAGTTAATTGAGGTTCAGTAAAATGAGCTATTTCGCATTAACATTTTCACCGGAATATGTTTTATTTGTTTTTTTGTTGTAATTGAAGATCAAAATAATCATTTCAATTACCGTTTCAACTGTACGCTCTTAAAAGAGATAACATTTGGCTTCTAAAAGAGGTTATGTTTGCAATTTTTGGTAAAACTCAAAATGCACAACTTTTGCTTTCCGTCTGTCACCAATCATTTTGTTCCAGAAGAAGTGGAATATTGTTTGTGTTATTCTGGGTCAAATTCATATAACATGAAGACACCATATTATGCCATCTATACATTAAGTTATTTTATTATGCCATTTTTATTTGAATTTTGCACATTTCAGAATATGCACTACTGTAGTTAAAAAATAATAATAACAAGAGAAAACAAGAAAAACAGGCAAAAGTCCTTTGGCCACTGCAGACCTAATAATCTCTGAGTGTGTTGAATCTGCAGGTGTTGTTTTGCCTGGCAGTGTCACTGTAGCTCCTGACGGTGGCACGACGTCTGCACATGCCAGCTCTGCCTATATCATTGGCATCAAAATCATCAACCGGATTTTCAATGACTCACTCACGGACCAACAATCAATGCAGTACAAAATACTGAGACGGGAGGTAGAGAATGTGGTAAGATGCCTTATCCTCAAAGTACAGCCTCAGATAACACCAGGTCAAACAGTACTTGGTGACTCACGAGGCATAAGACAAAAGCTCAACTATACATGCCAACAAGTGCATATGGTAATGCTCTAACAAATATAACATGCGAAAGCACAGTGTATCAGTAGTTGTTCGCATTGGCATTTATGTGTTTATGCCTTTTAAAGCTGTACAAATACCACATTTAAGTTTTCCCTCTCTGTTCAGTTTTCCAACACTTATAGCTATACACCATCGATCCAGTATGAAGGCATTTCAGACATGACTTTCAGGTAATAATGTTTCAAACAGCATTAAAACAGAGTATTATTTCAGATTATCCTCAACACTGCAACAATGCTTAAAGTTAACATGATTGTGAGAACAGTACATAAAGGCAAATCTGGCCTGGGCTTATTTTTACAAGCCATGGCCTGGTTCCCTTTAAAGGTTCTCATCCTTTTTTCTAAGAGAAACTGCGGATACTGTTATAAGTATATGCTGCACAACATAAAAATGACACTCTCTTAGGCTTTATTAACCATGCATAATTTTATTTTTCCTCAGCAATGGATCTGTGATTGCCACTTCCACTGCACTGTTTGGCAGCAAGCAAATCAATCAGTTTATTGTGAAAAATGTCTTTGTTTCTAATTACGAACTTCATCCATCTCTGATTCTGGATCTAAACACCAGCTATACTGCAGGTAAAAGAAAACCTTCCTCCTGATAACTTCTGATCAGAATGAGTTTTTACTGCAAAAAAAAAAGAAAATGACAGTGTGTGATAGAGGTAAAATTAGACACTGATTTGAAGCAACTGTACGCCTTACCAAAAAAAAAAACATCTCAATTTCATTATGATTATAATTTCATTATTTCATTATTTTATTTCATTATTTCATTATCTGGAAAATTTTAACATTTTCCAGATTTTGTCAAACTTGTTTTACGTAATTTTACATTGCGATAACATAATCCATCGGCAGATTATTTTTCTTGTTTCAAGAACTATTGCAGATAATTTCACTGGCTGAAATTACCTGAAATATGTAAAGTTAAATTATCTTATAGTATTCTCACAACAATCTCAAAATGAGAAATATTAGGCATATTGACTAGACTTAATATGACTTCACTTGCAAAGATAACATTTTTACAGTGTAGTAACTGTCCAAATTGAATTTGATTTTAATAGGAATCTTGAAGAAATTCCTGTAGTATTACTACAAATTTGTTCCATAAGGGATTAACATTTGCATATGCATGCACATCGAGTCTGGGACTGTGTACAGTATAGATAAATTATGTATTGTACAGGTTAAATATGATTGATTCTAATCTGTATGATATGTCTTCACAGATCAAGAACCCACAGCTGCAATGCTCCCTCTGGAGCAAGAATCTAAAACAATTACACCTCACTCAGTCAGCACCTCCACCACTGTACTCACCACCGCTACACACACCACCGTGACCAGCAGCTCACCACCCACACACTCCTCTACACACTCCTTCACATATTCCACCACACACCCCTCCACACAATCCTCCACACACTCCTCCACACAATCCACCACAAATTCCTCCACACAGTCCTCCACACAAACCTCCACACAATCCTCCACACAATCCTTCACAAATTCCTCCACACACTCCTCCACACACTCCTCCACACACTCCTCCACACACACCTCCGCACACTCCTCCACAAACTCTTCTACACATGCATCAACGATCACTACCAACCATTCCAGCACAGATCCTACATCTCACACCTCTAGACCACCACAACATGTCACTTCTACAACTTCGCACTGGTCCACCAGCTTGAATAATGAGACTCACTCAACTGTACATCCAGCGAACAATTCTTCGCATCATCAGAATGAAACGTTCACTGCAACGATCAGCACCAGTGTCACGGTGAATCCCAGCAACCTCACCACAGCATCTTCCAGTCATTCAGCTGCCAATCACTCAGCCAGTCCTGGAGGAAATGTATCTGAGAAGCCTTCAGGCCCCGAAGTGCCAGGCACAGCCCAAGTGCACCATTCCACTTCCAGCTCAACCACCACGGGCTCAACAGCAGAGCAAGGCGTGCCCGGCTGGGGCGTGGCCCTGCTAGTGCTGGCGGCCATCATACTCTTCCTCCTCCTCCTCCTCTTCATACTGCTGGTGAGTCTCACATAGACTCCCAATAAAACCATTCAGAGCTGTAAAAAGAGTACACTAGTGTTGTGATGATCTCCCATGACTCTTTAGATACCATGAAGACATTACTTTGAACAGACTGTAACATACTGGAGATCCTGTTGTATTATTTCTGTACTGATTGTTTGATTTCCCATATAAAAGCCTTTTTGTACCTCAGTGTGACTGTGATGTTATTTAATGCGCTATTATTTTTTTTTCCAATTCACTGTTCTCATTTACTCTTAAAAATAAAGGTAGTGATGCCACAGAAGAACAATTTTAGCTCCCTAAAGAACCATTGAATGGGTGAATGGATGAGAAACATTTTTGTAAATGAGATGTGTGAGTGTAAATAACCTTGTTTAAAGTTTAAAGAACCCCCACATGATGTGAAGGTCCCAGGAAGAACCCTTTAATTGGAATAGAACTTTTATATCAAGCAAAGGTTCTTTATGCCTTTAAAAGATTCTGCACTCTTACATTTCCTTTTTTTAAGTACATAAAGAACTTAGTTAAGATTTGAAGAACCTCTATATAATGAAAATGTTCTATACCAATTAACCTCAAAAACTCCATGGAACCGCACACCCCGCCAGACTTGAATTCCTTACTCTTAAAACAAGCAATTTGCATTGTTTCCATGTAATTAATGAATAATAATCTATTGGATGTAATAAAAGTCACAGCATTTGAAAGGCTTGTCTTAGAAACCAAGAACCATTTAAGAACCTTTATTTTTAAGAGTGTTGGTGAAATGAACATGGCTGCTCTCTTAGCATTGTGTTGAAACGTAAATGAAGCCTACTCCTCCTCGCAGCTGCTGTGTTGGTGCTGTTGGTGGAGACGACGGGGCTTCATGAACGTGTCTGATCCGGACCCCCCAGGCTACTATAACCCTGACATTCCTATGTACTCCACACACAGCACGTTTGACTCGCACAACGGCAAGTCACCGGTGAGTAAATCTCGATCTATACCTTAGTGCCACGGCCCAGTGCTTTACAGTTTACATCAAAATGCTTTGAGAGCACTCATACCAACCTGAGCCTCTGCATTTGCTGTTTTTTTGCCATTAAAAAGTAATTTACCTGATTCAAATGGTTGCACATGAATGAATAGTGTCTTTCATTTTACTTAACTTTGGTAATAATTTTGTTAGTGTAATACACTTCATTCATGTGTACTTTTAAAAATAAAGGTGCAAAAAAGATGCCATAGAACAACCACTTTTGGTTCCCTTAATAGATGCTTCTTTGAAGAACCAATTATGTAATGAGATGTGTGAGTGTGAAGAAACTTGTTAAAGCTTAAAGAACCTCCTCAGGTTCTAAACTAAGAAGTTTTTCCTAGAACAATACATCCAAGCCAAGAACTGTTTACAAACTGTTTCTTTGTTATTAAGAGCGTGGAAGCAATGTACACATATGAATCAAGCAAATAGGCCTACCTCCCCTGCAAGAGATATGAGCAACTGAAATAAAGGTACAGTTTTTATAGGTTAAGTTGTACATGTGTTCAAGAACACACAGATAGTAACAATAGCTGTGTTTTTTGTATATGGGGAGAAAAAACATGAATTGTGGGGGTTAATGTGGAGGTAACAGTAGACCTCCTGCAAGGAATTAGCATTCCCCCATCTCCATCTCCATCCATGTAAAACATGCCAGCACAATGTTGCTCAGAAGCAGGCAAAGCTGGCTGCCATTACTGAGCAGCCCCACTTCCCTCAGACCTGTATAGGCCTCTCTTTGTGCACGGGCAGCTTTGACAGAGAAATTTGAGGCGTGGGAAACTCTACTCCTGCTCTGAGCTTCTGTTTCCCAAACCGCCCTGGAGCTGCTGTCTTATCAGACTTTACACTGCACTGTCTGCAGCTCAACCCCCAGCAGTGAAGCGAGGAATTCTGGAGTACACTCTTCAAAATAAAGGTGCCAAAAGGAATTTTATGGGACAAGACTATAAATGAAGGAGTATTTTAAAAAGGAATGATGCACTGAAAGGTTCTTTAACTAAAAGTGATTCTTCTGTGAGATCGCTCTAAAGAACCCTTTAGGTATCTTTAATTTTAAGAGTGTAATCCTGCCCTCACACACTGCTCTATGTTTCATAATGCACAAATGTGTTTGTGGACTAACTTTTTGGTCAGTTGACGCTATCACCGCCTGTAGATTAGACAGCTAATCACACAAGCTCTGAAAGGGCATAGCATTTTTTTCTGGAAACAAGCAAAATTATCTACCAATAAAATAAGACAACTTCAGCAGATAAAATCACTTAAGCAAGTAAAAGAAAATCCTGAAACAAATTACAATCTCATAATATTCTTACAACATCTCAAAATGTGAAATATATATAGCTAGGATTTAGCTGGATTGAAGATGTTTTCATTTGCATGGGCTTTTAAGGCCATGTGTCTTAAAGAATTGAATACTGGTGGAAAAAAATACCATTTATTTTATTTCACTTTTCATTAGAAAGATTTGCATGATACATATTGCATTACAATGTGTAAATGATTACACTATGGCTCTGCTTGAGGTCATTCTGGACTGTTGCTCCAGTTCCCTCACACAAAGAGGCCTTTGATGGGCTGTTAGTAAGACTGCATGCTGGTCGCATTGCAGCAAGCTCACATACAGCAGCTCATGGAAAGGAAATCCTGAGCTCTACATAAAGCCCTCATTTTCTACCCTTCTTACAGGTCAAATAAATTCATATGAAATTAACTTAGTTCTTTAATTGTACACTCATTGTACATTTAGAAGTTTCTTGTGTATTTATATATTTCAAATCTGTGGTTGTAAAGAGGGGAAGTTAGAGTAGCAATGTATTGAGGTTACTGCTTCCAGCATGTTCACACATCATCGACAAGGTTATGAAAAAATGTCTGTAATCAGATCAAACAGTTTATTGGTATTTTAACATCTTAACATCTCAATCAGCAGGACTCAGATTCCGAGAAACCTCCGAAAAACCGGACTGGGATGTACGTAGTGAACAAGTGATGCTGCAACACTTCATTACGTAAGAAATAAACCTTCAAATGAAACAATGAAAATCACATCATGATTTACTCACAGCTACTCAACTTCATTCAGGTGCTTCGTTTGACTCCCCTTCATTTGTTGTTCTTTCATCTGTCCTTCCCTGCTTTTGAATGCATCTGTAATACCAAATATCAAACAGACTGTAATACCAAACAGGAATACCTTCCTACAATATTCAGTTATTTCCAAAGGAATTTTGAAAACATGACCTGTGACTGTAAACATGACTGTAATATTCCATAAGACAGGATCAATTTGCTTTAAAATGGTTTGCCTGATTATGCTAGTGTATATATTCTGATTATATAAATAAAAGAATTGCTTCTAAATGGCTCGTGTTAGTTGTTGTTTGTTTACAGTAATATGTAATTTTAATTAAGTTTATGATGCTCTGCAGCAAAGAAAAAGAGCATGTAACATGATATATTCCTTTAAAAAGAAAATGTAATATTTTATTTAAAAAGGAATGTGTTTGGTTGAAAAATATAAATACATTTCAGTCACCTCCTTGGTTTAATTGTGCTGGACTGCAGTAAGTTTAGGGATGATAAGCTGTGTGTCCATATCACCTCAGCCCCCTGGGTCACTGTTTCTCAGGGCTATTGTACTAATAGAAAGGTGCCTTTGTGCAGATGGGACCAGCACTGAGATTCTGTTAAAGCTCAAAAGAAAAGAGAGTAAACGAGTGTAATGAATGCTGCTTCTTCTGGGATATTCTAAACAAAAGGGAGCTTTTCCTCAAATGTGTTGTTCTTGGTACAACTTATAAAAATCATACTGAGATGAATTAAGATCTAAAAACTGTGCACGCACTCTCAAACAAAGCATTGATGGTCGTCATCGATCTCCAGCCCAAAAGAAAATATACTGTTATATGTGATCAGTGTATTCCAAAATATTAAAAGAATGTAATACATTGTAATGTATGAAATGACTAATACTTTTCAATATATTATTTTTTAGAGGGTTTCTAAAAGTTACTCATACTTACACACACACACACACACACACACACACACACAAGCTCATCCAATGTTACTTCTGAAATCAAACGTGTTAATGGGGAGTTTGTCCTCACTTCGCTGCAGTAACAGCCTCTACTCATCTGGCAAGTCTTTACACTAGATGTTGGAACACTGCAGTGAGGATTTGATTGTACTCAGCCACAGTAGAATTAGTGAGGTCAGGTACTGATGTTGAATGATTTGTTCTGGATCACAAATTCCAATCCAACTCATTTCAAATGTATTAGATGGAGCTCCATCAATCCAGATAGCACAGTTCCATCACTGCTCCACAGAATATTGCTGGGGGTCTTCATATCCCTCTAGCTGACGCTTGGCATTTGGCATGGTGTCCTTATGTTCGGTTGCTCCTCAGCTTCCCATTCCATTAGCAATGCTTTTCTATAAATATTATAAAAGCTGTGTAATGGGTGCATCTTAAAGTCGCTGAATTTTTATGTACAAGGGATGTCTGGATACTTTTGAACATACAGTGTACTGTTTTTTTTTGTACAGGACATACTAATATACTAGGGAGTGGACTGAAATAGGACCAAAAATCATATACATGTGCAGTAATGTACATACAAGTCCCAGACCAGTCCCAGTCCCTTCATTTATATAATTTCCAGTTAAAACACCAATTAAGTTATTTATTTTAGGAGATATTTCTAACAAGATAAATATGAGGAACTCCTAACAACTGTGCAAGGCCTGGTAGACCACCAAGACCGTCACTATCAGATAAACAGTACGTACAGCTTTCACCTTTGAGAGAGAGGAGAAAATCAAGCTCCACTCTTTCTTCAATCTGAAAAAATCCACAGGTGTTTCTGTCCATCCTTCCACTGTGAGAAGACAACTCAACACTACGAGTCTGAAAGGATGCATAGCTGTTAAGAAGCCATTACTGAGACAAAGAAAAAGGAGCTGTTATTCTAAAAAAAAAAAAATGGACTATTCACCCCAGAGTCCAGATCTCAACATCACTGAATGTGCTGGGGATTACTTGGAATGTAAGAAGCAGAAAATGTAACTTGGACAGATCCTTGGAGAATCCCTGCAATTTCTTTGAAAAACTGAAAGCAAGCTTCCCAAAAAGAATGGAAAATGTAATTAAATCAAAGTGTGGACTAAATGCTGAAAAAATGATATTATATTTAGTTGTAGAGAATGATGGATAATTGTTAAACATCTGTTAAATACACGTTTTTTCTGATGCTGAAAAATGAATAACTTACACTTAACAAGTTTTTAACAAAAATTACATAAATAAAGGGTGGCCTCTGGGTTTTACACAATACTGTATTTTGTTATATGCATCAGAATATTTCAAAATATAAATAGAATATACTGCTATATATTTTCAATGTGTTATTTACCTGATACCTGAAAGTCACTAATGTACTAGACCTTAGCCTGAAATAGAAGTGAAAATGAAATGTATTATTTTATGTTATCTGTCTATTCCAGACTGAAATTGAACATTTGTAATACATTTTCAATATATTGCTTTTTTTGTGTATGACATCTCAAACTAATAGTAGGCACTCATATAGTAGAGGGTAGATTGAAACAGTATCAGATTTGAACTACAACAACAAAGTAACTGAATCTGTCTCATGTTTTCTGTACAAGCTTCATCTTGTGATTAATCTGCATCTCTATCCACACCTTGTTCCACCCAAGCATGTCCAGACCAGGTGGGGCTGAGACTGATAAGTATTAAAGTACATCCAAATGATTGAGCACAGTTTGGTTGTATGCTCTTAAAGGAATCTAAAACCTTTAGGCATTACTCACTGGCTGCACCCACTGTGGGGTCACATCAGGCACATGTGACAAGTAAAATGTGAAGATATCTGCTTACATCTGCATTACTGATGCTGCCTGTAATGTCTATGAAATTGAGAAAACCCAGAACATCTTCCTTGGACTTGTGTGGCATAAGAAGGTGCAGTCAGGCCTTGACGGATTGATAAAAAGTTAAAAAATGGCTTAAAACTTAATAACAATGCAGTCTAGGCTCTCTTCCTGGAACTTTGAGCAAAATAAAGAAATAAATCAGATCACAGTAGATCAAATTATACTTGAGAGCATAAAAACGGAATGGCAAATTTCAATACCAAGTACGAACTTTACATACTTCAGAAAATGTGTATTTTGTTCATTGCAGCTATATTTTTGTATTTATTTGCATTAATTGTTTACTACTTGCAAATATTTCTATTTATATATGCTCCAATCCCACCAATACAAATTCCTAGTGCATGCACGTGTACTTGGCCAATGAAGTAACTCTGATTCTGTATTTGAAAAGAAAATGACACGTGTGTGCATACATCAGGCATATGTGCTTATCAGTGATGGATAGTTTAACAATGTATACTTTCAGACTTCACCACTGACACTTTTCTGAAGAAAAAACAGCCAGTACATGTGTTTACAACTGCTTTGAAAGCACAGAGAAAGAGTGAAATTCAGTATCAATAAAGAGGCCACAGGAAGGATGTCCTCCTCTGCTGCTCAATAAAGGAAACAAAACACATTATGATACACCCTTTCTTTGAGTTTGCTTTAAGACTTAGGGTTCACAAAAGATCTGCTGACCAGGATGTACAGACATACAACAGCGTTAGCACTTTCATGTTCACATGTGTTCTTTATCACAGTTGTGCTACATTTTTCTCTTCAATAAATGGTCAGTATGCTGAAGGCCATAAAATTGATAATCAATATAATCACTGATTAAGATTTCATGAAACAGCTTAGGCCTTTCAGTTCATAAGCACCACAGGCAAGCAGTTTAGCTGTGACCCAAATAGCACATATAAGCATAGGAGTGGTCATAGTCCTTATAAGACAAATCAGTCAGCACAACCTATGTGCCACTGTTATCATTATATGTAAGCACACTTTCTGTTTTACAGTGTATGTTTTGAACAAATGGGAAAGAAACAGATAATGGTTGCGCTTTATATACATATGTTTCATTACCTTGTTGAATAAGGTTTGGTTGATTTCTGTAGAAGAAGGATAAAACGTGAATATTAAAGCAGTAGTCACAAAAATTAATCTGAATTCCTACATTACATGTAAATATGTTTTTACTCTGACAATTAAAAAGCAATCTGCCTGTCATGTTCACACTGGCTATTAATTTCAGATGTCACTTTAAAGGGGACATAGTCTTTACTGCCCCCTTGTGGCTCATAGTAGCAATACTAAATTCTTACAGACCGGTGAAAAATTACAGCGATCAAAAAAAAAACAAACAAACATAAATGTCTCACCTAACAACTAATTTTAAGATCCTGACAGATCTTTAAGGTGACACTTCAGAAAAACAAAATCATTTAAAACAACAATGATTCACTGAAGGTAACAGCCAGGTATGATAACTTGGATGCAGAAAGATTAACAGGACAACAAGCCAATGGCACAGTGATCCTAAAGGCCTTGCTTCATTGGTTCCACAGATGAGGGCTGACAGAAAGAGGAAGAGTCTGCTGGTTTTAGGTCTTCTCACAGTGAGCTTCTAGGATCTTCAGCCAGAGCTCTAAAGCGAACTTTGTTCCGGTACTAACCCGCTCCACATCCTCACCCTGCGCTGTGGCTCGGTTACAGAACACTAACACCGGCACCATGGACTCAGAAAGCTCACCTACTGGAGACACCTCCATCACACTACAAAACCAAACAGCAGCATGGAGGACATTAAAAGCACAGCAATTTTTCAATTATATTTAATTTAAATGACCATGCAATACTTTGGGCAACACAGTTGATTTAAAATGTGCTTTATAGATACGTTTTATTTGACTTGCATGAACAAGAAAAAGGGATTGACTGAGTGACAGCTTTTCTTAAATTACTTTATGTAATGCCTTTGCCTTATGTCTTCTGTGGGAAAAAAAGGACGTAGAGAGAATGTAGATAGCACCACAGCACGTCACCACCATGTGAAAAACTTTTAACTCCTATTTGTTTTTTATTATTTGGAACAAAATCTGGTTACATTAACATTCACTTTTTCAATCCATCTTTGAGATACACAACAATATTACATGACACCACAGATGAAAAGTAAAAAAATGAAAGTACCTGACATACTGAGGCAGATCAGCAGGTAAATGAACAGAATTCTCCTCTCCATCCACAGCAGATATAATGGCCTTGACCAGACCTACATCAGCCCAGACACATCCACTTACCTCCCCAGGCTCTGGCCTCAGACAGGACTATGTAAGAACAAAGCAGCGTTTATAAAACTGGCTTCAAATAGATGTATGTTTACAGATAATAAAGATATGCACAGATGACGGAATTTGACACCATTTTCTCCATTACTTTCCAGATTACTCTTTAGTACACAGACCATAACAGAATGTTACAGAATGGAATACCTTGTTGCAGTTCTATAATCCAACTGGCTTTAAAATACTTGATATTCAGACATATGACTGGAATAATGTATTAATGAACCAAGTTACTATTAAAAAAAACTCACTGTTCATGCAATAATCTTTAATCGTTATGTTGTTTGGCAACCATAGTATTCTCTTATGGGGCTAAACTGCTTTGCAGAAAAACTGAATACTGCTATACACTGCTTTTTAAACACTGTTGTATTTCATCATACTGTAAGCTTAATGCTTTATTGCCTATTCACATCTTACTGTTATATGTTACATATATCACTAATGCTGGCATTACCTGTAGCTGCAAGTCTGTGAGGCGACTAGACAGCAGCATGTACGTGACTATGTGATGCCTCTGGGGTAGTCCTCGGGACAGCATGGGTGGATACACAGACTGCAGCAGAGACAAGACGTTAATATGAACATAAGCAAATGTTTTTCTTTTAACACAAGACATGCCTTGACACTTTGCTGACAACTTAGGATATATTAACATCCCTCCATTCGCTGAACTTCCTGCCTTTGATAGATACTTGGATCACCCCAAGAACTCAATGACTCCAGCAGGACTATCCTTTGCCTTTAACTTCTCCCGTTCTCCGAGACACATTGGCAGGGTTGGTGGCACAGGTTTGCTTTTGTCTAGAAAGTGGCATTTCACTCCATTCTCATTTTCTCATCTTTCACTCCACTCTCGTTTTCTCATCTTTCACTCCACTCTCGTTTTCTCATCTTTAGTCTTTTGAGTACCAGACTGTTACTGTATCTTTCCCTACTAAACTTCCTATCATTGTCATTTATTGCCCTCCTTGCCCTTTTGGCAACTTCATAGACGAGTTAGACATTCTTCCGAGTCTCTTCCCCATCAATTCATTCTCTTCTTCAACCTTCCATCGAAAAAGCTGCAGTCATCCTGCCTCTTACCACTGCTATCATCCTTTGATCTCACCCTCAACCAGTCTTTATAGATACACAGAGCAGTGTTCTGGACCTGGCACTTTTGATCTTTCTCTGGAGCGGCGCTCTTACCAGGCAACATGGAATAGGTCCACATCTACCCCATGCAGGCTCTCCACTGGTGTCGGTGCTGGGTCTTCTTCTCTTTTCACTCTACACTCATTCTCTTGGTGAAAATTTTCTCATGGTTTCTCTTACCACTGCTATGCAGATGACTTCCAACTAATGCTTTCTTTCCCACCTTCTGTAACTCAGGTTGTCGCATCTCTGTATGTCTGACTCACATCTCTTTATGGACAGCAGCTCACCACCTGAAGCTCAATCCTAGTAAGACTGAGATGCTATTCATCCCTTCACCTACATGATCTTGCCATCTCATTCAAAAACTCCTTGGTCGTTCCATCTGAAGATACAAGAAGTCTTGGTGTGATTAAGGATGACCAATTATCATTCTCAGCTAATTTTGCAAACCTGACCTGGTAATGCAGGTTTCTCCTGTAGAACATCCAGAGAATTCAACGCTTTCTCTCTCGGGAGGCCCCCCACGTGCTTGTTCAGTCTCTTGGCATCTCAAAGCTTGGCTACTGCAACTCGCTCCTGGCTGGTCTTCACATGCGGGCTATCAAGCCTTTAACACTGATCCAGAATGCAGAAGAATGGCTCATCCTCAATTTTCCTTAGTTCACTCATGTCACTCCACTTCATTCCCTGCATTCCCTGGCTTCCTGTAGCTGCCCACACCAGATGTAAAACCCTGATGCTTGCCTATAAAGCCCCTCCCTACCTTATGGCAATGGTCAACTTAATCTGTATCTTGAGCCCTTAAAGCTTTGGTGGCTTGGCTTGACCTACCATCCTTCAAGACGGATGGAAGACAAGCATCAAGACTCTGCTCTGTCCTGGCACCCAGGTGGTGGAACGGACTTCCACTGGCTGTCTGAACAGCTGATTCTCTCACAGTCTTCAAACGCAAACTGAAAGCACTTAAGCGAGCATTAATATAAGTACTTGAAAATGAAATTTACTGTATTGCACTTATGCTGTGTTTAACTCTGTACCTTTCTTTCTAGGTATCAGCAATGGCTTTTGTGTCTGGCAGTATGTGAGCTCAAGGGTAGTTTGGAACCTATTTGTACTGGTGGGGAAACATTCTCTGAGTGGACAGCAAAGCACTTTTGTGAGTCAGATAAGAGCATCTGCTAAATGCAAATGTAAATGTATGATCATCTGGATGACCGTTAAACAAGAACTCAGGATTAAAAAAGCAAAAATGTGAACTAAACCCAGCACACTGAGCTGAGATACTGTGGTTATAATGACCCCTGAACCACACTTTCAGCAATTTCATCAGTGTTTCAAGGGATTTTTTTTTTTTTACCAAAGCTGTGCAATAGTCTTTTAGCTTCATGTGATTACACAACAAATCTGTAGCAGCTTGACAGATTTTGGCCTCATGTGTCTGAACTTTAGCACCCAATCAGCAATATTAGCTCACCTCCCAGAGGCCCAGGAGTCGAGTAGAGGAGATGTCTTCAGGATTGAGTTTGAGCCCAGTCTCCTCCCTCAGCTCCCTCAGGCCTGCGTCCAGCAGCTAACACAGCAGGAGCAAAGAAAATGAGGCCATTGCTAAGTGAGTGAAGATTCCCATTAAAATAAAGGCTGTTCAAAGAAATTTGTGACAATGTGCAACAAAAGGTTTCTGCATGTATAGGTGTAGGTAGATAAAACCATACCTTTTCATCCATTTCCACATGACCACCTGCAGAAAATGAGAACCACCATTAGTTTGTGCTACGTGTTAGCACTACTCAATCTTGACCCATTTATCTTTATTAGCTGAAACTCAGTTAAAAGCTACAGAGGTTCATATGGATCTTAAAAGAATTAGTCATGATCTAGGGCCCACTCTATTGACAATGTAATTGAACTCCTTATGACATGATCAGCAATAATGACCATATAATTGAAATAGGATCAGCAGTGAATTTTTAGTCCACAGTTTTCCCCATACAGGATAGGTTTATGTCATAGTTTGAGCCATATGGCTTTAATCTTTAGTTCATAGTTACTAAAGAAGACATGATACCAATATTGTAACCTTAATAAAACTTAAACATTACTGATACACTATAGGGCCAAATGTATGTGGAAACCTGACTATCACATCTGTATGAGCTTGCTGGACATCCCATTCCAAAATCATGGACATTAGTATGCAGCTATAAAAGCCTCCACTCTTCGGGGCAGGCTTCCCACAAGATTTTGGAATGTGTCTGTAGGCATTTGTGCCCATTCAGTCAAGAGAGCACTTGTGAGGTCAGGCACTGATGCAGAATGAGAAGGCCTGGCTTGCAATCAACGTTCCAATTAATCCCAAAGGTGTCTGAGGTCAGGGCTCTGGAAATTCCTCCATACCAAACTCGTCAAACCATGTAGTTGTGAAACTGCTGCTACAAAGTTTGCTGTAGCATTAACATTACCCTTCACTGGAACTTAAGGGCCACACCCAAACCCTGAAAAACCAGCCGCAGACCATTATCCCTCCTCCACTGAACTTCACTGTTGGCACTAAGCATTCCGGAAAGTAGCATTCCCCTGGCATCCGTCAAGTCCAGATTTGTCCATCAGACTGCTAGATAGTGAAGTGCGATTCAAAATGTTTCCACTGCTCCAGAGTCCAGTAGTCAGCATGTTTTACACTACTCCAGCTGGCGCATGGCAATGCGCATAGTAATCTTAGGCTCAAAGGCTTGTGTGCAGCTGCTCGGCCATGTAAAACCATTTCAGTAAGTTCCCGACACACTGTTTTTGTGCTGATGTTGCCTCCAAAGGCAGTTTGGAACTCTGTAGTGAGTCATGCAACACTGGATAGGTGATTTTTATGCCTTTTGTGCTTCAGCAGTCAGCAGCCCTGCTCTGTGAGTTTGTATGTTCTATCACTACTTGTCTAGATGTTTCTATTTTACAATAATAGTACTTACAGTCGACCAGGGCAGATCTAGCAAGGCAGAAATTTGACAAACTGAAGGCATCCTATGACAATGCCATGTTTAAAGTCACTGAGCTCTTCAATACGACCTATTCTTCAGCCAATATTTTTCTATGGAGATTGCAAGGCCATGTGCTTAATTTTACACAGCTTTTAGCAACGAGTGTGGCTGAAGCACCTGAACTCGAAATTAGGACGTGTGTACACATATTTTTGGCCATATAGTGCAAGATCCTGTATTCTTAGTTAAAAAAAAACTACTAAGCTTTAAAATGAACTAGTTTTAATTGAAGCACATCACAAGATGAGCATCTAAAATTAAGTCATGATGCTCAAACTGATCTACATCCTCACAGGACGAAATTTGCAGCTAACAACATCACACAGCATGAATGTGTGCTTTTTCAAGACATTTTAGGACTGGATCGGATTCATTCTTTTGTTTCTCTCCGGTATCCTAACCTGCATTTTCTGCTGCTATGAATAAAATATCAATCCATGATTGCCGCCATCTCTATAGTTTATCCCATACGACTTATAAATTCTGATCTTGAACAAAATGAGCCCGTTATTCGAGGCTCCTCCTTAAAGCCACCGTTAAAAGATGAGCATGGGTTTCCGGCTGCTACATCAGAAGACGGAAGACACTTTCTGCAGCACCACACTCACCAGGCGGGACCCAGACATTGGGGAAAATCCTGAGAGTTGCAGCCCGCCTGGTCAGCAACAGCCTCTGATTGGCCGTCTCCAGCAGGACGGCCACGCCCACATCCACCCCACGGTTCAGTGTATCTGGAGGTAGGGAGGCTGCCTCTGAGTGAGAGAGGAATTTGATTGGGCAGAACGGCGCCCTCTACAGGCAGAAAGTAAGTTTAACCCACAAACAACACACAAGATCTACATCAGGATTCCTCAGTTCGTTTTCTCTGCACGTTTTAGAGTTTCCTCTGCTCCCAGCTAGCCTAATTCACTTCATCTGCTAATTAACAAGCCTTTCCAGAGTTTAGGTATTAGAGCAGGGAAAGCACTAAAACCAAGAACCGCTGCTTTACATGATTACACTGCAATATCCGACAAATGGAAACCACAAACATCTTAATAGATTCACAGTTTAATGTTAAGGAAGGTTTGCTTATACAGTGATGCTGGTCATACTGATGTGTGTTGAAATCTAACCTTCAGGGGAACGCCCCCTTCCTGACTCCCCTCACAAAGAACAAATCGATTATTCTCGAGGGAGCAATTCACAGTGGCTTGGTCGTCAACACTTCCTGTAAAGTGCCCAGTAATGCTCTAGAAACAAACGGAAAAAAAATCGCAGTGATCATAAAATTACAGTTAAAAACACAAACAAACAAACACACACCCTCCCCATCATGTCTGACACACTGGCGGCAGCTCTTACTCTTACACAACCAACCTGAACAAACCGGGCACACTGCGGGGCTGCGTTATCCTTCGACAAGTGAACAAGGATTTTTCGTACCTTCTCCATTGTTAACAATTATTCAAAAACATTTACCACAAGCTTATGTAGCCGGAAAATAGCGAGCGAGCTATCTCTGTGGCCAAAAAACGCAACGTTAGGCAGATAATTGGAAAAAAAGACAGCAAACCGAAGGAACAGACTTATCTTATCCCCTATAAAACACAGGCATTATATTAGAAAATCTTTACAAAATGAACTGACACTCCTGCTGTAGAAACTTCTCCAACTCAAACCCAAATCCAGCCCTCAGCAGAGACGCTCTCCTAAAAATGGCTGCTGTTATTTCATAATAAAAGTCGCAGGTCAGACAAATAAAAAACTACCTATCTACAGCAATGTGGATTGCATATATATCTGAAGATAGATTTAAAAAAAAAAATTATACCTATACTTGGAAACATTTTCATTTCTAGACAGATATATATATATATATATATATATATATATATATATATATATATATATATATATATATATATAGAGAGAGAGAGAGAGAGAGAGAGAGAGAGAGAGAGATAGATAGATAGATAGATAGATAGATAGATAGATAGATGAATAGGTTGTTTATTGTACCTCAGCCTATAATATTTTCCATTAATTATTCGGTTAAATGAATATAAGGTAATTCCAGATTATTCTGTCGCAGATGCATCTGGTCAAGTTTGTATAGACAGACAATGTTACAGCTTACATGACTGTGTAGCTGTAGCGTTTGTTTATACAGTAGGCCTAAATGATTTTTTAAATTTTTACATGATTTGACAGCCTTAACTACAATGTTTTATCTACTGTTATGCCAATTGACTGTTGCTAGACATCAAAGCACACATTTGCACAGTTAGCTAGCTAATAGTGACTGTAGATTAATACTGCTAATGAACTCCACCAATTAGCTCATATTGATAATTGATAATTGAAATAAATTTGATGACAAAATAAAAAACAAGGAATACTAAAAACAGCCAAGTAAATGAATTGGCATTTAAGCAATTAAGACAGAAACAGATAGGCTACTAGTTTTAATCACACTTTCATGTTATTAATCATGAGAACTCCATATATTACCACAGCAGATACCGCAGCATCCAGGCTAGAACAACCCGGCTAATGAACACTTTCTACCCACAGTCTCCTGAACAAGCTGTGAAGCTGTGAGTCCTTCCCTATTACCATTTCACTTTGTTTTTTATATATATATATATATATATATATATATATATATATATATATATATGCATAGAGATAAATATGTATAATTCTTCTCAGATTATCCTGTTCAGTATACTTATACACAGCAGAGATTTTTCTTACATAGGTCTATTTATTATATTTCAGTTATTTAGTATTTTCTTTTTGTTTTTTAATTTGTTTTGTTTGCACTGTTTTTAGTAAGTATATAATGCTGCCCTGCTATAGAGTGATTACCTGGGCCTCACCACAAGCATTTCGATGCATGAATGTCCTGACATGTGCAAATGACAAATAAACTTAAAACCTCCTTTAGATTTTCACTTACTTTTCTTGCTTTCTTTTTCATTTCTTAAATTAGAAAAACAAGTAAAAATCATTATTTTTTGTCTAGTAAATTGTATTTATTTTAAGTATCAATCATCCATAAACACACATGAAACTGTCTACATTTCACATCACTACATATAAAGAGGTCATATAATACAGGCACAATGTAAATCTCACATGCTGTCATAAAGGCAATGATATACTGACACAAACAGTATTGTGAACTGACAACACATGCTTCCACAGGAGGATTTACTACACCAGTTGAGCCCTTGAATGAGGGTTCAACCTCTGACTTGTTTTTAGAGTGTCCATAATTTTGGTCACAAGTGGTGGCACTTACAAAGTTGGCAGTCATCATAGCTTTCCTGAAGTATCAGTAAAGATAAAACAAGATGACAAAAAAAGCCAAGCAATGCCAGTCATTTATCGGTGTTTACACTTAGATGATTCTGACATTGTTCCTCCCCATTAGAAACACACTCAGTTTCAAATGTGTCTTCTAGAGTATACTGGGTAACATTTATCAAGCTTTCATTCTTTGGCAAAATCTTTATACGGTTATACTTCAGTGCAAAAAAGCAAATGCATATTTTTTGTGTATTATTTATTTCTTACAAATATGCTGATGGTGATTTAACATTTATTAATGTGTAATTTTCATTGATTTATTGAGTTGACCAGATTCCTTTCAGGGCCCAATTCTTCTTTTCTAAGGGAAAGCTTGATAACTGTTGTTTAGTATTTTTACGTTTCACTAGTTTTATGATTTGCCTGATGTTTCATGCAAATGATGTCCTTCAGTACTACAGGCCAGGCTTGCATTAATCAAGCACCAAATGAGCACCAGTTTACCATATCATACCTCTTCATCCATAGTTCTTCTGAGTTTCTCAAGCAGTTGTAGTCCAGCTTAAACATTTTGAGAGATTCTGAGTGTAATCCATCTTAACACGGTTTAGCATTTCAGAAAAGATCCCTTACAGTTCCAATTATACAGCATTCGTATCTATTGCTAACTGTTGCTACTACAGATGTATTGTCATGCAAAGAAACTACTGTCTATTATTGCAAAAGGAATGAGGACCTAGAAGCTATTTAGCTAAGCTATTAAAATCGTACACATTTTCAGAGCCTGAAGGTGAGAAAACAGCCAAACAGTAGACAGCTAGCCATTTTACGTACATAGAAATTGTTTACAGTCACAAAGTTTTTTTGTTTTTTTTTACCTGTGAGTGTTTTGTAGGTGAAACAGTCCTCTTTTTGATTGGTGTGAAACTGTGCTAAAATTGTTGATCATATATTGTGAGTGTCTTTTGTAGTGTCAGTTCCCAGCATGCATTGCAGACTTGGCCTGTCCTCCAGAACCGTACTGTGGGTTTGCTGTGGAGTTTGGAATGGGTGTCAGCTCCTGTGGTCAAACAGGGAAGAGAAATGGAAAACATGAAAAACACTAAATGACTCAGAACAAGTTCATTTTACACCAACATTTAACTGCTGTAACACACTTACTACACGGTTAACCTCCATAACCCAAATAGCTGGGTACAGTAACACTGTATATTAGTGAAAAACAGAACAGTGCAAAACATGATGCAACAGCCATTAAGTACAAATTCTTAATATGAGTGGTGTTTTAAAAGAACATTACACATAAACCTTGGCAACTAAATATAATATCAATGTTTTAATATTTAGTGTGTCCACTGTCCTTTATTATGGCTTTCATTGCTTCCTGGGAGACTTGCTTTCAGGTTTTTTCAAATTTGCAATGACATTTTTCCACACCTCCAAAGTTCAGCCTTAGAAGTTGGTTGCATTTTCTGCTTCTCATGAACCAAGTAATCCTATCACATTCAGTGATGCTGAGGTCTGGTGGTCAGGCAATTGTTCTGAGAACACCAGCAGCTTCTTTGTTTTATTCTCAAATTTTCTTCTTTTTTGTCTGTTTTCTTTTTTCAGTAACAGATTCTTGACAGGTACACATCATGTGGATGTAGATTTTTTCAGATCTGAAGCAAGAGTGGAGCTTGATTTTCTCCTCTCTCTCAAAGATGAAAGTTTTAAGTACTGTTTATCTGATGGGGACAGTTTGGTGGTCTACCAGGTCTTACATGGTTGTCAGGAGTCTCATTTTCTCTGTCTTTTTCATCTTTCAATTATTTGTGAACTCTTTGTGAATTTTTCCACTTTGACTTTCCCCCTTTCTTGTGGCACATGATTATCTTATATCTAATGTACTAATCTAATGTACTAGTGTAAGAAATATCTCCTGAAAAATGAATACATTGAATCTAATGATCATTCTGAAGTAGAAATTAATTAAATGTAGTACTGTTTCCTCAGCATGCACAGGTTTAGAAAACCCTGAATAAAATAAAGCTTCACAGCAGTAACCTGTGAGGGTAGTTTGTGCTTACCTTAATAGCACTAACAGACAGGGCGTACAGTCCAAAAAGTGCCACCACCAAACCAATTATACATGCCAGCACCAAAGAACCAATCAGAGTGCCTAAAATGCCGTTCACCAAAAACTGCAAATAAATTTAGAAAGAAAATAACACAAAAATAAATGCAACATTCGGAGTGATGATCACATTATGCCTCAGGTTCCCAGACATGGATTAATCCTAGTCTTGGACTAAATGTCAGTACCAGTGGTGATTCATTTTGGAAGTTTTAGCTTTTCAAACTAGGTTTAGGCTTAATCTAGGTCTGGTAAACTGATCCTACATGTAAACTAAGTATGTGTTCACTTCTAAGCAAGTAAGAGTTACTATATAAAATGCAATAATATGTGAGATGCTCAAAGGGAAAATGTTATATGTAATCTATGCTGCAATATTAGAGAGGCTTTCCATGCCAAGTAAGTGTATAAGCCAGTTAAAAAATGCATGTGAAAAACTTACTGGACATCAAAGCACAGAATATAACTCACCTCCTTATGACCTCTTTTCTCCCCTTCGCCACAGCAAGCCCAAACTGAATGGAGTGGATCACAACACCACTGAAAGGAGCAGGGCAGAGCCTGGAGTCACACTTTTCTCACAGGTGATACATACCTTATTACAAAGTGTACCCCTTATTCTTTTATTTGAGTGGGAGTTCATTTTTAATGTTGTGAGCTACCTACTAGATACTGTAAACTATTATATTTAGTTAGCTAATCAGAGAATAACTTTGCAGTATATCATTGTATCAGACATTAAAAATTAAATTTCACAATTTATCAAGGATTATTGAGGAATTACTCAGTATAAAAGTATAACATTTTCCCATTTGAGCATCATTATGAGAAGCTTTTTAACTGCATTTCAACTCACCATGCACAAATGTATTTCATCACAACACAATCAAGGCCTTCTGTTCAAGGCCAGGGCTCAGAATACACATTCATGTTTTTTTCCCCAATTCTAGTTTTACATCTCTCAGCCAAATGATCATAGATTACTGGCAGTGTGTTACATCTGCATTTTTCAGTCTGTCTGTATGATGCAGGCTTATTAAATCAGAGCAGAACTGTGTGATATAGTAAGTTTTTACCTCAGTGTCTCTGTAATAGTAGGACTCCCCACGGAAGGGTACATGTCTGGCCATGAGACCAAATCCAACAATGTCAAATGCCGCAGTCAGCAACTGCAAAACAATGTTGGTACCCACCTGTGAAAGCAAAAAATAAATCTTTAGTGAACATACAAACATTACCAAGCAGCATCCAGGTTACAAACACTTGCTAAAATGTATGGGTGTACCCTGCAGTTTCGATTACTCAGAAATCTACCATGTGGCCCAAGTCTAAAAGGAGTACAGCTGGACACGTTCCCAGAGGATAGAGGCTGGGCACTCTTGCTGAGTGACAAAGCGAGGGCTACTCATTACAGCAGGTGGAATATCCACTGGGAACGATCTCAAGGGGTCAAATTACAAAAAACATAACAAATATGAAATAAATACAGCATCCCTGACGTTACTACAGCTATAAATGCTGTAAAGAAGGAGGCTTTGTCATTTGATGTGACTGCAGGTACAATAAATCAGCCTTTGAGTTGAGTAGTTAGCATTTTCATCCAAGCGCATCAAGAGAGTGGTGCAGCAGCAGATTCAAGAGGATAAAATCGACTCGAGCTGTCCACTGTTTGAAACTGCATTTAAGGCACAGTGTCGACAAGCATGAGGAGCTGAAAAAAACAAGCACAGCATCTTTTAATAAACTGGACAATAGCTAGACAGTGGCATTTACCTATTTGCCTTTTCTTTGGCTCACAAAAAAAGAAAAAAAGGCAGAGCTGTTGAAGCTGCTGAAGTTGCAAGATTTCAGCTTTCAATCAGCACTGGGTGTTCTCCAAGGTTCAGTATTGCACTTGTCCAGCAGTTTCTAACATAAAGATGCTTAATAGAATTTATAGTACACATTTATTGTAAAAATGTAATAAGCATATGTTTGTGAGTTGCTCAGCATTTTATATACTTGTTCAGTCATTTAAAACATCCATTTTATTGTTGTGATCTGAGGACAAATTAAACACAGCACACAAATGGATTTTATGTTAGAGAATATAATATGTCATACCAGACATTTAGTAGGCCTTCTACCAGCGTGCACCAAGACAATTCCAGTGATAATGAGCTGTAGAAAGCAGCAACATAAAACATTATATTACTCCAGCAGTTTTGAAAGATTACATCACTAATATATACCACAGCCAAACAACCTGCTAATGGCCCTATATATTTCTCTGCACTGAGAACTGTAATTTAACTAGTGCAAAAGCCCAGCCAAAATTCAATCCTATGGCTAAGACCTTTCCTCTCATTACAGATCTCATTATTAAATATTAATAATTACTGATTATTAAAGAATTAATTTATATAGATATCACTGTCACTGGTGCTGTACCCTCAAAGATGCATCTCAGCACCTTTAGTCAGGGAACATATTTGTACCATAATCCAGTGAAATTATATTTTCTAAGTTGTACTGACTCCACACACCCCGTCTCGACTCCAGGCTTTTTATTTTATTATTCTGTTTCACAACATTAGATCACAAAATCACTGTTGTAGCTTGAAGACACATTTACATTGCTTGTACTATAATGAGCGAAAAATGTACCTGCACAGTACCTTTATTTCTGACAATGTACATCATAAAATCGAATTTATTTGTTTAGTCATTTATGATAGTCATAAGATCGTAACTTATCTTACCTGAGACAGCTAAACTCTTTAGCTAAAGTTGATTTAAGCCAATGCTATGTCTGCTTGAGTTAATTTGATTTCACTTGCATGATTGAAAGTTATGTTATTGTGCAATGTTTTCAAACAAGTTCATTGTGCTCTGTAATAGGATCCCGGCCTCACCTGTGCACCATTGAGAATGAGGATGATGATCTCCCTCTGGATGTGGTAGTGCAGTTTATAGACGATCGTGCTCAGAATGACTGCCAGTGTGCCAATAATGATCTCCACTGCCTAAAGACAAGATAAACAGTTAAAAGAATACTCTGGTGTTTTTCAAATTAGTGTAATGAAACATGTCAAAACGGCTCTAATTGGCCACATGCTACAGATAGAGATGAGGTTGATAAACAGCAAAAGTCCTTTATCAGTGAGATAAAACAATAACAAAGGCACTCGTTTGAGCTACAGCATTAATGGGTCTGTATGTTATCACACTATAACCTGAGCTTGATGCATATAGCCTGACTGTTAAAGTTGCTAAGGATTCCAGAACTGGGCCATTCAGATTTGAAAAAAATTGTAAAAGGGTCATTTTTGGCCTCCTAAACTGGCATGAAAGTTTCATTTCAAAACAGAAAAACAGACACAGCTACCAAGTGTCTCAGAGTCAATGGGAATAAAGTAATTTTTTCTGAATTATGGAACTGAATGCAAATAAAAGGCAATTCGTAATTTTTACCCCTGAAGGGTGATTAAATACAAGATCCTCTTTTAAGTTAATTGAAAATGTGCTGTATTGTGGGCAGTGTCAGAGTACTGTATGTTATTGCTGCAGGTTGTTTACTATCCCCCATTCTCTCGTCTCAAATGTGCTTTAAAAAGGTGGAAAATGTGTAAGACTGATGGCGCTGCTCCAAAGCTCTGCTCCATCTCTCAGCCTGCTTGTTTGTTTATGTGTATGGGTGTGTGCTTGCGTGATTCAGATATGGGCGTTTTCTTCGGACGAGAGCCTGATATCATTTAAAAAAGGCACTAACATGTGCTTCGTTTTGAGCAATGTGAAGTGTTTTGGTGCGAAAAAAACACACGTTAATATCCCATACACCCAATCATCTGCAGAAATAAATAAATAATTAAATCTGCCTGAATAACATTCCCACGAGGTCACTGACTGCCCTGCTGTCATAAGGTGGAGTTCTATGGCTAAATGAGTGTGCGGGCTATAGGCTGCTTTGCTGTAGTGTTGTGTAGCACGAGCACAGCTGGAAGGCTGGAGAGAAACTCACCCCGAGGGTTTTGGGCTCGGCGCTTTTGAACGCTTTCATCTGAGACGGGTACATCGCGCTGGCTCCAGACGGGGCTGAGTGCCAAAACACTGTCACCAAATACAGCAAGTTAACGATCACAGCATCAAAACACACGCGCAGCCTCCTCTGGCATCATCTACTGCACGCGCACACTCCCACAGCCCTCGCCCTTAAAAGTGAGACATCCCCTGCGGCTGTAAATGTGAGCGTTTGGGCGCGTGCGTGTGTTTCTATAAGCGCTTCTTACCTTGTTCTGTAGAGCAGTTGTGCAGAGCTGTCCTCGTGCAAATCGAGGAGGGGTCGCCGCAGCCCGAGCGCGAGCACGATGCAGCACTGTTGATGTAATCATGGGAGGCGGGAAAAAAAACTCAGTCTCTCTCTCTCTCTCACTCGGCAGGACACTCATGCAGCACTTCGCATGATGGAGGAGCCCCGGCGTGGTGTATTTTTAACCCACTTATGAATTATGTAAAGGATTTTTGGGGCTAGTCTGGCAGACTGCAGGACATACTGAATATGCACTGCTGCACGTTTCCTATGAGCACCGCATGTCAGCGTTTGTTGTGAGATCAAGGGTGTTAAGAGGGAGTGTGTCCCCCTTTGCTGCAGTAACCCCTCTGCTCTGCTGGGAAGGCTTTTGATGTTGAAACATTGCTGTGAGGATTTGATTGCATTCAGCCTCAAGACGAGTAGTGAGGTTGTTGGATGTTGGATGATTAGTTCTGGATCACTTCAGCTCATCCAAAGGTACTGGACGGAGGTCCATCTCTACAGAAAACCCTACAGCCCAGTGCTTGGAGATCTTCATAACCCTCTAACTGACGCTTGGCATTGGGCATGGTGATCTTAGGCTCATGTGCGGCTGCTCCAAAGCGTCCCATGCTATTGCCAATGCTTGAAGCTGCGAATGCGCAGTTGAACACCTGTGTCAGCAGTGGGCGCACCTTAAAAGGAAGTTACATCAACTTTTTACAATTTCTACATAATTAAATCATTAAGAAGTAAACAAAGTCATTCAGAGCGGTTTGATGCGAAATGCTTTATTCTGGAGAAACTTACAGAGTCACAATTGTTCAAAGTGGTCAGGGATAGGAACCAAACGTCTAAAGCACATAACGCCTGTGAGATAAATATGCTGCCTGATTTATGAATTTGACATATTTTTTTTAATGACAGTTGAGAAAGTTTCAGCCTAAAACAGATTTTTAAATAAATTCATTAAGAGGTACATGTGGATCGTTGTACGAAAAAAAACAGTACCATAAGAAAACTCCTTTTTTCAGATTTACCCTTACCGCAACTATTTTATCGTTCATAACATTACATATAAAAACTAAGAAGACGTGTGTATGTCAACTTTTCATTTGTGTAGTAAATAAAACTGCTACTTTCCACTCTCAATTACTTTATTCACATTTTAACAATCAAGATATGCAGAAATTTAGAGTGTCGAAAATTATTAATCATTGTGGTTGTCTGGATGCTTCTGAAGAGTGTAATTTTTACAACAGCTTGTTAAATTGTGTGTAGGTATAGAGGTGTACAGTCAACTCCAGAATAGTAATAATAGCATCACACTAATTATACAATACATATAATGATTCAAATGTTCCTCAAAAACAGAGAAATTGCTAACCATTTATCTAGAAATGATTCCTGCAAGAGTGTGTATTCTTATTAAGAATAGTGTATTCTTTCAAAAAACATACAGGACATTCACATCCTATTTCCTCCATTATGTTCCAGGGCATAGAGCAGATTATTCTATAACCCTATTTATTGGGATGCTGTGCAACATTTAAATAGAAACAGAAGGCAATGATGCGCAAATCATTTAAACTGCATTTAATTAAAGATAGTAAAAAGACAACATATGAAATGTTGAAAATGAGAAAGTTTATTATTATTTTTTTAATATATGCCAATTTTGAATTCAGTGCCAGCAACATGCTTCAAAAAAGTTGGGATTGGGCAACAAAAGACTGGTGAAATTGTAGAATACAAAAAAAAACCTGGTGCAACATCTCACAAATGACTAGGTTAATTGGCAACAGGTCAGTAACATGATTTGGAATAAGAAGAGTCTTTCAGAAGTAAAGATTGGGAGGGGTTCACCACTCTGTGAAAGACTGCACGGGCAAATAATGTTTCAACGTGAATAGCAAAGAACTTCATCATCTAAGACACATAATGTCATTAAAAGATTCAGAGAATCTGGAGAAATCTCTACGCAAGGGACAAGGCCAAACATACCATGCATACAAAGTTTTGGAGCAACATATGTTGCCATCCAAACAACATTTTTTTCAGGGAATGCCTTGCTTATGTTAGCAAGACAATGTCAAACCACATTCTGCATATATTACAGCTGTATGGCTCCATATTAAAAGAGTCCGGGTGCTAAACCGGCCTGTTTTCAGTCACCAACTGAAAACTTTTGGCGCATTATGAAATGAAAAATATGACAAAGGAGAGCCTGTTGAGCAGCTGAAATCCTATATCAAACAAGAATGGGAAAATATGTCACTTTCAAAACTACAGCAGTGTTTCCTCAGTTCCCAAACACTTACAGTGTGTTGTTAAAAGAAGAGGTGATGCAACACAGTGGTAAACATGCCCCCATCCCAACTTTTTAAAAATGTGTTGCTGGCTTTAAATTCAAAAAGGGCATATCTTGTTCAAAAAACAATAAAATTTCTCAGTTTCAACATTTGATATGATGTCTTTGTACTATTTACAATTAAATATAGGGTTTAAACAATTTGCACATCATTGCGTTCTGTTTCTATTTACATTTTGCACAGCGTCCCAACTTTTTTGGAAATGGGGTTGCGCATAGAGGGGGTGATGTTGACAGGAAGTTATGCCAGAGAGAACTTTTTTGGTTTCGCACCTTAGAAACACTGCAACCATTATATCTTAATGAGAATTTGATGAGCATTTTTATTTGAATAAACTACAATGGATTCTTTAAGCTTTATATTTTACGATGGCTGGTGCCTGATGTTTACATAGCCTATATCTCTATTGTTGTGCATTCTCTTTGTGTATTTTGGATATCGGAGGTGCTTAATGTTTCTCAAAGGTCCCTGTGGACACTCTGTCTTTAACTTGTAGTGCATTGATTAAGGGCTAATTCCCATGATGTTGAGCCACCCATTTGAAACTGATGGACCTGTTCATGCCATGAAGAAGGTCTCTGACTGAAAACCTTCATATTTAAAAGAATTTTGCACAGATTTGAGTGTGCGGATGCTTTTTCACATTTAGATTTTAAAAAAAGAATATTTTCTTTTTCCCCCACAAAAGAATATTTTAAATGAAACCAAAGAAATTTGTATCTTTGGGGAAAAAATCTATTCTTTTTATTGCTCCTAGTCTCCAGGAACTCCATTGTTATCTATGACCATTTCCTGTTTCCCTGTGGTATAAATACAAGGTAATATGCATGCAAAATCCCTTTTTCATCCATCAACATGGGTAAAACCAAAGAGCTGTCAACTCAAATGAGTCTGACAGCTGTGGACCTGAACAGTTTAGGAAATGGTTAAAAAATCAGTATTTGAAGCACAATCATTAAGCACAATCAGAGTGATAAAAAGTTTGAAAAGCATGGAACAGTTGAAAATTTGATAGAAAGAGGATGCACACTACCCCCAATGACAGTGAGGAGGAGGATAAGAGAGGCAAAGAAAAAACCCTACGGATCACAACGTTCCAAACTGCACAGTTTAGTTCAATTTTAGTTAAATTTTCAGTTCAATTTGAGGGTTTTCAAATTTCACAATCCATAATCCAGAACAGACACCACCTTAATGACTAGAAACTTTCTGAAAGAGTTCTCTGAAATGCAGTGCCTTTGCAAAATGTGAACCACAAATGGAATTGTGTAATGTGGTCAGATGAGACAAAAATGGAACTTTTTGGTCACACACACCATGATCGCGTTTGGCAAAAAAAGAGACTGCATACAATGAAAAGCAGCTGATACTCACTGTTAAGTATGGTGTAGGATCATTGGTGCTTTGGGGCTGTTTTGCTGCTAAGGTTCCTGGGGCTCTTGTTAAAATCAATGGCATAATGAATTCCATTAAATGTCAGGAGATCTTAGCCCAAAATGTGTCTGCCTCTGCCAGAAGGCTAAAACTGTGAGTGGACCCTTCAGCAAGATAATGACCCCAAATGCACAGCAAAGTCCACACAGAAATGGTTGCTGGAACACAAAACCAAATTTTGCAATGGCCTTCTAGATCTAAACCAAATAAAAACCTAATGTGTGTATTGAAGAGGGCATAAAAGCAAAGACCCAAGAATATCAAGGAACTGGAAATGTTTTGCATATAAGAGTGGCCCATGATCCCTCAGCAAGTGTTCTCCAACCTTGTTAAGCATCACAGAAAGAGGCTGGGCACTGTTATTCTTGCCAGGGGAGGCTTTTCACGAAATATTAAAAACGGGGTTGGCAATATTTTTGAAATCTAAGGAAAACTTTTTTCTTCCAAAAATACAATGTTAAAATAAACATATGCAGCTTACCCATTTGTTTAAGCCCCAAATATCTCTCATTGCATGTATGGTTTATTTATTATATATTTAAGCTCATTTTCATGAAGGATGTCAATAATTCTTAAGACCGTATGTACTGTAAAAAAAAGCCTACACTGTGTCTCAGAGTGTGTTAAATGCACCTTTGCTGGCTGAACAAAGACACAATGAACAAAAGTATGACCTTACTCTGCTATACTGGCTGAGGAGACCAAATTAATATATTTTACGTCTCAGACTCACTGAGAATTTTTATCAATGAGTCGAATGTTTGCACAATGAACTGAGGCGTACACATGAAATGCACTTCGGATTTTATTTACAGTGAACACAAGCTACACAAGAAACAATAAAGATCTCCACACTACACAAGGCCACTGTGAAAAGCTGTTTTTGGGTAAGTGGGTAAGTTGGGTAAGTGAAATTAAACTGCTGAAGACTTACTATACTGTACATACTTAAAAGTTACTGTGGCAAAAAAGAATGAGTAAAATAAGAGAAGCTATTAAATCAGTTCAGATGCTATAACGCTAGTGAAGTAGTCTAGTTACTTTGCTTGGTATATAGTGGGTGAAAAAAAAATAAAAGTGCCCATTTAGGGTTCATAGGCTGGAGGGTGATCACAAGCACCCACATCCTCTCCAGTCAAAAGAGCCTCATGGCTGCTGTGGCACAGCTGGTCAGATGTCTGCACCTTCACCACCTGCAATCCACCACAACAGATGCATAAATTACAGCAGTCACATGCATTGTTGTCAACATTATATTTGTACAAGCCATAAAACAAGGTTTATATACGATCATACAGTGTGTGAACCATTTCTACTGACACCCATTCACATTACAAAATGAAGCAAACAGTGCTCTGTGATACAGGACAAAATGGTAAAATGCAGTGTTGGGTGGTTCCAATTTAAAGACTCCTAGCACTCAGAAATTGTTTTTTAATGGATAACTTCTCTTGGATGGCTTATGACTGTATTAGATGACATTCATGATAAATGTATTATTATAGTGTAGAGTTCACATTTTTACACTTGAAACAGACTTTCTCAGTAGATTCCAAAAAAAAATTGTGTGGTAGTGCAGTTTAGTTTTGTATATCACGAGTGAGCTTGAACATCATGGTCCAATACACTAAAGCATGCTAGCAGGAAGATTACAATGAGGTGTTAGAAAACTTGCATACAGCCATAGATCATGCTTGTAACATAGCTTACTTGTTCTTTGTTCCAACATTGTTTAGACTGTGCAGTTAGATGTCTGAACAGATAAATGATGTGCGTCAACAGTGTCAAATTTATATTCCACATCTGTCTATTAAACTCTTGCGTGTTGTGTACTGCTGAAAAAAACAGCACATCCCAGCATGAATTACTTGTTGGTCTAAACTGGCTTATGCTGATTTATGCTGATGGTCTAGTGCGGGTCAGGTGCTGGTTGACCAGCATACTAGCATCCAAAACACAACAGATACTGGTTTTGGCAGTGACCAGCAATGGTAAATAAAGAACATGTAATTTGACCATTAGCACCCAAAGTTTTGCACAGGACTGCCAACAGAATGGGTCACTGGAACAGCCGCACATGAACCTAAGCATTTGGCTATGGAGCAGTGGAAACGTGTTCTCTGGAGTCATTGAGCTCTATACAATACTTTAGGGATGAGTTGGAGTATCGTTTATGATACAGAACTAATCATCCAACACCAGTACCTGACCTCACTAATACTTTTGTGGCTGAATGGAATCAAATCCTCACAGCAATGTTCCAACATCTAGAGTAAAGCCATCCCAGTGGAGTAGATGCTGTTACTGCAGCAAACTCTTTATTAATACCCTTGAAGTTGAAGAAACTTTGGATGAGCAAGTGTCTACAAACTTTGGACACAGACTGTATGTACCCAGTATTTTGTGTTCCAAATAAGGTGAAAAGTGAAATAGTAAATTAAATGCATGTTTCTTTGCAAAGAAAAAGCAGAGAGCTGCAATGTTTCTATTCTTGTGGTTATTTAACATTATACAATCACTAACATGAAGAATATTATACTACATAAGTGTTAAAAATATAAAGCAATTATTACTCCAATATGTTTAATGTATTATAAATGCAATACAACATATTTACAAAGATTTATTTTTTCTTTTTTTAAAAAATTCTCTTCGTGCTTCACAAACATGATTGGCTGTTCTTCAAATGTCATGCTTTTATGTGCACATACTATAAGTAGAGCAAAAAATCATGAGTAAATGTCAGGGTTCTGAGTGACGGAAGCAGCGGGCAAAATGATTGGTTAATCCTTTCTTACCATTTTGGTCTCAGAGGCTGGACAGCCGGCTTTGCAGGAAAAGACGACAAGTGTGATACAGACACACACCTCCAACACAGAAAAAACTAACAGCAAACCATTCAGTCCGTCCATTATAGTCTACAGAACACAAACATAAGAAAAGAATGACAAATATGAGTCACGCAATCTACGATAGTTACACATGAAGCAGGGCTGTGCACTATAAATTACCCACTTTGGAAGAAGCCTATCTGCACATCTGGCATTTGAGCACTGTTACAATAAAAGTAACACTGCAGCAATTAGAGGAGGTTTAAAGACAGGTGCTTCCAAGTCTAGACAGACAAACTAAGCTGCTGTGCACAACGCAGGATCATTACTTTTTACAAAAAAACTATCTGTACCCAGAAAACAACATTGCAGACAGCAATGGCATTAGAAGACTCACAGTGAATCGCTGTGCCATATACCAGCAATCCCAGTAGCCATCATATGTACTGCAATCATCCAGATCAGGTCTGATGGCAAGCTCAACGCAGAAGTAGCAGATGCCTGAAATGGACAGCAGCGTGCCAATGATGTTCAGGGCCAAAGTGCTTTTAATCTGAACAGAAAGAAAACAAACAAAATATACTTTACCAAATTACAATATATCATTTTACAGCATTAAACTTAAGGTACTGTGATACAGGAACTTCAAATATGATAAAAAGGTGAAAAAAGGAAAAATTGTAAGAAGAGTAATTTAGGACGAAATCACTGCATAGTAACGTTGATAAAAACCATACGTTTTACGATTTGCTGAGCAAAATTTTACAAAGTTCACGTGAATCACTTACAAGTGGAAGAGAGGTTCCCTTGTGTGCAGCCAGAGTTACAGATCCACAGATGATACACTAGAAAAAATGAGTAAATTGTTTAATACTTCATTACTGTAAGCTTGCTATCTGTGCTCATTAACTTGATATTTCCAGATTAACCGCATGGAACCGGTGGCTTTAAAACAGAAGGTGATGGCATAACAGTAATCATCACTGAATTTAAAGGATAAAAGGAGAAAACAGTGATCATGCTAGTGACTGGGATTTCACTGAGCAGTTAATACAGTACAGTACTTCATCCATGTTTCAGATTTAATTAAAGAGTGATACAGAGGCCCAATCCCATTTCTTATTTTTACCCCTACTCCTTGTTTTTGAGTGTCACGTTGCCCCTTGGAACTGAGTTACAAGGGGTAGTGGTTGAAATCTTCCCCAATGAAATGGGACAACCCTGAAATAAAAAGAACATTAACAAGCTATTAGCAGTGCTCTGTAGGCGACCCTGCCAGTCTGCAGTGACAGCAGAGGAGGGTAAAGTTCAGCAACCTCGCTACTGGTCTTTAGTTAAATTTAGAGCATCATATGCTTTCAAAGAGGGGGGATAAGACAATCATTTATTATCACCTACCCTTCGGTGATATGCAGCTGAAGTCAGCTACTCACCTGCTTCTTGTTAAAATGTTACCATTCCACTTTAAATAGAGCAGCAATTACATTCTGGCGCCTCAGGCATCAGAACTGCTGGACTATTTAAGGTGGAACAGGAAAAACAGCTTCCGAGACATCGGCATACTAGCGATTTTTTATGCTTGTTATGGAGAAAAGGAGCATAATACAATTAAACGCCATTAAACAAAGATAAAAAGATAAAACAATGGTTGCTGTCATTTTTTAATGGAGAAAATAATCACATTCGTGGGTTTCTTTGATCGCTTGTGCAGCCATCTTGTCCTCTGAAAAACCTCTGTTTGGAGGGTAATGTAGCCCTAACACTTCACCCTACTCCTCTATCTCAACAAAAATCTGGACATCCTACTCCTAGGCGTGATCACGCAAAATGGAGAGCTAAAGGTTAAGTGGTAGGGGCAAGGGTGTGAAATGGGATTGAGCCAAACTCTCATCCAAGGTATACTTTTAAGAGTTCCCTATAAGTTTATCTGTGGTGCGGAAGGTGTGAATACTCACCGATATTCCAAGACCCAGTGGGACTTCTCCATGTTGCGTACCTGCGACCAAAGTAGCTATTCCCACAGCAATCATCACAAGCCCAATGAACACCTGCAGAGTCTAACAGAGGACAAAACAAAAATTATTTAAAACCCATTTTTATATAGTATTATATAATTGTAATACAACGCATTATTATATAACAGTTATAATAGCAGTAATAACAATGACTTTATTATTATTGCTGTGTTGTTTTGTTATTGATATTACTATTGTTAGTCTTACAAATAAATTTCCTTTTTTAAAATACTGTGATATAAATTTGAGTTTATATCCTCCACCCCTATGAGCTAACCAGCCAACCATCACTACGCTGGCGTTTAATTTCTTTTCTTTTAATGTAATACCACAGAGTACAGAAGCCCAAGAGACGAAACTCTGGTGCTTTTTTGACAACCGCCGCTAGATGGTGCTGCGGTAGCGCTGCCGACATTTTGGACTGAAAATGCCAAACAGCACAGAACCTACAGACATTCATGTTCTACACAAATTTATTTCTGTAAATGAGACGATGGTCTTGTTCCTAAACTATGATACTAATTCGAGTAGACTAAATGAGGCTATAAAACTTAACCTTACTGGCCAAATTTTATATACACAGATCCAGTGTCATGGCATCGGTTCCTAATTTTAGGCTATTCTGCTGTGACTTGAATTTTTTATGATTCTTTATTACAAATACAACAGAACAAAAAGCTAAAAAGACATCTTTTCTGTTCAATGAAATTATTAAAACACTGCACTGACCAACATAGATCATATGCATGTATGACTTATATACTGGCCAAATTTATTATTATTAACATTTTTAATGTTTTGTTTACTTTTAAACGATTAATCTTTTTCTTATTTTCTTTATGTAATTAAAAAAATTGTTACTTGGTATTTCTGTGTGTATTATCCTTGATTTGAATAGGTTTAGTATAAATTTGCATGTTTAATTCTTCCTATATGTAATTGGAGCTGTACATTTACCCCTAACATGATTGTTTAAAATACATTTAAAATGTAATAATAATAATAATAATACATAAAAATAGAACCCACAGACAATTTGGCAGAGAAGAGAGAAGTGGAATTAAAGAAAACAGTATTAGGTAATAAACTGTAGAAGTTACCAGTGTAACAGTAAAAAGCCTTTCACTGTTTCCCCAAAGACCCTGGCAGGTAATTACTCACAAAAGTGCAGAAATTAATCAAGTCTCAAGTGGGAGCTTTTCAAATCATCAGTAAATTGTATGAGAAGCACTAATATATAAAGTAAGTTATTTTTTGTAGGAGTTTCAAGCATTAAAATGTTTATAAACATTTAATAAAATCTCTGGACTATTAAAAGAAAGTCAACATTCAGTGTCCATCCAAACACCAGCATCAGTTGTAGTTATAATACGCTTATTTGTAATATTTTTCACTGCTGTGCGTGGTGTTGCCATGGAGCGACCAGTTAGCTTTCACTTTTTATGTCAATGTAAGTTCTTTGGTAATACATCATTCTACTTTCCTCAAGTTAAAATGATCTCCCTGTGTGAAAGACGACAATTTTTAATTATTATTTTTAGATATTTAGCGCCATTCTCTGCCAGTCACTAGGGACTCACTCGCGGGCGCCCTCTAGTGTTCTGCGGTCAGAATGGTGCCACTCAGCCACTGATTGGGAAAAATAAAATAGGTGTGTGACTTCAGGACACAATGAACAAATGCAAACATGAGTGAATCTTCAGGGTGAAACTCAAGAAGTGTCTGTCAAACACCTGCCAAAGTTCAATGATCACATTGCCATGGCAATAGAACAAAGTGTCCAGAAGCATGTTTTAGTTCACTTAAAAATCTGTTACATTTTATCGTGTTAAGCTGTGCCCTGCACTCCCCTGCATGGACAAGACAGGGTATGGTTTTAAACCAGGGTCCATTTTGGAGTGCCTTTCTATGGTTCTATCTCCATGAACACATCATTTTACACCATGGCAAGGACACTTACCCCCAGGGCCACGGGCTCCACTTTCAGGAACATCCTGGTCATGTAAGGCAAGCTTGACTTCATCTGGCTCTCTTTGTTCTCACTGGGACATGGAGGCCCAGTGGTGTCCAGAGGGATAATGTGGGTCACCACCCGAACTCCATGAGCAGCGGCAGTCACGGATGTGGCCATTATGGGCTCCGAACCTGTAAAAACTCGACACTCAATCCGCTTCCAGTACTGGCTGTGCACTCACATTTATTTCAGTATTTATTTAAGCTAAAACTGTAAACAGCATTTCTTTATGATTTAGGCTTAGCAAATAATACTCGGGTGAAAATCAGGACCAGTCTTTACGCATGCGCGTTATCACAGGAGGAAAACGTTTGTTCATCTGTGCTACTTCACGCTATTAAACGCTTAAACGGTCAACCTATATGCTTGTCTTATGTCTATGAGAAGCTTCAGTTTTATTCAAAAGCTAATCTCGAGCACAGGTTTAGTTACTCTCATAATAAAGACATTTCAAATGTAGGCCTCTAGACAATATAGATAAAGGCCTGTTGAGCTTTTAACAAACTTACCAGCGCGTTTATGCCTCCAGAAGTGTGTTCACCTCCTACACCTTAACTAAAGTTCAGTTTCGGTTTCATCATATAGGGGAATTACAGGTCGACTGAGCTTCTCTCCTCCCACTGCGGATCATAACAGCTCATTCAGACACACTGGACTGTTTTTTACACGGAAATTACGCTCTAGATTCCAACGCATCGTCTGCTGTCGTTTAAAATGTGTGTCGATATATGTATATATGAACCATGATCTCTTGAAGACACTCATGCTTAACTATATGACCAGTAAAAAAGCTAATTTCTCAATCAAACATTTAAATAATCAAAATTCTTTTATTATTATTATTATTTTTTTTATTTATTTTTTTTACAATAGGGCAAGGAAAATGGCTGATCCAGTAACCCGTCCAGGTTCTTTCTGAAACTCCGTGGGCAGCAGTGGCCATTTTGCAAGATTATGCTTTATCAAAATACAAAATCAAATAAAAAATACTGCGTTATCTGTGCTTAGTTATAGATCTATCATACAGCTATTATGAACCACACTTAAGCGTTTCAATGTGTCTTTATCAAGACCTGAAGACCTGCTTTACGAGTAAAAAGCGCATCTTTGTTGTGTTGAGTTCAGATCTGTAACAGGAACCGTCCACAAAACTTCAGCGCAGGTGTCGCTTCTCCCTCAGAAAGCTGTCATTTTAGCCGCATGGGCGACACAGACGAAGCCTTACAGCTTCTGCCAAACTCACCTGTGCTTTAACGCCTATTGAAGTTCCCGTATTGTTAATCTTAGCCGCGTATAACCGTAGCTAGTGTTTAGTTTCGGTTTAGGTTTTAGTCTTCATCATATACGGGAACTACAGGGCCGTGTCTGAATAGTTGGATAAACCAGCCTTTCCAGCCTGCTTTCACTAGTGCCCGATCTAAAGCCCACTGCCTCACTAAATGGAACGGCTGATTTAACAAGCCGGTGGATCCACATGACTTTACGATCAGGCAAAATCAAGGGCAGGACAACTGAAAGCAGGTTTCACTGAACTACTCGGACGCAGCCCAAATCCTGCTGAAGAATATTAACTCCTTTGGAGCCACTGGACTTGTTTTTCACACAGAATAGATCCCCAGCACCTCACTAACTCTGGTCGTTTAAGATCGTCATGCAAAAGACAGTTTGCATTTATTAAAAAATGATTTATTGATACAGTTTTACATTCAGTTAAGTTAAAGTGAAACACAAGTGCAAAGGAATATTCAAATATTTATATATTATTCTGTACGAAACTGCACGTTTTCACAGTCTTACGTGTGGAAAGCACACTGATATAAAGCTATAAAGGACAAAGGATTGTATGTTCCTTTGAGCAGTAGCTTCATTTCCTTTCTGCAAATATTTCCACTTGTTTGGCTGTCGAACTATGATCTTGAAGACTTTCTTGCTCTACACTCAGAAAGAAATCTCATTTAAACATTTAAAAAAGCATAATTTCTAAACTTCTTTTGCAACAGAGCAAACACATTTCCCAATGTTGCAAATAAACACTGCATCCATGGCCCACTGATAGTTCCATGTACTTTGAAAGACTTCAAAAACTTCTGGGGACCACAAAGCTAGGAAAAGGTTGTTCTTCAAGAGTCCCTGTATGGAGGAAAGTGGTAACTTCTTGGAGGCTTTAGCAGTTCAGACGACAGTAAAAAATACAGATTAATTAATGTGTAGCGGTATCCCAATGTCTTGAGCAGGGTCAGCTTTATTTTGGCTCTTCCTCCACCACAGCAATGCCCCAGCAGCAAGCACACAGAGGCATATGGCCAACAGAGATGAAACAGCAACCATCTCGTTATAGTAGCTCTTCTGATGCATAATTGTTTCTTCATACAAGTCCAGTGTAGGTATCGGCTCCATCTCCTTGCCAGCGTACAGCCCAGAATAAGGAGAGGATGTCTGGGAACGAGAGGAAGCCCGTATCTTCAGAGAGATGGCTACAGTCTGCTGAAAGCCCTGCTCTTCAGTTACACAGAGGTATTCCCGGGCAGTGTTGGGAGTTACAAAGAAGACCAGGCTACCATCTTCATGCTGCAGATAGAGGGACTGGGGTACGGTGCTGTGATTAGAGAACCTCCAGGTCACTTTGGCCTGTCTGGATCTTGAGTGACATGGCAGCATGACCAAGCGGTACAGCTGGACCAACACCACCTCTGGAGGAGGGACATACATAGAGACACATAGTTTAATTTAGAATGAATTGTAGACCACTCAGTTTCATAGTCAAAACACATTTGAAAGCTAAAAGTAAGTCGAGTGTATTTACTTGGAACAAGTGCACCACTACTAATTTTCAAGTTTTTACATTGCTCTCCAGCATTGCCATTCTCTACATCCTGATGTCTTGAGATGTTCCATGCACAGAGAAAGAGAGGGAGAGTTAGGGAACATTGCACACATTTGACTCATTACTTACAACATGCCAAATAAAAGACATTAGTATTGAACAACGATCATTATCTGTGTCACACTAAAGAAACTTCTTTGGTGATTTTCTCACCACAAATGAACTCACAAATCAGGTTTCATATCGGACACTGGGATGCAGGCTTCGCCCTGTGAGTCCCAGCCACAGAATGGATCCTGAGCCAGCACACACTCGGCACAACTCGAGTAGAAGGAGCAGTTAGACACAGGAACCCTGATCACACCTTCAGATGAGCCCACAAATACCACACCCTGTACAGGACACACCAAATTATTTGTTATTGTCAAATGTAAGTAGAGAACCTCTGTTACACCAGCTCTGCATAAGTTCAATCGTAGGCTATCTGTAACGTAAGTTACTAAGTTCAGGTTTACAAAGTTCAGGTTTATGCATTACTAAATCCAAATGAGTTGCACCAGCTTAGTAGCTTAGTAGTTTCTAAATATTTACACCTCCCCCTGAGCAGGTGTAAGTTTTAGGGAAAACCATCAGAAACCACATAGAAAGCACATAAAAGACCAAAAATATAACTTTTTTGGTTAACTAAGATAAAAACTCGCTATATGCTGTGATTTTATTTACGTCTCCAATCATTGCCCTGGCTTAAACTCCAAGTATGAAGCTAAACACCCACAGCTCAGCTCTGTAAGACTCAGCAGCTGCACAAAAGGCTAAACTGATCTGCTGTTGTGTCGGTCAGCCAGAAAACATTGTTTAAAGAGCTGCATATTTGGCTTTCTCAAGGAAATATTAAAGAATAAACAGACAGTGGCTATAGATAATTAGCTTTATTCAGTTTAACCTATACATCGTTCTCTTCTAGGCTGGATATTTTTTCCATGGATAAGTCAGAGCCAACTGCTGCTGAGTTTCCACGGCAGCAGGTTTACTGACTGGTCTGAACATGATATCGTCATGTTAAAGTGACATACGCATTAGTTAGTTGTTACTATTTAAGATTTGTGGTGCGACTGAATTTAGTCATAGGATAGTGCTAACTAAGGACAGAGTAAAGACTTTTCACACAAACTTAAGTATAAACTTACACAAACCTGGTGCAACCCAGTCCAGGTGTGCTGCATCACACACTTAAAAAAAACCCAAGGACCTGTCCATAGTTGTACAGCTCCTAACACACCTGTCCTATGTGATCATTGGCTAAAACAGGGGTGGGGAACAGTGGGCTGGAGTTCAGCCCAATTTGGTGATTTCCCAGCTCTGGCACAGTGGTTCTGTAATACCCTCTGGCCTACACATTTTGGTGTTTCCCCTGCTCCCAACATACCTCATCCAGCCAATCAGCTCATTGACAAGCCCTTCATGACTTGAAGTGGGTGTGTTGGGAGCTGGGAAAACACTAAAATGTGCAGGACAGAGGGTACTCCAGGACCAGGAGTAACACATCACCTAAACCTGACAATTAACTGATGGGTAAAATGAGGTGTGCCTGAGCAGAAAAATCACCAATCACCAAAAAGGAATCTGGTCCTCCAAGTTCCCCACTCCTGAGTTAGTAGAAAGGAATACCCCATATACTACTATACTAAATAGTATGCCAACATATGACACCTACTGGAAGTGCATTCATGAGTGTAGATCATATAGTATAGTAATATGTTTTTGGACATGGCCATTGTACTAAAGGGGTAGGTAATGCAGATATTCCACCCTCCTCTTACCTACACTCTTGAAAAAAGATGGTTCTTCAAAGGTTCTTCTATTGTTATGACCAAAAAAGGTTCTTCTTTTGTTACAATGTTAAGTTTGTAACAAAAGAAGAACGCTTTTTGGTGCTATACAGAACCATTCTCAAAAATGCTCTATACAGAACCATATATAACACATTCTCCATCAATCTGAGTATAGACAGGGGTGATACTGCAGAGGTTGCTGTTATAAAACAATGCTCACATTGGGAGTAGAAACAGAACAGGAAAATTGGCTATATCTCAGACTGAACTGAGGTAAAGACTGCATTGCCAGTTTATCAGGTACATCTATCTAGTAGCATGTTGTGCCACCTTTGACCTTCAGAACAGGGCCAGTTTTGATGGTCCTCTGTCCACTGGAGACACCTTTTCTTATTCTTCACTGACAAAAATGATGCCTAACATGGTGTTTGGTTGTTGTAGCCCATTCAAGAAAAGTGGTGCTTTCTGAGATGAAATTCTACACACCAATGTAGAATTCGGATGGGATTGTTGCCCATCTGTTTTCACGATTATCGCCATTGACTTTTGATCTCTTTGATCCCTACTCACAAGATCGCAGATCAAACCTTTGAAATGATTTATCAATATTTTTATGTTTTATGTTTTTATTGTTTAAAGTCACACTTGTTGTTTTGCACATTCCACCACTGAAGATTAACTGATGCTAAAATTGCTAATTGCAAATGTCAGAATGTACAATCTACAATGTAAAAAGTGCAAACTGGCAATGCAGTGTATATGCTAAAGCAAATAATAGGACTAGACACAAGAAGTTATGAGAAAACATGATGTAGTACCTTTGTAACAGAAAGAAGAATGCTTTTGACAGTTTGTGGTTGTGTGAAAACCTGGATCTCTTCAATGATGTGGGATCCGTTTTTTAGCAATACAACTTTGTGAAGGAATCCAGTCTCTAGAGTAAAGATTTGCAACAGGGTCATGAAAGTCTGGGAAGTAACTTAATAATTAAGAGAAAAAAGAAGATGATTGTGTACTGGAATAGTTGTAGCAGATTTCTACCAGTAAGCAGATAGAGGACAGTGTAATTGTGACCACTGGCAGCCTGGACTGTTTGTGCTGTGATTCGACTGTACAGCTGTTCGTTGGTTATGAGAAGCTGCTTATTTCCCTCAGACTTCACAGTGGTAGCGGTCAGGAAGGTTTTCTTTACTAAGTTCAATGTGATGTCATTGTCATTATGTATCCCACACTGCAAAAAAGTCTGAATAATTAATTTGCTAAGATGGAAACTAAGTCATCCAGAGTGGTTTGATGTAAAATGCTACTTTCTAGAGAAAACTACCACACCAGAATTGTTCACAGGGGTGGTGGAAGGAACCAGATATCTGGCCTCCAAAAGCTACCTCACAGAAAGTTCTAACATAAAAGGGTTTACAATACTCTGTCTATTGCCTGAAAATTATTTTTGATAGTTTTGTGAAAAGGTTTCGGCCTAAAATCTATTTTTAAAATCCATGCAGGACGTTGTAAGGCAAAATAGATTTTCTTCTTTTTTAACACAAGCAACATTACATATAAAAACTTATGTAGGCTCAGTGGTGGTTTCTGTCACAACCATTATGAAAATAAAACATTGGTAAGTTTCTCTACAATGAACCATTTGACATCAAACCACTATGAATGACTATATTTATATTTCAACATTTTAACTATACTGCAATTTTGAAAGTATTCATTTTCAGCAAAAAAATATTTGAGATAGGTAAGATGTGTGAAAACAAGATGTAGCCCACTTTACTTTGCCCAGTTTGGAGTTTAGATTAGTTTGTTTTTTCCATTGGTTGGTTTCTGCAGTGTAGGTCTTGTAGGCTCCTGAGAATGCTGCCTTAATGCTTCCTAGTGTAAAAGCACACACTGCAGTCGGACTGGGTCCCAGAGCCCTGAAAGACAAAGAGATAAGGTAATGGAAGTCTAAACATGCATACAGTTAACACATGGCTTCCAGAAATCTGGAGAACGAAGTAAATGCTGTGAGTTAGTAGCTGTGTGTGGACCATTGAGATGTGAAGATGCCATAGAACAGTATATTATCAGGCGATTCATCATCTGCTGGTGGCATCATTACAATGTCCTGGAGCAGATTGAAAGGCTGCTTCTCCGTCTGGCATATGAGCTGGGACTTAGCAAATGTTGTCCAGCACTTTTGAAGGATTCTTTCCCCTCCGTTGTCATCCTGCAAAATGATTCTTAAATGTATTACACTGATGACATAAAAGGAAGTTCGATACTTCAGCAAAACAAGAATACAGAACAAAAACAGTCACAAGTTTTAGCCCCATGCCTTTGCTACAATCAGTGCATACTTCATTTACACCACAGACCATTAAATAACTGAACCAAAATATTTAAGTATGTATGTAGTAGCCTTATTTTTACCCCATGCATACCTCAATGACCTAATTAAATGCACTGTTCTACAATGGTTGGACTTGTGTAGCCTCTTTCTGAAGGCCCTCTAGTGGTCATTCAGCTGGCAGATTTAAAAAATTGACTTGGACATTCTTAAATTATATTGATTAATTATTCCCCCCACCCCTCTGTTATCAGATTACCTAAGATACTGTTGTCTCACAGTCTGTGTATGAAATGTTGTGACTCTGTGTTGAGCTGCTAGCAAGCAATGGGGGTGGGGGTAAAAGGGGAGGGGTGAGAACCCTCTAATGTGAAAAATTTACACTTCTCCACAAATACGGCCGTGCTAAGATAAAACAGACAGCACAACTGCAGCTTTTTTCATATAAAAAAAAATGTGTACAACTGTTGCTTTTGGTTTTGTAAATCACATTTCCACCAAAATACAACCCCAATTCCAAAAAAGTTGGGACGCTGTGTAAAATATAAATAAATGTAAATAAAATCAGAAAGCAATGATTTGCAAATCTAATAGCATATTTTATTAAAATAAGAACATTGAACACATATCAGATGTTGAAAGTGAGACATTTTACCATTTCATGAAAAGCATTAACTCATTTAGAACCTGATGGCAGCAACGCATTTCAAAAAAGTTGGGACGGGGCAACAAAAGGCTGGAAAAGTAAGTGCTACTAATAAAAAACAGCTGGAGGAGCAATTTGCAACCAACTCACTGGGTATAAAAAGAGAATTTTAGAGAGGTGACATCCCAACTTTTTTGGAATTTTTTGGGTTGTATAGTGGCGCCCCATACCAGCAACACTAAGATGGCATAAATTGAGAGATGGGTGTGTGCATGTGCAAGAAAGAGGGAGAGAGAGAGCAGCAGGCAATGTCACAGCTCTCATTATGCACCGCTGCCCTCTTTCCCAGTTGTTTAGCAATTGATGCTTCATTGCTGTTGAGGTTTATTGTGTGTATTTGTTTTTGTATGCCTGTTGTTCCTCTTTTGTATACACCTACTGTCGTGTAGTTTTCTGTTCACAGTAGCCACCTCCCCTCCAGCGTTTTGCCTAAGGCAAGTTGGTTTTTACCCACCTATTACTTTTCAGTGTTATAAATGTGAGATAAATAAAAAATTCAGAACATTTTTCTGTTCAGAATATATTTCCTGCTTCAGCGTCTTTAATGAAAATGCCACAGTCTATTCAATCATCCTTATTAAAGAAAAACAAATAATGTGTAGTTCAACTGAGGAATCTCCAGGGCATTTGGAAATTACATTTTATGGCTACTATGAAAAAGAATTAACAGGTAGTGTTTATTGTTGTATCTGTATTGCCATGCTAATTTATTTTTACTGAAAAACAGTTTCCCAAATTAGGCATTTCAGGACGTTTCTAATTAAGTAAATATTCACACCCAGAAAGCACAACACTGCATCCAATTCAGTCCCACTTGGTTTAGTTGTATTCAGTTGAGGATAAGGAGAAAACCGCTTACTGTGCAAACTTGGGCCACACGTGACGCAGTGAATCGCTCCATGAAGCTGTACTCTGTTGCCTCTTCCCTAAAGAAAAACAACACCTTCCCCTCGCTGGGAATGTAAGAGGAGCTGATGAACGTAGGATCTGAGACAAACAGAAAGAGCATTTACTTTGGAGAATGAGAAGTCATTTTGCCTCACTGTCATAGTTTAGGGTGCATGCAGCACACCAGGAGCTAGAAGACAAACCATTGAGTGTTTTTTGGGAAGTTTCAAGGTTTAAGTTGTTTCGTCCTTTGCTGAAATGGCGTGAGATGATGGGTGTGACTCCAGAATAGTCCTTTGTTGTGGCAGTATACAGCTCTCCATCTGTGGACAGAGAGGTCATGAAAAGAGTGTGAATAATACACATACATATGGCCATGTTTTACATTTAGGTGAGTCAAAATCAGCCTCAAAATGCACAAACATAGTGACAGGCATGTAATTTGCAAGATGTCATATAGATGGTGCTGTTAATCCACATATCTGAATATGCTTTGGGCCCTCACCAACAAAAACAGCTGTGTTCCTCTCAGATCCCTTGTAAGGACAGACACCTTTGGCAGACTGTGCTGCCCTGCTGACCGACAGACTATCCGCAGTCTAAGAGAGAGGTACAGAATGGATGGAGACTTACACCAGGACATTAGTAAATAGGCAGGGGAAAATGTGTTACTCAAACAATAGAACTTACAAGAATTATGTCTTCAGGTTTAAATGCAAATGACCCACAGGCATACAAATGAGTGGAGTTGATAAACTGCAAGACCCGGACGAAATTGGCACAATTCTACAGAGAGTTAGAGGAAAACAATGTTAGCCAACCGGAGAAAACATTTATTAAGTAACCTCAGTTTTACCTTGCACTTAACCTCTGCTACACAGAAAACACAAAGTGAAAAATGGAAATAAAGCCATAAAAAAAATTAACCTCCAGAATCCCTCTTGAAACGTTGAAAATTGAGTTAGATAAATGATCAAGAAATGACTAAAAAAATTATTACAATATAGTATTATTTAACAACTTCTTAGTGTTCCCTCAAAGCTCGAAATATTGAATAAAAAATCTTAAAATACCTTCTGGTAACTTTATAGTGTTATAAGCCTACACTGTATACATTATTATCAAGCAAAATAAATTTTAACTTTAGTGGTTTCAAACTTTTTAACACCAGTGTACACAAACATCAGCTCTGCACACACACACACAATCAAGACATTACTATAAACAAATAATTACAGTATACACACAAGCACCACACACATATTTACTGAATTTAAAATGTGTTGTTTCTGTATTCTGATTAGACAAATCTGTGAAATGTCTCTGTGATTTAGCACCCAATGGTGCCCAATAAAATGTGTGTGGAGGTAAAATAAGAAATCCTAAGAACGTTATTCAAGTGTGCAGTAGAGGTGAATGTTTTCTGAAACATGACCTTGATAAAGAGAGAGAGCAAAATTAGCCTACTATTAATTATCAGGTGTGCAGAAATGTTGCAACATTGAAAACATCCATAAATCTTATTCCAACTACTGGGTGCTTCTAAGATGAGGATAAGAAAATAAACAGGTGGGTGCATGAATAATAATGACAACAAAACACACCACACCTTGTCTGAAGTCCCACATCTGTAATGATCACTTTTAAGAGGTGTCCAGTTATACTGTAAAATACAATCTGATGTTATTTTGTGTAGTGCTCTTTCTTTAACGTTAAATATTGCTGAGTAAACAGATGTTCTCTAAAGAAGTCATTGAACAAAACAGTAACATTTTAAGAAACAAACACAAGCTGTGTTTATCAGTTAAATGCCTTTGTTTTGTTTTTTAAGTGCTACATGTCAGCACCTTGTTTTTCAGTGTAATGACATCAGGCTGACTGACATCCAATGAGAGCACAGCATTCTTAACACCAACAAACAGAGTGGCAGCATCTGGACTGAGCAGCAGCGCTGTGGTGTTCTGCACATCAGATGTTTTGTATGTGGACAGCACACGGCCTGGACTTCCTGTTAAACAAGAAGCATAAACAGCATTTTCTGTGTGAACATTTCAGTTACCACCACTATTGGTATTGTTCTGAGGAAAGCTGTGGATCAATTTGGGTGATGTCTAGGTAACCCTGGGTTACTGCAGAAGTGCCATCTGACCAATGTTATTTAGCGTGTCCAATCAGTCTGACTGCATGTCTTTGGACTGTGGGAGGAAACCCACGCAGACATGTGGAGAACATGCAAACTCCACACAGAAAGGACCCCGGTCGCCTGGCCAGGAATCGAACCCAGGCGACAACCAAAACAGCCCTTAAGAAATTATTTTATTGTTCAGTCAACATAAGTCTATTTTTTTTATTACTGATTTTCTTTGACATTCCAATATTGACAAACTTAGACAAAAATCTAGAGCTAGGAAAAACTCTGAAAATATATAAATAGATTTCAATTTTTTTAAATTGTAATTAGTTTGTGTCACCAAGGTTAAGGAATTTAAAAGGGAAAAGAATACATTTCCAACACTTTTCTAACCCCTAATTTGAAACACTTCTGCAGAATGACGCAAACAAGTTGTATTGCATATACACCAACCGGTCACTTCAATAAGTACACCCACCTTGTATCTACACTCATTATCCATTTTGTCAGCTCCACTAACTACACAGGAGCATATTGTAGTTCTACAAATACAGACTGCAGTCCATCTGTCTCTGCATACTTTAACCCTGTTCTTCAGTGGTCAGGACCCCCACAGGACCACCACAGAGCAGGTATTATTTGGATGGTGGATCATTCTCAGCACTGCAGAGACACTGACGTGGAGGTGGTGTATTTGTTTGTGTGTGTTGTTGCTGCTGGAGTTTTTAAAATGGATGTGTATTTTTACAGACTATAGTCAATCTGTTTCTCTGTATTCTTTGCCATAAACTGTCAGTAACAATAAAACAGTAATATTTTACCTGTTTTATTTATAATATTCAATTATTATCATGGATCACTTTATTAGAAACCCCTAGTAGTTCAAAATGCTTTCCGAAAAAAGAAAAAAAAACAAAATTAAAAGGCAGAAATGCAGAGAAAAATAACAATAAAAAACAAATCATAAGAAAAGGAAATGAATGAATGGTGTGCCTGCAGCTTTTCATTGCAGTTAAGCAGATGCACACCTGATTCCACTTATTTTATCAGTTGGTCCGAGTCTTTGTCTCAGTTGATCAGTTATATGAGTTGTGCTCCTGCCTGAATAGTGGCTGCTGTAGATCATGTTGGTGTACAGTTTGTGTTAGTTGTTCTCTAGTTCTTGATCAATGGTTTCTGACCACAAAGCCACTTTTAACAGTGACTCTGACATGTTTAAAAACCCCAGCAACACTGCCAGATACACTTAGTGCCCACTTAACACTTAATGCCATTGCTATGTTGAGAATGATTCACCACCCAAATAACATCTGGTCAACAGTAGCCCTGCGGTCAGAAACTGTCTCTGAGAAATGGTGCGTGGTAACAAAGTCTGTATTTGTACACCTATATGATGTACCTATAAGGGCTCATAAAACAAGTACAGTTTCTAAATATGATGTATGGTAAGAGATCAGTTCCATTTTCATAGTTTACCATAGAATTACTAGCATGCTCAAGATTACCCCTGTACTTTACCTGGAACATTGTATGCTCTTGTGCTCTGGTCTATTGTGAATCAGAGAAACTAGGTCACTATAGATAGCGTTGTCTAGCTGCTGTGTGTCCCCTGTGGTTTAGCACTTTGCAAGAAATGTTCAAGACCAGCAGGTCTGATGCACTCTGCACTCAGTGAGATATCAGTGGCCTGAAATCTGTGAGACACTGTTCATTATAGTTAATGTGCTTTTGACAGTTTGCTGCCATCAATTTCACAAATTCTTCTTACAACCTTCTTTAACCTTAAAGTAAGAATACTGGCCCCCAGTCATATCTGCAACCTAAGTTTCTCAAGCAAAACCATTAAAAGATTTGGTTAACTGTATTAGTGAGAAACAAGGATCATCTCACATACACGCTTGAAAAAGGTGCCAAAAAGAGTTCTCAGGAGTGATAGCACAGAAAACTACTTTTTGTTTCTGAAGAAACCTTTTAATGAAAGTTTCTCTTTAAAGAACTGTTTTTGTAAATGAGATGTGTGAAAAGGACCTTTTTCAAGTTTTAGTTAGTCTGTTACTCCTGTCAGTGATTCATGAAATTCTGACAATATCCATAGAAAAGCATTTACCTCTACAAAAAATTTAACATAAGACAATGTCTAAACTATTTCCGAGCCCAGTCAAAGAAAATTTTGGGTCAAAGTCTCAAAAGACATGCCAACTATTTCAAAAGGATTAAGAAATTATTTAAAATCTTCACATGGGCATCTAAACAACCAAGAATGAAAACTGATAAACTTTTTAACTATTATGTCTGGCTGCATAGTCAAGAAATTCCAAACTCTTCAACCTTAAGACCTAAATTAGAGAAAGTAATGGCTCAGCCCCTTTCATTGAAAGAGATCTTTCTTCATGGCCCTCAGAATTACACAGAATACACTATACTCCTCAGAAATTACAGGCTTTTGGACTTGTTTCAAATCTATGTTGAAGGTCACTAATCACTAATGTTAATATACCACTCAATATACTCAAGACTAAAGGTTTTAAGTGACATCTCTGTTTAAATTCATGGAAAGAGTCTCAGCCACCTACATTGATTTTTTTTCCATTGAAGAATGTATTCCTGGAACAAGTTTCCTATCATTTCAAACCAAAACTTAAATTATACTATGAAATGGAAACAAAACTGTAAAGTATTCAAATTCATGACATGAGCTCTGTAATACTTTGCAAGAGTTCTAATTTTTTTTTAATTCTTCATTATTTTAATTTTCAAGACCTCTGGGACTTTATGCCTATTCTCCTAGATGTGCTCCCATTAAATGTTCCTGTTTGTTTGTTAAGATGGATTAATATGTTATTCTTCTGTATATAACAATTACAGTGAAAACAATAAACAAATTGCAAAAAATTAAGTTTAGCAAACCGCATAATGTGAAGATTATTTATCAATTGAAGCTTTTTTCCCCCCTCTGCACATCAAAGCCAGGAACTACTGAGGAACCTTTATTTATCATTTTAATCATTTGCAATTGCCTTTAAAACACAAAAGGACGTAATTCTGTCAAACTGATTCATAAGCGCTGTTTAATTGATTTCAGATTAAGATTGATCATTTTTGGATTAACTTTTTAAGATTAATGCTAAGAATGAATTTGGTCAGAGGATGAGAAATGTCTCATTGTTTCTCATGTGTTTTCACTCCTCGCAGCTTTTATAAGTAAAAGGCAAGGGCAAATAAAGAGAAACTACGCCAATAAAACAACTTAATCAAATAAAAATCAAACAAAACGTGAGGACACTAGAAGTGTACTAACCGAGGAAGAAGGAGGTCCGGGGAGTGATGGAGCTTTGGCAGAGGTGCAGATATCCTAAGAGGGTGTAGATTTTCCAAACTTGATGCACACCTGCCATAGTCAAAGTAGTGCGAGTGAAACCAGCATGTGCTCTCTAATGTGGCTCTGAATCAGCTTCACAACACCAGTACCAGGAAACTCAGCAACAGACTGCGTGTTTTTTGTCAACTGAGGGAAGAAGAGGAAGGAAAATACAAACCACTGCTTCAGCCCAGGCAGCGCTTCCTGCTAATGACATTTTTGTCTTAGCTTATACTTCACACTTCATGCATGTCCAATGTGCATGCATCACTATGTCAACGCCAAACAACAGATACTAGTTTCATTACGTTTTCTTTCTTTTACAGTTTTAGGCTGTGGATGAGGAAATGCAGATTCTGAATCTCATCTGTGTTAAGTAACAGGGCGTTATGTAAGTCTTCAGAGTGAATCTGCACAAAATTGCAGATGATGTTGCTACGGCAATATGAGATGACCAGAAACACATTCTACTTTAACTTATTTACAAAATAAACTGTGTTACACTTTACCCTGTGTTGGGTTGCGCCCTGCGCTCCCCTATTTATCACGGTCAGAGAGAGAAAAACATAGTGGAACATATTAGATTTCACATACTTTAGTGCACTGGTTCTCATTCCTTGTTACTAAGTTAGTAAGTCAGTTTTATTAATTAGCACATTTAAAATCAAAGTGATTTACAGTAATAAACAAGTTTGCCCCACCATCAGTCCTGAACTTACAGCAGTCTTTTTTACAAATAAAACACACAACACACTTTGACACTACTATACAGTCCTCAATCAGTGCAACACATTCAACAGTTCCTAAAAGCCAATCAATAAACATGTGTTTTAAGTTTGGTTTTAGGATAAATGACAATCTTTTATCAAAGGTTCCTGCTTTTTATTTGCACCCTCATATAGCTTCAAGTCAAGCTGCAATCATGCATGCTCACAACAGCATTTACATCAGTGGTCACCAACCCTCCTTTTGGAGATCTACTTTCCATCAGAGTTTAGCTCCAACCTGCACCCCTCAGGTAGCATCTGATCCAGTCAAGGACTTATGAAGGAGTTAATTAACTGGAGCAGGTGTGACAGAGCACAGCTGGAACTAAACTTTGTAGGAAGGGGGTCTCCAGGACCAGGGTTGGTGAACACTGATTTACACTATGCTGAACTTTCATCTGTTATTTTAAAAAAAATAACGGTGTGCATGTGGTAAACATTTTCGCATTTGCACTTGCATTGGATCATGTTCTATTTGAAGTGCAGTAGAGACAACCAGTGAAAATTCTGTTTTGCACTTTCTGATGTAATACAATGTTTTTCATTACAAATTACTATCAAAAACCAATTTAGTGAAATATAGAATCTTTGAAATACATGAATTTCAGAAGTCCTTCTGTGGAGTTAGATTTAAGCCAGACGATATTTATTGAAGTGTCTACATTTTGTACTTCACGTTCATATCTTATCAGCTTGGACAAGTTCGTGTTTTGGTTTGCTATGTGCAAACCTTTGGCAGCACTGTAGAATCACAGTCGTACAGTGTGCTATAAAATATGTACGTTACCTTACTTGTAAAGTCTGCACTGTGGCTATATTACAGTTTGTGAACATGAAAGCAAAAAGGTGAACTTTACCCACCATCTTTATGATACTTTCATTCGGTTTGACTAACACAAGTGTGCGCCTCATTCCTGACGCGCGAACTTTTGACCGCGCCGTTGCGCCTCTTTCGGAATCGCAATCGTAAGACCCAGAGAAGACCTGGCAACTGTGGTCACTTCTGGATTGTGATTGATTGACACTCTTCACAATAAAAGACCATGTCTTCACTGGGCGGTTTTTGAAGAGGCTGCATTTTAATGATTCGGTGCGAGCTCGCTAGTAACTAGACAGAACCAGAGGTAGGAGCCCAGGCGCTTTCTGTTGCTCCCAATAAATTAAAAAAAAAAAAATCAAGAAGGCGTGTCAGATCTGCGTCACCTGCCCAATTTGCACAGCGCATGCGCACCATTGTCACACATGCTTAGAGAACGTTACTTTTAATTGCGTTACTCGATCTTTCTGCAGTTTGGAATTGTAATTGAGCTGTAACAACACGACTATAGTGTGTTCTGCGGCAGTTTACACTCTTCTCTGCTCGGGTGGTGAGCTGATACTTGTATAACATGGTAATAAATTGTGTTAAGGTGTGATTATCTACCTGAGCAGCGTTCTTGGCCTCAAGCATGAACAAAGCTGAGCAAAAAATGTCTTAGTTCCTATGTAGTGTGCACTATGTAGGTCATTATATAAAGACCGCCACACACAAATAGTACACTAAATGTCTAAATGAAAGCCATTTATATTCAGTCATAGCTGCACAACATCTTGTCTAACATTAAGTACGCTATTTGGGTGTCGATGCCATAATTTCATGACCTGTGCAGCGCACTATATAGGGAATAAGGAGCCATTTGAGATTTAGCCACAGACATGCTCTCATGCTGAACCAAAGTGATAGTAACACTTTGTCCGTACCCCACTTGCCTCTCCGTGCTCTAACCTGAATGTTCTTACCCATAAATGAAATATAATACTGAATCTTGGGGGGGGGGGTTCCCCAAAAAACTCGGGAGAGTCAAGATCCATATTGCAGCTTTGCTAAAACAACTCAACAGAGTCAGCTTTTTGAAGAAAAACAGCAGCTGTGTGCTTAGCTTCTACTCAGAATATCAGATCGAACTGATAGCCATCTAGCCTACTGAAGCTTTTTACACAACGCTTCCTTGCAGAATACCAGCCCGCACTCTGCAGAAGAACATGTGAAAGGGGGTTTGTAAACTAAATGAACCTAAACCCTTCTTGACTTTTTAGAACAGGGTATATTAAATTCTTTAAGTGAACTAACCTAGGCGTGCACTGATGCCACAAAACAAAGTAGCATTAAACTAGGACAGAGAATGAGACTGCTTATGCTGTGGGTTCAGCAAAGCACCCCAAGTGGGGTACAGATCAGGCAGTGTCGTAAAACACAACGCAGTGTGCACGTGTTACAGTGGAGCACGTGCACGGTGCAAATCGGGTAGCGGCAGGGCAGCTGACTGGATGTGAATGGGGCAAAATGTCAAAAAAAGTGAATAATACTCATTTACAAATTGCAGTTTTGCATAAAAGCTCCAAATGAACCCGTTCATTTTTGCTCAGGAGCGATCTTGCAGCATCTGACCAGAAGGCCTGGTGAAGTGATAGTTACCTTAATTGTAAATGCCTTGAGACAACAGGGACAAGTCTTTTACTGTGAAGAGTGTCAATTAAACACAACCCAGAAGTGACGTCTAAAGTTCGCATGTCAGGAATGAGGCGCAAACTTGTGCGGGTTAAACCAAACAAACTAATCACAAAGATGGTGGGTGAAGTTCACCTTTCTACATTCATGTTCACAAGCTGTACTATAGCCACAATTCAGACTTTAAAAGTTAGGTATATATTTCATGGCACACTGTACAATTGTGGTCCAACAATACTGCAAAAATTTTGCACATAGCAAACTGAAACACAACCTTGTACAAGTTGTTCTGAATGAACTGGAAGTACAAAATGTCAACAAAATACAAATCTGAAAATGGAACTGAAGGTAAGACCCCAAAATTAATCACAGAAATACATTTAAATTTAAAAGCTAATCTACGCCTTTAAAACACAATTCACAAATACAGTGTTTTGGCTTAAATGTAACACCTCATTCTGTAGGTCAGATTCACATGAGTCATCTGAACATGTGCTTCAAGGCTAGAAGGAATAAAAAACTCTTGACCTTTTTGTACAAAAGCCTCAGTGGTCTGTTGTAACTACCAGTCCAGAATCTTTAATCTTTTTACTTAGAACTTTTTGGACCCCACTGTAGCAATAGAGTAAAACACAAAGCAGTCCATCCTTAAAAATAGGTTTCATGTTTATTGCGTAAAAATACTGTATACTGCATGATAAACACCAATCTTTGACTTCCCCTTTCAGTATTTACAAAAGGCAAAAATTCCAGACGAACACTCAGCACTGATGTCGTCTTTGTACTGATACAAACGTGGGATTTATTCACTGAGATGAGCGTAACAAGTGCACAATCTAGCTCATGTTTCCTCTGTTACTGAACTTCTATTTTTGTTTAAATTAGATCAGCCACTCACCGTGAAACTTCCCTGGAAAACCTTTACCTGGGTAGTTTGCTTAAGGGCACAAATCAGTAGGATGGTAAGCTAACACTTCCACAACAGGCCATATACCTTCCAGGTCATCAGTGATTAGCTTAGGCCACATAAGCTGGGGTAAAGAATTTTTAGTTAGTGTCTGAAAGTGTAGATTTCCTGGGCTTTCGGTCATGCTGAAGTGCACAGGAGTTCAGAGCAGCCTGCAGACTTCACTCATCTGGTGTAGCCAGCACAGGGCCAGTGGGCTGCCTATTTAGTTCAATCTTTATCCACATCTGTCAAACGTCCATAGCAGGTTCTCCATTCTTCACCTTCAAGGCATTGACTGGCTAAACATTTTGCATATATCCATGTGTTTAACAGAACGTACTGGTTGTTTTCACTACAATCTGCATATCCGTTGATAAATGTCTTCACAAGCATGGTATTCTTGTTTTCCAGCACAGTCTGAAATGCCACTAAAGGTCCAGTGAGTTTCAGCATGACTGTTTGATTAGTTCTACCAACCAGAAATGGAAGAAATTCTTTTTAGGGTGTTTGTCCAAGTCCATTAATAAGTCATAGCTAAGTCTTCTCTCATGGTCAGTGCAATTAGAATTGTGCAAGTCTGCAGCACACCAACGGCCCACGGCCGGTCCACGCTGGTTCAACAGCAGAACAGCATGTTCTCAATGGTTACATAGGGGTAGGGTTGGGGTATTTCCTGGGATGTTGTGGGCCCCTAAGTGGGGGCAATGGGGCACGTCTACATAAAAGAAAAAAAAAGAATCAGTATGGTCCGCAACAATTCAAATAAACCAATTTTAGATGCTTAAGTTTCCCTTTTTTGAAAGCTAACAGTGGCATATTATTCTGAGATGTTCCTTTGCTTTTGAACAGAAAATTCTTTTAACTAAGTACATCTTAAATATTATAACACAAAACTGAACAATTTATAGATACATTTATGTAATTACTGCTTTCTAACACTAGCCCCGAGGGCCTGGCGAAAATGGTTGCTAAATAGATTTGTATTTGGCAGCTTTTCGTTAGAATTTTCCATTCCACCTTAAATGGAGTGGCAGTTACCGTAGTCTTTAGCAGTTACATTCTGGCACCTGTACAGGCATTATCATTTATATATACATGCACACACATACTGTGTTAAGACAGTATGCGAACCTTGTTGGAACAGCAGCAGCAGAGGGAGTGAAGCTGGAAGAGGGAACAGCAGCTTTATGGTTCCCGGCTGGCTCAGAGGCAGGCAGCAGGCGTAGGGGAGGGGGATAACCAGAAGGGTCTGCAGGCAAAGGCTTCTTGGGCACTGGAGGTTTGGGGGGAGGAGGGGTCTGGATCTAAAACAGCAGACAGCAAAACGTCAAAAGCCAAGATTCTTTTAATGAAGGAGAAAGATGATCACTTAAAGTGATGATTCAAGGAAAAATCAAATGAACAGTTTCCAGTTTATCCTGAATACAGTTGATCAGCTAAGGCATGTTTGGTGGCTGAAGTTTGCTTCTTTGGTTTTGTACTGGAGCTACAAGATTGGAGCTATATTGTGACATACAGCTTGCACAGTGCTAATTTGTGGGGTCTCTCATTACCTTTTAGTTACATTTATCTTGTAACTCCAGTGCAAACCTAAAGAAGCCAACACCAAATGTGCCTGAAGTGAAAAGACATTGTGAATTAGATTTTTTTGCTGAACCATCACTTTAACTTTCCCTTGCTTTCCAAACAGCCCAAATGAATTGGAATTCATTCTAAAAAGAGGTACCGCAGCAATCAAAGACAATAAGAACTAAACAGAGACTTGAATGTCCAGCAGAGTGGAGCAATAAGCACATGGCCTGACTGCAGCATACAGGGCTGCCAGCCATCTCTCTGCACAGCTGCAGGGTGCTGGTACCTGTCTGTGTGAAAGGACAGGGTCGGGGGGGAGAGGCTTGCTGGGTGCAGCCGGGCGCGTCACTGTCAGCTGGAAGATCCGGTCAAAGATGCAGGATTTTAACAAAGAAGAAGATGGATGAGGACCACCACTCAGTACTACCTCTTCATCTTCACATTACAACACTCATCCACCCAAAATCAAGCACAGAATCACAGGCCATGCATCGCTACTGCATCGCAGGAGAACGATCAACTCATTCCCTTCATTAACTCAAACACATAAGCTTAATTACATTATTTTCAACCAAACTATCTCAGTGTTTACCGTAACAGGTGACAGAGCAAGTTGTCATATTTTAACAGTTAATGGTAACAAATAGCAGTTTCAATTTACTTAAGTTTTGAGTGACTTTTACTAGTAGGGTAAATATGTCTCAACTGCAAATTCAGAAAGCATTTCCCCCAACAGGCCATCGCAGATTTGCTTAATACTTTCAGGAAAACTGAAAATTTCATGCATTTGTCATTCATATATATCAAAATAGCCTTTTAAAATGGCACTCATTTTAAATCAAATTGCATTTAGAAATTGTATATGTGGGCTATGTCAATGTGACAACAGCTAAAATCATACTCATAACACCAACATGACACCAACAGATGTGAGAATCCTCACTAGGGTTTCTGAGTATCTGCTAGACTTTGACTCACTCTGTCTCCCTTGACAGCAAACAAAAAAACCCAAACAAAAACCACACCGATTACAACCAATAAGCCCGGCAACACATTCAAACACATATTAAGTAAGGTTTCTCACCAGGGGCTCATAATGCACATGGACTGTTTAATTGTGGTCAAAGAGACTTCTTTTTAACCCTTTCTATGTCTAGCATTATTTCTGCCGTGTTATCTGCTTTTCTCCTTTAACAGTGTGAATTCTTAATTGTGTTGTCAAATTCATTTTGATGTGTAAAGAATGTGATTAACAAAGTCAAAAATGTCAATTTGGGTCACCAACTATCATTCTGAACAAGCAAACAAATACATGGGAACATACTTTATGTTTGATTCACCCTTTATTGTTACTGAGATGGAACAAATAAAAAACAAGTCCTTAGAGATCTGAATTCTGTTTTGAACGTGTGCTTCTTTTAAAGAGATAGAAAACATGGTACCATACAGAAGACTTCAGTTCCACATGCAAATACATGTTACTATACCTTAATCCTCTAGTGGCAGAATTTAATGATAAAAGCGTGTTAATCTCTAAATGTTAGTCTCTGAATGTTTCACAATGAGAGATTAGGTAAGATAAATACAGTGTCCTCCATAATGTTTAGGAAAAAGACATATTTCTTTTTATTATTTCCCTCTGCAGTACACAGTTTTAAATTCCTACTCAATATTAATAAAGGGTATTTTTATACATTTTACTTTTACCATGTAGAAATTTCAGCACTTACCCTAAATACCCCCCCCCAACAAGATGACTGTGACGTGGCAGTAGTGTGTACAGTAAATTTGTCATGTTTAGTACTTTGTTGAACATCTTTTGTGTGCAAAGTCTATGACTCAGACATCTTCCTTGGCCTACATTTATTTAATTAAGGTACTGCGTATCTTCTGTGGTGATGCTCTGCCAGGCTTGTACTGCAGCCACCTTCAGCTCCTGCTTGTTGCAAATAGTACCTGCTCTGTGAGGGTCCATGGGGGTCCTGACCACTGAAGAACAGGGTAAAAGGATGGACTACAGTCTGTAATTGTAGAACTACAAAGTGCATCTATATAGAAAGTGGAGCTGATAAAATGGACAATGAGCATAGAAACAAGGAGGTGGTCATAATGCTATGCCTGATCTGTGTAATTCTAACATTTTCTGGAATCCTTGCCACAAAGAATTCAGGCTGTTTTGAGAGCAAAGGGAGGCCCTACCCAGTATTAGTATAGTGTTCCTAATAAAGTGCTTGGTGAGTATATAAAAACACCCTTTATTAAAATCTGAGAATGTCTACTTTAATCACGTGAACTGTTTGAGTACAAATTCCAAAAGTACAAATGTGTATGCCTTTGTCCTAAATATTATGGAGGGCACTATATAAAACTGTATAATGTAATTAATTTGCTGCTGAGAAACCCTGCTTTAAAGCATTCAGATCTGTTCAAACACCCAGTGCACCTCAATAATAATTAATAATCAATCTCACTACTTGTACTGGAAATAAACAAAGACACATGCACTGGCACACACATCTAGACCACGAGCCATACAGTACTGAAGAAAAGATGCTAGATGGAGATTAGGTGTGATGATTAATATCGTAGTAAGGTGAGAGTCTATGAGACACTGAGATGAAGACTATCTGGTTGTGCGAGTTGGAGCACACAAACACGCCGTCATGCGTGGCAGCAACCCATCTCTACCTTTCGCTGTGTCTTGCTCTCTGAGGGGGCTGGGTCAGGAGGGAGGGGCTTGTTAGGAGGGGCGGGACGTTGCCCTGGTGACTGGGGCGGCAGAAAGAGCAGCAGAGTGTCATACACACACATATACTAGTAACAGTCTGCAGGTACTATGAATCTTTAAGACATCATAGTTACAAACAGTTGCAAATACATGTGTGTATACACAGCCCTTTCCTACTCATACACTATGGTAAAGAACTATCTAAACCGAAGCAAATTCATTGCCAATGTTAAGATACACATAGATCAACTATCCCTACAGAATAGCTGAAAATTCCAGTAACTGATATCTGCTGATTTAATTTAAGACGCTCAAAAATAAAATAGCCTTCAATATCTTTAGTTAAACAGTGCTCTATTGACTGTATGACTCGGTTCTCAATTGTATCATTTCTTAATATCAAACAGCCGTTAGCAGTTCTGTTGGTTTCTTTTATCTCTTTTTTTTCATTTTTCATCAGTTCTATTCATAGAAAGGCACTCGAGCTATGCTCATGCTAAAAGTGAGGTTTAGATGCATTTTACATGTTTTTATTTTACCACTGATGGTGATGTAAACTAACCAGTTTATCCTAAATAGCTGTAATGTACTGTACAGTGCAAAACTCAAAGACCTCCCTACATTTATTTAATTTCCAGTCAGTACAGCCATTAACTTTAAGTTATTAATTTTCAGATATTTATGAGAAGACTAACTGACTAAACAGAAAATAATCCATTTGCATAATATCAAAGACATGCATAAAGTCAAAGGAAAGTGAGCAAAAAATCAAGAAGATACACAGAAATTGGCACTCCTAACAGCCTTGCAGGACCTAGAAGACCAACAAAACTGTCAGATAAACAGTCCTTAAAACTTTCATCTTTGAGAGAGAGGAGAAAATCAAGCTCCACTCTTGCTTTAGGTCTGAAAAAATGCACAGGTTTTTCTGTCTATCCTTCAATTGTGAGAAGACAACTCAACCTTATTAGCCTGAAGATGTGTATGACATGAACATGCCGAACTGTCAAGAAGCGCAGAAAAGGAAATAAAAGAAAAAAAAAGAAAAACTGCAAATCAACCAAATCAACCTGCTGGTGTTTTCAGAGCAATGGACTGATCACCGCAAATCCAGATCTCAACAATCACTGAATGTGTTGTTGGGACGTAGAACATACAACCAACTTCTAAGACTGAACTTTGGAGGTGTGAAAAATATCCCTGCAGATTTCTTTAAAAACTGAAAGCAAGTTTTCTGAAAAGAATAGGAGCTGTAATAAAGGCAGAGTGGACACACTAAATATTGAAAAAAAAATTGTATGTAATATTTAGTTGCAGACACTTCCATGTAATTGTCTTTTAAATATGTTTTCTGCTTTTTTCCTGATGCTGAAAAATGAACAACCTGTAATTAATGGCTGTCTTGACTGGAAATAAAATAAATGAAGGGTGGTCTCTGAAGCTGAAATGGGTGCTTAAGCAGGGAAAACACTTAATTTCGCAGGACTGGGGTACTCTATGACCAGGACTGGGAACCAATGCACTAAGCTGACAGTTGATCTTAAGAGTGCAATGATTTCATGCTTTATCATACCACTGATACTATGTATTTGGTTACTAGCTTGTGCCAATAATGGCGCCTATGGTGTGCACTCTTGTCCTCCAGTCTCCTCTCTGGCAGAGGGGACAGTTTACCTGAGCAGGCTGTTTAGAGACAGGATCAGGTGGGAGAGGTTTAGTAGGAGGAGCAGGCCTGCCCTGAGCCTGACCAGAGAGAGAGAGAGAGAGAGAGAGAGAGACGTAGACAGCACATGCACATATCAAGTTAACAAAGGACATTGCCAAAATGACGTGTATTTCAGTTTAAAATGCAGTAAGCAAGAAAAAAGAAGCTGTGGTTTTCATAGAACAAGCAGTGGGCTGAGGTTAGGTAGAATGATGTACAGAATTAAGTCATGTCTCATTTGAGATGGATGTGAGATTAGAAGTATTTACACTTCCTAAAATGCTGTCACTCTCAGTAAACGATGTGCGAATTTTCTTGCACCCCTAAAAGGAAAGCAAATGCAAGCAGGAAGCAGGTGATGCAAGTGTTTTCGACACAGCTTTAGTATAACAGATAGTTGGCAATTACAGGGAAGCAAACATTCAGTCAGCGTAACTACCTGCAGTACAAATCGGGTGTGGACTTGCTATGAGCATTATAGCTGTAAAACCATCTTAACAGATGGAGAATTGAGATGCATCCATCATAAGATGCTTTTGGGAAACCTGTCTTTGTTTAGTTTCGTAAGTACCTGCCTAAAAAACACAGATCATACAGTAGAAATAGGCTAATCAAAAGCTTCAGTCCATACAGACTTTAACATTATTCTTGAAACTGATACCACAATCATTTGACTCTCTGCACCATATATGCATATAAATTAACCCTCTAAAACTCTAGCATGATTAATCATTCCCTGAATGACAAAAAACACATACCAAAAACAAGCTGCAAGCATTTATAATACGAGGAACTGAGAAACTAATTTTAAAGGATCAGTGTTGCGCTGCTTTCGACGACCATGAAAAACAAAGCATTACATCTAAGTACCCCTTTTACATGTAACATCAAATGCAAGTGTTTCAGTGTCTCTGTGGTGTCTGACCACAAACAGAAATAATGTCAAAGGGGTCAGTCTGTACCTTGCTAATGGCCTGTGTGAGCGGGATGTCATTCTGCGTCCACTGGTACCTCAGTGGCAGTACCTGCTCTCCATTACGAGCATTTCCTCGCTCAGTGGCTGGAGTCCTGAGACAGAGACAACACAGACAGTCAGATCGGTTCATTTTAGTGGAGTGGTCTAAAACACATGTACAGTGTAACTGTACATCATAGATATAGCTACTGAACACTAACGAGGCTACCGCAGAGCTGGTGTGAACTCAGGGAACAACCCAAGAGAGAAACATGAATGTTGTGAACCATTCAAAGGTATATTACAGACACGTTGAGAAGAGACATACATCTTTTACAGATGACTGTTGAGAATGCCTGTAGTAATATATACAATGGACATCATATTTCTTAATGGTATAGAAGTTTGTTAGTGTAAATTCTTGACAAACTTTCTTTTTCTGAACAAACTCATTAAAGCACACACCGGGCACTGAGCTACCAGTGATACACTATCCTAAATTTACTAAATTCACTAAATCAGACACAGCTACCATCGCTGTACATATGTCTTCAATCACAAAATACCTCTCCAAGTCCACCTCTGGTAGTTTCACACAATATTCAATATGGGCCACAGACACTCTACTGTGATCAAGGGTAAAACAGAGAAAAGTGGGAATCAACTTCTGTTGTGGTTTACATCTGCATGTCATAGCCACTCTTTGATGTACTGCATGAAGCTAAGACGTTATACATTTAAAATCATATAGTTTTCAAATGAGTGTGCTCAGTGAGATTAAACAGGGACTGTACAATGTCACATGCTTTGCAAGTGCACTTGGCACAGAACTTCAGTTTACTTAATTTCCATTAATGTCTCATTTTCTCAAAATAATTACTTATGATACTGAAATAATCTAATAATAAGTCTCACTTACCAAGTTGAAAATTGAGAACAAAAAGTAATTATTTTGACCTTATGAGTCAAAGTTTAATTCAAAACTTTTTATGGTGGGAACACATTGTCATACAAATGCACATTAGCCAAACACATGGTTAAGTGTTGGCAGACTGTTGGTAATTAGCGCCTCTTTAAGTAAATCTGCCCCATAACCTGTCACACTTACTATCACAGCGAATAACAGCGAATAAGGAGAATGAGGTTTGGTTTTACGCACTGTTTTTCTGAGTGCTAATGCTGCATAATTGGCACTATTCTTGATTCAAACTGCATTAAAAAACAAATTGCAAGCATAATTTTAAGACACTTTATTGTGCAGTCCTACACTACTCCGTCATTATAACAGTCTACACTCTCAGTAACACAGCCTGCACTCTCATTTTCTCCCTCTCTCTCACCGGCTGAGCTGCCTGGCCTTGCTGAATGGAGTGCTCTTGAAACAGAAGATGCTTCGTCGGCAGCGAGGGAAACGAATGGCCAGGAACAGCAGGATGACCGGCAACACAAACAAGAAGATCACTAGCAGAGCCACACGCATGGGATTGGAGTCTGAACACACACAAACACATACAGATATTTAGAATAGAGAATATACAGAAGGTTAGAATAGTATTTACATCCATGATGCCATGGGTATTAGTGGTATTTATACATGACCATGCATGACTGTACACTGTGCATGGGTGAGTGTGAAAGCATGCAGTGAGTGGGCACCTTTGGGCTGGCGTGCAGGGCCGCTGTCTACACTGCCTCCAGCTCCTGAGTATCTACAGTCTGGTGGAGCCCAGCCCACATCACAGTGACAGTTCTTGTTGCTGTTGCACACCTAGACAGGCAGAGAGGGAAGTGAACAGTTTTTCTTCGTTTCCTCTTTGTGGTCTCAGGATTGAAGTGATACTGTCTGTTGGTTTTGTGTTGTGTTCTAACAGAAAAATCTTAGAATCAGCATCATACATTTACAGTTTAACGGTGTGCACACGTTAGCCCTTAGCTCCTAGGTGTGGCTCTGTGAAACTAAAGTGAGGTAATCAGAAACCTCAATTACATCTGTAGTGCTCTGAAATCAGAACCAATTCTGATGTTTTGGCCTTTTTTGCAAGACAGAGATTACAGCACCTCTAACTGTAATCTATGGGCAAAGGTTAAGCAGAGTGTCAGTTCTGCTTTTAAAGTCAACTTAAAACCAAAATGGATCCTTTTTACCTCGTTAGTTTATGTCCCTGGTCACGTTAAGCACAATTCATCACAACATACCATTTAATAGACAAAAATTCTTGCTTTCCTGCAATCTTCCATCGAATGTAAAAACTTCTGCCTGCCTCTAAAATGTCTTTTTTTGTATTATTATGTATAATGTGAATACAGTAAAAACAAACTGTATTATATCTAACTTTCCCTCATGGCTACAGGTTGTGTGCTGAATTGACCAACTGCTCAGAAAAAGAGAACGCAGGTTTCAGTAAAGAGGCAGTGCTAAAAATGTCAACTGCTCACCCCATGACCGTTACACTTCCTGTGACACTCCTCAACACCAAACACAGACGCATCCTGACAATGCTGGTCTAAACACACCTAAAGACAGAGAGGGAGAGAGAGATGCACACATTATAAAACAACAAACTACATTATCTCTATAGCATAATTGATGCATCAGCCACACAGCTAATAGATAAATGTTTAAAAAAAATAAAAATACAACAGACATGACCACACAGATGAGAGCTGCATTAGCTATACCAGTGTTTTTAACCCCAGAGGGCATTGGTGGTACTGCTAAGGGTCCGCTGGCAGTCCAACGTAAAAGACACAGCCAGCTAGATAAGTTTATATTTTCAGTGAAAGTCAAGCCAAGCTTTTGTGGTCGGTTGTGTGGGCCACAAGGTGCAAAAGGTTGGAAACATTTTTACTTCTGAGAAAGTTTTCCCTCAAATAGAAATATATAAATATGTTGCTTGCAAAACTATTGGTTTCCAAAGGCAAACAGGTAAAATGCACTGATTCGTATACAGCACCTGTATTGTACAAACTCTCACCTTCCCAGGAGCACAAGCTGTTCCCTGCGCCACCATGGCTGGGTCAGAGACATCGTCACCCAGGTCAAAATAAGCCCCTCGACATGTGAAGTCACTGTGGTTCAATCTCACCTTAGTTGTCAGAATTTCTGCATTAGAGCCCAGCAGGGGGCGATCATTCCCACCCTGACACTGGATTCTGCCACAGTGCACATCCCTGGTGAAAAAAAGGGTGGATTTCTTAAATAAAGAAACAAAAGTGCAGGACTTCAGCTTTACAGCAGCGCTGTTCTATGTACAGTAGCATGTACTAAGCATCACAGTGGCAAAGAGATATTTCAAGTATATTTAAATTAAAAGATATAATAAAATATTCAGTACAATATTCAGTCCTCATTCACTGCAGCAAGTTAAGGGGTCTGTTTTATTACATTTCCAGAAATCAGTGTGATTTTGGTGAAAATTTCAACAGACTTCAACACATACGCATTGGAGCAGGGGATGTAGGTGCCGTTGGGCGCTTGGCCACAGTTGCCGTACTTGTTTCCCTGTTTGTTGACGGAGGAAAAGCAGACAGGAGGGGCACGGGTGGCATCTGTGAAAATAGCAATCACAGATTAGTCCTCACAAAATTTCCAAAGCAATAATTTTACAAAATGATTAAATAAAAGACATTCAATTATTGTCTTGTACTGAACTGGTAGGACCTGCTGCTGGTGAAAAGACACAAACCCACAAACTCCTAAATAGACAGGTGCTACTCACTGGCTCCCCACAGCAGCTGGCACTGGTCATCCAGACTGGCACAAACTCCACTGTAACAGTAAGAGGCACCATCCTGGCACGGCTCGCCATTCTGAAGGAACACATTGGGTGGGCAGTACGGGGAGCTTCCAGTACAGAACTCCGGCAGATCACACTCTCCTAACGGCTCTCGACACATCCAACCAGCAACACGCAGCTGCAGAGAGCGACAGAGAGAGAGACAGAGAGAGAGACAGAGAGAGAGACAGAGAGAGAGAGAAGGGGCATTAAGTGCAGCTGTTATTTCAGTGCTAGCAGTGAATATGAATGAGGTGTAATGTAACAGAATCAGCAGCAGAATAAAAGTAATACATACTTTACAATTCTCACAGCAAATGCCATCAGAGGAACACTGTGCACCTGGAACCAGCTTACAGGTGCTGGCATTACAGCATGGATCATTACATTCCTGCAAACATACAGAGGACATTTTTCTTATAGACATCTTTCAAAGCATCTTAAAGCAACAGTTTTTTAAACATTAAAATGTACACAATTTTCTACTTAAGCTAAATGTATATAACAAGTAGCTTGTGTGCAGTGATCACCATTGTACAAATTGCAAGTTTTCAAATAGACATGCTTATGCGATTTATGACACTCTATGATGCACAGTTATCTATAAAAAGAGACAAAAATGGAGAGAAAATTCAGGCATCAAGATTGCCAGTACTGTTTTTAGCTATTCAACATACTTTTTCCATTTTTATAGAAACCAATATACCACATTTGCATAAACCATACTATCAATATCATGTACTTAACCTGGAATACATGTCCAACAACTAAATTTAGTAGAATAAGGAAAATTAATGCAAAATTTGTTTTGACTACAGTGATGTCATTTTGTACAGTCACACCTTGAATCTAACAGTTGTTTCTTTTTTGGTTATATGTAATTTCCTTACTTTTATTCTCAACAGAAGCAAACCTCAGAAACTAAACATGTCTTAACTGATTTACTACATTTGACAACAATACAACAGTTGACTGAGGGTGTTCAAACTTTGCATACAATTTTATGTAAATTAATTGTTGCCTCTTACATCGAGCAGACCACAGTCACACTCCTCGCCCTTCTCCACATACAGGTTCCCACAGCGCGGCCCTCCCAGCAGCTTCTCTGGCTGGGGCACGTTAAAGAGGCACATGCCCCCACCGTGCAGCAGGCTGAGAGAGAGATCTCGCTCACTGCAGCTGCTGAACAGCTGACCAGGCATGAACCTGCATTAACAGAGCACACAACTGAGGTCATAGTGTGCCAAGTGTGCAGATGTTCACACACACTCTCACACACACAGAGTGGTGATGATTAGTCAACAGTCAGTTAGTTGTCCATGCCACTGATTTCAAAATTCACTGGGTCGATGTATAAATTACTCAAAAACAAAGTGCTATATAGTGTTTTATAATGTTCATGTAACACACATTCATTCTAATAGACTGCAATTCACAATAACATGCCCAGGGGGCGATATTGCTTCTATTGTTTCATTGCCCTGTAAAAGAAAATAACTGATTATTGCTGGGTGACAACGGTCAGAGAACTTGTAGAGAGGAGAATTACCACTCTGTAATGAGTTCTGGGTTTCTCACAGGTTAGAGGGCTCACTTCGCGGGCGCCCCTTGGTGTTTTGCAAACATGTTTTTGATATAATGAGGGAAATAGGAAAAAGGCCAGGCTCTCCTTAAACTGGCTCTGGAAATGGCCAGGTTTTGACCTCTTTTGAGGTCAAAGCTTGACTTTTCTTTACATCATGACCTTTTTGCTGAAGGTGAAAAAACAAAAAAACACTTAATGTCTGCATGTTGAAAGCAGCAGCACTTCTGATTAAATGTTGCAAATAAATCAGTTTAATTGCAATTCAAATCTCAGTCTTAATCCTATTTATTGTTTTCTCACAAAAAGGAAGAAAAATGTAGGAAATTTGAAACACTCTAAAACAACTATATGTAGTTTTCCCTATAAAACAACTGACTAGATTTCTAAATCTGAGCTGGAACACCATTCCATCCCAACGTTTACTCCCAGAATGGCATTCTGGTGCTTTCTTATCCATTTTTACCCCTGTTTACTGCAAAGACAGAACATTTAAAGATGGGGGGGGTGCTGTGATGGTGCGAAGTGAGAGAAGACAACACAAAGCTTCATGGTTTAATTAATACAATAATAGTTAATAGATTAATCAATAATCATTAGTTGCAGCCCTACGACCCACTTCTTGAAGCACATTACCCTGTGGAAGGCTCCATGATGCAGCCCCCAAGGCGCGGTTCGTTCTGGCACTCGCAGAGACGGTCTGCCGTGTCATGGCTCATGCCCAGGTTATGGCCAAGCTCATGTGCCACTGTGGACGCCACGCCCAGCACACTCACCAGGTGATCCTACAGGACAGAGAATAAACAGTTGTGTGCTGCCTGCTACCCCAGAACCACAAACCAACATCCTCACTAACTGTCTACAAGTTGATGAGATAAGCTTAGCTCAGTAACAGATCTTCACACATGCAGGTAAGTGACAGGCACAGGATCACACATGCTACTGGCTGGTTGTCAGAACACCTCAGTACACTGAGATGTTTCTCCTGCTGCATAATGTCTGTCTGTTACTGTCTAAGTGAAAACGTGTCTGCGTTCGGCTGGAACAAAAAAGAGAGAAAAAAACAAAAACCTTCACTTTTCAAAACCTAAAAGCGGGAGGACACTCAACAGAATATATTATCATGAATAAAACCATGACTGTGATAACTGATGTGAGTTATCATCATGAATAATATTACAACTGTGATGGTCTATGGTAATATTTGCTGAGATGGACGGTCAGTGCTGTAATCAAAAAGAGCCTCACCACATTAACACCTCCAGATCTGTCCTTGGAGCACATGGAGGACTGAGAGGCCATGCCCACTGTTGTGCCATCAAACGACTCACCCCTGTTGGAGAAATAAGCAAATATAATTCCACTGTAGGAAAAAATAAGTCCGAATTATTATTAACACTATAGTAACAAGACTAACTAGCCCCACATTAGATCCCTTGAGTCAATTCAGAGTGCATACACAGTGCACCACTTCATCTCATGCGTCATAGTTTACTGATTATGAAATATAATTGCATTCTTGCCCACTTTCCTACAAAGCATCAGAACCTACATGACTAGCTGTGCATTGTCATGGCGTAGTCGTGGCAGCAGCTCTCTGGTCCTCCACTCCAGGAAGCGGTTGAGTGTGTCAGTGGGGCTCTTATCTACCAGGATTTTATCTTGATCACTCCAAATCTCCAGCCCCAGCAGAGCTACACGCACATTCAACGGCCGGTAGAACTAATGCACACAGCAAAAACGTGACAGGAGAGGGAGAACCAACATCAGGCACAGTTCATTTGCTTTATCATAATACAGTTCAATACAAACACAACCTTAACCTCTGGCTTCAGTCTGACCATAAGAAGTTTGCCAGTGACAGTTGTTTTCAAAGTGAGAATTTAGTCACATTACCAAATGGACATCAATATGTCCTAATGGAGCACTATGCTGCATTTTATTTTGCTTGTACTAAACAATTAAAAATATCTACTGGTTTGCTGTTAACATGGTAAATCATGTAAGAGAAACAGCATTTTATAAATATTGTCCCACTTGATAACACTAGGAGGGCTAACTATATAAATATATCCTAGAATTCAAAGAAATACATTTTCTGCTTTATTTTTAGATTTCAGTGGAGAAAGCTACTTAATGCTTATTTAGTGTTGCTAGCACGTTATAACCAAAGAGATAAAAAAAAAATTCTAAATGGAACTCACCCAGTCTACCTGGTTGGCCACATCCAGCATTCGATAAATAATAGTCTTGTTGTTCTTCTGATAATTTAGGTACTGTGACAAAGAAATGTAAGCAAGAAAATAAAACCACTGCATTTGAATAGCTACAATTTTAAAATATCCCATAAAAGTGAAACAGGGATTTATACATTACCAGCAGATGGCGTTAGAGTACGTGCTAACATTTCATGAGGGTTCGTGAACTATATGTTGTGCATTTAAAATTATTTTTTTTTACCTGATTAAATGAATACCACTTTCTCTAGCAATACTTTTAAACAACACAGAATGGACTGCTGAGGATCAAGCGTTTATCCTTTAGGTCAGTAAATATCACAACAGTTAGAATCTACTGTTATTTTAGAGCACATTAGATTTGAAAATAAAACTATGATTCTGAAGTTTAAGTGCAGAATGTTACTTTTAATTTGGAGATAATTACAACTACATTGAGTGAATCATGTAGGAATCAAGTTTCTTTTTGTTCCGCAATTTTGTGAGACCAAAAGTAATTAGATGAATTAATATTAAATAAATAAAGTAACTGACATTAAATAAAATTATGTTTAGTACTTGGGTGAAAATCCTGTACACCAGATGACTGCCTGAAGTACACGACCCACAGACATCATCAGACACTGGATATCTGGATATAAGGGTGTATAGTAGCCTAGCGGTAGGAAAGCAACCAGCAACCAGAAGGTCAAAAAACCCAGGACTGAAGGGGTATTTCTTGTTAGGCAGGGCACATGAGCATATACTGTCCCAGGCCAAACTATTTTGTTGGTAACACTGTGTTGCTTCCATATGGGGCACAATTAGGCAGCAAAATTACAATTTTCCATTGTTGGATCAATAAACCGCATTAATGATGTGGCCATTTATATATCTTGCTGGTTTCACAGGCTATTCAGTAAGGAAAATGCATGCTCAGTGGAGCACAGGACAGATGATTAAGCTGTAAATCAAAAGCATTCCAGTTTCCATTCTAGTTTTTGGATGTACAGCTAATTTTGAGGCATTTAGTTAGATCTGAGCAGCGAAGACGCTTCTATACACTTCAGAATTAATCATCACATAGCTGCTGTCAATGATCACACCTCACACCAGTTCCACTGGCAGCTGTAGGTGTTGCACAGGTGGTACAGTCTGGATTATTTACTTTTTTCTCTTCACGCTTTCCACTCTCCACTCTGGTGCAGGTTAATCATGACCTCATTTGCCTCAGCATTTCTTCAGGAACTTTATAGGCTACTTTTTAGCAAACTGTAACTTTGCTTTTTTGTTCTCGAAGTTAAAAGTAGATTCCATCTTGTGACAAATCCTCTAAGGCTATGCTGGAGTATTTTTAGATATCTCTCTGATTGATTTATTCTCTTGTGCATGAACTACTAGCGCAGTGACAAAAAGCTGGCCAAGAAACTGAAAAGACAGCTATTCAATTACTTTTCTTCTACTTTTTCTTTATAACTGGGGGGCCTACATTTAAAAAAGAAGTGATACAATTCACTCAGTATTGGCTCTTTACCAAATAAGGCTTTAGACCCCACCCTCCCTCCTCACAACATAACTGACTGTCTGAAATGCATTAATGAGGAGAGACATTCCACTAATTAGTTTTGAACAAGAAACATGGTTTCCATGTTTTGGACATGAATTCATACATATTTATTGATTATCATTTAGATTTGTCTTAGAAACAACTTTAAAATGTTTTAAATCTTTAGATGAAAATGTATTTAAGAAAACTGAAAAACATACAGTCAGGTGTATCAAAACATTTAACTGGTCATGTATATGTATCCTCAAATTAATTTTGGCAAAAAAATTCCCACAATTTTTCCCTTACTCCAAATGCACTTTATCAAATGTTTGCTTCTTATAGTTGCACTGTAACTACCAGGCTAATGTAACAGAACTATGTTCTTGGGTGACACAGACATCCATTACTTGTTAGCCAGATTAGCCTCATAGCTTGTCTTGGCTGGTCAACTACATTTGTGGTAAAGGGGGAAAATTGTATGAATTTGTTTTTTTGCCAAACTGTTCTTTGAAAGTTGACATTCTGCACATTATCTTTATTGTCAGTGTTTTATTTCAAATCCAACATGCTGGACTGCAGAACCAAGCAAATATTCTGTCACTGTCCAGAAACATACATACTGCACTCTATATGGCACAATATAATAACAATAGAAATACATGCTCACCTCCTTGTGGTCCGCCACCAACACCAGTTCAATATATTTGGTCTCTGAGAGAATGTCTCTTTTACTCTATAGAACACGAGCATACAGAATCAGAGGAGTGCAGAATCCTGGATTCACTTCATATCATGATCATAGACATCTGTGTGAACAATCACAAACACACTCATCTCTCCTCTTCATTGCATCCCTTACCCTGTGTACGTGTGGGTTGATCTGAATGGGTGGTATAGAGGTGTGAGAAACGCCACAGCCCCCCGACGCAGAGCTCAAGTGGTGGGTTGGATAGAGCAGGTGCATTCCCTTCTCTTCCTCTGATCTTCCACTCCCCTCCACTCCTTCATCATCCTCCTCGTCGTCTGGCTGAAGCTCAAAGCTTAAACTGGCATTGATGAAGATCACCCCTCTACAGAGAACAGCAGGAGAGTTACTTTACTAATATTGACTTCCCATTCCCCACTGCAGATTACATTACAGTATATACATAAACGTCTTGTGCCAATATAAATAAAACACTGCTGAACATGAGATGCTGTTCTGGACAGACATTTGGTTCAGCAGAAAGCTTTATGACCATGTCTTATTTTTCAATAAGATACAACCAAAGAAGAGCAAATCATTGTAGGTTCTCTTGTCAATCAAACCGGCCAGACAGAATTGATCCTAATGTCTGTAATCTCAGCGCACTGTTCTAATGTTGACTTGCCAGGAGCATCTCTTAACACTACACTGTCATTATTGATGTCTTCTCTGTTTTTTGCTCTAGGCATTTTTTCTGCATATTGCAATTATGTTGGACATGCACAACATAATTGCCATGCAGCTTCTAGTTTTAAATCTTTATTTATGTACACACACAATTAAGCTACAGCACTGTACAAAAGTCAGAGATCACCCTTTCATTTAGTCAATTTCCGTCAAAACAGCAAAAGCAAGTTCTCAGTTACAGAAAAAAAAGAGACAAAAGCCTCCAACATTAAGAATGAAATTAAATCTATCCGTATTTTAATTGTTCAGTATTTTAATTTTGTGCACTCTACTGCCACTTTAACTCTTTTACCCTTCCAATCTTACAACCAACCAGTTATGGTTGCGTCCTCTTAATAAAAGCTGCTCCCAAAGGAGTCACTGCCATTATTTACCCTTCAAACACTAAGATTCACACAATCAAATAACCAAACTCACCTAAATTGCCTTACAAATGTCTTTCTTATGTGCATTCAAAATGACTAAAGGAGGTATTTCTGAGGAAATTACATATAAAATAATCCACTTGCATAAGAAAAGGTAAAGTCAAAGGAAATAAGTAAAAAAAAACAGAGTTTAAAAATCATTAGAAGAGAAAATGAGACTCCTAAGGCCTGGTAGAACACCAAAACTGTCACCATCAGATAAATAATACTTAAAGGTTATATATACAACATTTATAACATTAATATAGCAGCAAACAACTATTTTTTTATGTAAAGACATAGTGGAGTAATGGTGTCCTGAGCAGAGAATGAGATCCCACCCCCTCTTTGTGTGTTGCAATCTGTTTTTTGTTTTCATAGCCGGGTTGGCTGCATGTGCATGTTAGTCCCGCCCTGTGAAAACGGTGGCTCTCCGCACATTTTGTTTTGCCCTCCCCAGACAGCGACCGCCCACATAGTGCATGCACCACTTAAGGTGGAACGACAAAATTCAAACAAGAGACTAAGGCGCTAGAATGTAGTCCTAACTGCTGCACCTTTTTTGCGCTGAAGCCTCAGTATTTACTGAATAATAAGTCTTAATATGTAATAAGCCTGGGATTTTCAGGGGTTAAACCCTTCCTACATCTAAAATGGTCTTTCCTCTTCACAGTACAGTATTTCTCAGAGAAAAAAGTTTTCACATACTAGGGGCCTGCAGTGATGACATCATTGAGCACATGGTTTTCCAGCGTGAATGAATGCAAGTTGTAATTATGCCTCTGCTTATAGCCCTACACAAGAAACACTGCACCAGCTCCTGACTCAGCTCAACCCCATGCTAAAGCTGAGCCTGGAAGGAGAGATTATGGTAGCTGGGATCAGTGTTCCCTTTTTAATCCAGCTAAAAATTTCATAACACTTATTCCAGCTCTTGCACGTTCTAATGATCACTCTCACAATCCTCCAATTCACTGCATTTACTTTTGACAAGTTGTTTACTTCTAGCAGTCTCTGGCCTCTGTTCAGATAGCACTGATCCTTAAGACCAAGCAGCCTACTTTCCTGTTACATAATACAGTAGAATACATGATACAACAAAGTAATTTTCTTTTAACACATGTTGTTCCAACATAACTATAAAAAAATACTAATACAAAGCTTAAAGCAGATTCTCAGTAGTAAATGCCACCAGTAATACAACAATCATAAGCAAAGAAGAGTTTAGAGAAGGGGTGTGCGAGGCACAAGTATGTACGTGTGTAAAATATATTGACAGCTAAAATATTATTCTTGTGTGTGTATTTGTGTGTTCTGTATGTACATGTAGTCACTAGTGTTTACTTCAACAGACAACATAGAGGATAACCCAACAAGGGATGTGCATTCCAACAAATTTTTATATTTAAGTACCTGCAAGGGTTCCTGCATGGATATACGGTTAACTGCGGTTAACTAAGAAGAAAAAAAAATGCAGAAAGAAAAAAATAATTTGGGCTGCAATGAATGTGGAGCTGCTGTGCCTTTGAGGTGAAAGCACTAGTGTTGCACAAAATATTTGCACCAAAATACATTTGGAGTAAATACACCTGAAAATGGGTTATATTAATCAAAAATAATCAAAGTCAGTAAGTTTTCATATCTATCAATTTGATTAGTAGCATAACAGAGGCTGCCTCAGATGAACTAATAAGCTAAAATTACAGCTAATCACCATAACACTGGAGTTATGGAGTAGCAAAATATAACATAACATGATTATTCGCGAATATGAGCAAAACATTCACATTTTACATTTCTGTTACAACATAAAATCACCATTTTATTGAATTGTTAGTCTATATATTTTTTACCTCTTCCTGTGACGAAACACAACAAATACCTGTACCAGTCCCTAAACCCAAGCAAGAAAAATTAGAGGTTCAATTCCCTATCCAGGCAGGACCACTGCTGATATGTCAACAGTAGCACTTTTCCACCAGACAGTGTAGTACAGCACAGTACCGTTACAAATTCATGATCACACATTTTGTCGTAATTTCCACCGCCCAGTGAGCTGTACATTCAGAGTGCTGAATTTAGGTACCATTTTTTTCCAGGGTACCAGACATATGGTACTGAGCCATATGGGTGCAGATAGAAATAGTGCAGACCATTGTTTGGTTACACGCAATTGTTGCAGAATCGTCAAAGGTTGTCACTAGAAAGAGACAAACATCATACATAAAAAAATAAAAATAGTAACTACAATTGCTCTGTGTGACTTGTCACATAAAATCCAATGCAGAATAAAAGGTTAATCAGAACTTGAAGATTCTCCATTATTGTTGCTGTTGATCCCTGTAACACTTGCATTGTGTGACAGATCATGTAACCATTACACAACCTCAGGAGAACCCCACCTACTTTCACAGGTAATGGGAAACAGACACAGGAACCTGATCAAGGTACGGATATTTCCTATTATAAATAACATAATATATATATATACATACTCATATATATATATATATATATATATATATATATATATGTGTGTGTGTGTGTGTGTGTGTGTGTGTATTCATTCTTCAAAGATTATTCCTTAGAGTTCTAACCTGTCTTACACTAATTGCACCTTATGCATAAAATAAAAAGTAAAATTTCAGGTTAATGGTATCAGTATCAGCCACAACAAGGTGCTAATTATCAGTTATCGTTATTACCCACAAATTGTATTTTAGTGCATCCCTACTAGTCAAAGAAAGTACAAGTACTAGGTCTTACCGTAGGCCAGCACAGGTGCTAATAGCCACACGGGACTCAGGGAACCCTCTGACGGAACCATGATAATAACAGTGAGTCTGAGAACAGAGAACAGGTCTTACTGAATATTTCCCTCTCCTTTAACAACACTCCTTCCCTCTCCCACACATGCATGCTAAGAATTATTTTAAAGTAATTGTTGAGTAAAAAAGGTAATGGAAGCTTATATTCAACCAACTAATTCTGTCCATCTTTACAGACACTACACAGGCACGCCTTTTTGAGATTACTCAACAATTCGCATGCTCTAAGGCAAATCTGTGGTGTAGCCATGCAGTTTGCATGATGCTAACCGGTGATCATAAGCTTCCGCTACTTGTTAGCTAGTTTCATAGCTCCAGTGCAAAACTAAAGAAGCAAACTTCAGACAAACATGTTTTGGCTGTGAGAAGAAGCAAACTGTGCATTTGATATTTTTGTCAAACTATCATCATTGAAACAGGCAAACGTACTATACTATTATAGTTCTATGTTTGTTATTTTGAGTGAAACTACACTTTAGAACCTTTTTTATATGGCAAGCATCTACAATAGTAATATGACACCCACCATTAATTTAAGGGATTTAAACACCAGGCTCCAGTAACATATAGTCAAAATATACAACACCCTTTTGCCCTTAGACTTTCAGCTCCTGCCCTGCCCAAATATCTCCCCACACCCCTGCCTTCCATATAACACTATCACAATTCAATATTTCTATGGCTGAGACTGACTGATTAGGCATATCAGTGGGTAACATTACGAATTGATATGTTCTGCACTGTGTAAGACAATGTCAATATACGAGGTAAAGAAATATACAGTGATATGCATTATGACTCAGAAATAAACATACCACTGGGCTCTCCTCCATGGACACCCCAGTTCCATTTGGCAAGTAGAAGAAGACATTGGGCGGCTTAGGCAAGAGATCTCTGCAAAATCCAGATGACGTGAGTAAACAGGGTGGAGGAAAAGGAGATGATTAAACATAAGGGAATGTAAGATGGACATTGTGGAGCACTGCAAACATATGCTGTGTGTGACTGTGCACACTCACTGATTTTTCTCCAGCTCCAGTAGAAGGAGGCTGTCTCCTACTCGCAGACCACATAGCAGCGTGTCTGGGTGACCGTTCTGCAGAAGAAGAGCAAATCACGAATCACTTGAAAGCCACCATCCAGGGATTTTATATTATAATCAATGAGACTTAATCATGCAAAATCAAAGTTATAAAAAGGATATATCCAGTTCTAAAATCAGATTTCGCAAGACACATTTAAAGACACTGTAAAATGCTTAATCCATACATATATAACTTCACACATAAACCGAATTTTGTATTAATGAGCCAAGTTATTAAGAAACTGTGGACCTCATGAGTAATCTTTCATGGTTATTTCCTCATTGTTTGGTGGAAGAACTGTATATTGTGATTATTATTGATAACTAATTAAACTGAAGCATTTTATTGCATTTTACCACTTTATGCCTAACAACACCCCAATAACCAAATCATTAACTAAATAACCATACTAAACTAAACTAAACTAAAATCTACTAAACTAAAATCACTCTAAAGTTTAAAATGGAACCCAACAGGCAAGTCGCAAGCAGATATCGATGACCTTTGCTATCTTCTTTTGATACCTTCCAAAATAACATATAAATGCAATGTTCAAAAAAAGGAAAGGATATCATAATAACGATATTAGAAGCTATAAATTCTGATTAAAACAGCTTGTCTCAAATACATTTTCTGTGCATTGTTAGGTTGTCAGCATTCCCTAAACAGTTTTTTTTCTGTACAGGCTCCAAAATTAAAAAAATTATATTTAATTCCTTAAAAAGTTCCTTTTGGTGATGCAGGTTTGTTGTGACAGGAGCCATTACTGTTTCACAAATTTTACAGCACTGAGAGTGAGAATAATCGTCACTGCTGAAGCACAGGTTAGCAGTTCAGGATACAGTAGTTTTTGTGCTGTGCAAGTGTTTATATTTAGTAACTGGCTGTTTAGTTGAATGGTTAAATGGCTCAGCCTACACTTGGGAGAGCATGATTTAAGCCCCGGATAGGAAGGCTCTTGCTGGGCTTCTACGTTCCTCTCTAATTATGTCACGCTGGCGCGGTGCATGTAAGGTAATTTGGATAGGATCCATGTTGTCATTGCAGCCTTTAACAAATCATTGTCATGATAACAATAAAAATATCATTTCTCATGCAGCCCTTGTGCTTTAGTTAATTATACATACTGTCATAGTCTTCTCCATAGCAAAACGGCTAACAGTAGATTCATATGTTTATTTGTAGATTGTACTTTTTTCTTTTTTCTCATTAAAGTGGAGTTCGGTCTAAAGCCCTACAGCGCTAAAGCTATTGAGAAATCCCTGAGTTGTTGTGCTGAGATAATCAGACCTTTTACCAGAATTACTCAAGTGTCCTTCATCATGACTGTCTGTGATTCACACTGTGTATCCTCTTGTCTACATGAATCAGCACTGATTCAGAACTGCTAGCTGTGTGGGAGCTTTTTGTGTCAGTTAGCACAGATGATAATTTGCTGTTGCTTTCAAGTTTTGTCTGGTGCTTTTACTGGATGGTAATTGGTGTCTGGCTTAAACATATCATCTTAATCAGGTTACTATTTTGCCATGCATGAGACAAATTCAGCTGCATAGCCCAATGTTTTTCCAACTCAATCTCTTTCTGCTGTATCCTTATCTGTTGACCGATTACCACAATCATTTCCCTTTACTCTAAGAAACAGGAAACCCACTGGCTGCAATCCCACTTAAAATGGAATCCAATAGGCAGATGGTAAGCAGATAAAGACACCACTGAAAAATGCTGCAGTATTACTTCAAAATGCCACATATCATTTTCGAAGAATAAACTACCGGAATGATTCTCTGTTGTCATGTCAGTATTAGAGCCCATTTCACAGAAAACTGAATTGTCACTTCTTCGTTGAAATAAAAGTGTTTGTTAGACACTGTTAAAAACCTACAAATCACACTCCAGTCCAATTAGTCCTTCTATGGAAACTAAGATGCAAATACAGGCCATTTTGAATTCACTGTTTTTATGAAGTCACAAAAATCACCGTATTTACATGTGTCTGCTTATTCAGCCTATAGCAGTTTATCTTCGCCCATTCATGTTAAAGGAGTGTTTCAGTCCAGACTGCCTTTTAATTTAGGCACAATCAAGTATCAGAACAGAGCACATTTGAATATACCAGTGTTAAAGGCACAGTTATAAAAACAGCCCATTTCATTCCGGAATAAAGGGAGGTTAGAAAATGGTCAAAAATGAATCACAACTGTTTTGGTAAATAAAACCAAACAAACGTCATAAGCTGACCTCAGCGGGGGAAAAATAAAATGAAATAAAATAGGAATGATATACTTTACTGGGCCTGGGTCAGTCGCTGATGCCTCTAGAAATCATTTATGAAGAACCCTGGTGCCCGTTGAGCCGCAGTTGATATATGCAAATACTTCTTATCTCCTCCTGCTCTCAGTGCACACCCCACACACATCTACATTAGCAGGAAAGATCTGCTGAGTAGGCTGCTGACAAAGAGTAAAGCGTGCAGCAGCGAAGGAGACAGAGCTGAGCTATAAACAGACTGCTCTTCCTCTCTGCTCTCTCAACACACTCATCTACCGCTTGCTCCATTCTCTCACCTCTCCCCCCCTCTCTCTCTCTCTGTAACTCACAGCCAGCTCACTTCCTCACTGATCAGCCTCCACTGCACTGTTTCCTGCTCACAGACACTGACACACACTCAGACAGAGACAAACGCACACTGATACACTGATCTCGCTTTCTCTGTGTTTCCTCTGTCATTCACATCCATTTTTAGCTTATGAACGCTGCCGGGTCCGCTCATGTGCTGTGCAAAAGTCTTTTTGTTAATAAATCACGACTTGTTTGCTTGGCATTTAAAAATCTATTTTTGGCAAATGCAAATGAATCACTACTTTTTGTCCCTTATACAATCGATGCACTTGCAGAGGAATTAGAAACAAAGCATCAACAAATCTGAAAAATGAAACGTTACACCACTAATCACAATATTGAGTTTTTCTGTTCGATGAGGTGGAACTACACCATGAAATACTATAAAATATCATATCACACAATGTGCTGCACTGAACCCAATTAAACAGAACTAACTAAGCTTTTTTTGTAATAAAACATGCAGTTGGTCACTATTCTTTAAGTACTGACAAATATACTCATGGTATGCTCATAAAAGTGTTTTGATGTAATTTATCAAAATAATGACAAAATATTGTGCCCACCTCTATGCACAGACACATACATATACAGCATACTGACACACAGATGTAGACACACACAGATTGACACAGACATACAATGACACACACATACCTGTATACATTGGGGCAGATTGATTTGAGGACAATGTATAATAGCATTTTTTTTGATTGCTGGAATGGTACAGTAAAATAACTAATTTACACAATTCTCCACTTAGTTGATCAGCCATGTTTGGTGCCCAAATTTTGTTTCTTTAGCTTAGCGCTGGAGGTACAACACTAATGTTGCTGACAAACACTGGTCAATAGACACCTGAACGTTTTCTGTCAATGCTGTTTAAGACAATGCGTGTATGTGAACTATAAACATGAACAAAACTTCACCATGTAGCTGAACACAGCCATAGACAACAGGACTGCGACTACCCTTTGTGTTCATGCATGTCAAGGACAACACAGATTACATTTGTAATTTCTGTTGTTTCTATTTTATAAAACACTAAACTTGAATCTCCAAAATTAAGATTCATGATGCATGTGAATGGGAGTCAGATCCTGTGTCTAAAAAGGCTGACAGCATTATTTTGCAATACAGTAAAGTTTTGTTCATTTTACAGTTCACAGTAAATCCCAAACCATCAACAAGTCTGTGCGACCTTAATGAAGACCTAGATGCCGCCTGAGCAGGTTGAGAAAAAAATTCTGAATGTATTTGCAGAAAAGATTTGGGTGACTATTGACTTCTAGTGTTTGTAGGCAACATTAGCCTTGTAGATCCAGCGCTAAACTAAAGAAACAAAATTTGGGCACCAAACATGTGTCGGCTGATCAACTTCATATGGGATAAAGGGAAAATTGTGTAAACATGTTTTTAGCCAAAACATTCCTTTAAGACAACTTTGATTCATGTAATATATAATTAAACTACAACTCTTCAGCGATTTGAAAACTGCACTTTTTCAAACTATATATATATATATATATATATATATATATATATATATATATATATATATATATATATATACACAAAGTTAATCATACACACATGCCCCCACCAACTGACACATAAACACCAACACTAATAACACAAACATTCACACACACACACACACACACACACACACACACATACATACAGATACACTGACACACAGACGCACACACATAGGCTGAAACAGACACACATCCCTGTATGAGTGTGGTGTAAAAGTGAAACCTTAGTGAGTTTCCTGCAGCGCTGCCTCTGTTTCCTGCCTTTCTCTTCTCTCTCCTCATGGGAACAGAGGGCTTCACCGCTGAGCTCTCTCACCATAGCTATCTCAAAGGAAAACCACCATTATCACATATCACAGCCTGACTGGCACCAGGGGACTGGTTACTGCCCATCTGAGAGCTGCTAAACACTCTCAGGACCGTACAAACTTCGCCTCAGGGTCATCCTTTATAGATTTGTATTTAGAAGTTGTCTGATGTTTAAAATGCTGTGGCATTCAGTTACAGCCAAAAACAAACACAGTTAGGACTTCAGACAACTATGGCTTGTTGCTACTTAACTTTTAGAAGTCACAAGGTATTACTACTTAAGTGTACTATTCAAACAGAATTACACAATCACATGACTAATTGTATAGTAACATAGTGAAGTACAGGTACAATATATATTAACAGATTTGAGTCTGTGCATCGGTCTTTTTTCAATGCCCTCCCCAGACTCTGTACATTCCACATAATTTCTCCGCTTGTTTTAGTGAGTTCAAAGTGAGAATGTATATCAAATAACACCACACCTTTGTTATGTGCGGCAACAGCTGCAACATCTAGAGAGGTAAAACCCTATTTTCTAT